ATGAAGTATGTAAAGTGCCCGAGTGTGTAAAGAAAGTATTAGCATAGGTTTTCTGTACTCGCTTCGATTGAAATCATAAATACAAGATTGAAGAGATTATTTAAACCTTTGTGGATCGCTTACAGTCACATATTACTCATACGCCCCATTTTCCAAACAGCCTTCACTTTTTATTCATTGCCAAAAATGTGGTATTGTGAACCACCATATCGGTGGCATGTTGCGAGTGGTTTCTGTGCCACCGGGCACCGCTTGAATTTCTGCTGGTCGGACCTGAATCCCAGCCCCGGCCTGGGTGAAAATGAATTGCTCGTAAAAATGATTGTAAAACAACGCCAATAACCACGGCAGCCGAGAACTGCGTGCAAAATGTCATTAATCATTGTAATTTATATAGCTGGACCAAGTTCATAAACCATCGACGACTTCGGGGGCCTGTTTATGAAATTTTTTTCGGTTTTATGAACTTTACGCATAATTTAACATATTTGTCAATATAGATAGATATCTGGTATATGGGTCTTGACCAACTTCTGTGTGGCCTAGACCTTTTTATGTAACAGATAGGCGATCGGAGAACCAAAGCCAAGCAGTTCATTGCCACCTGGCTTAAAATAAGTAAGAACTCAGCTGCCGGAAAAACATTTGCAGAGGAAGCTGAGAAGCCCTAGCATATAACCCACGCTAGCTTGGTGGAAAATCCATTTGACATATTGCGTCGTCCGCTGGCTAGAAAACTATTCCCGTCTATATGGTACATAATCTTATCTAAAACAAAACACTTTCGCGGTATTTTCTAGTCGCCATGCCCATGTTGCCTGGCGCATAAATCAAGCACCACTGCCGGCACCACTACCACTGACTGATGATGAGCCACATCGCTGACAATAAGTTGTCAAGTGTTGTCTCCCCATCACCGCCACCCACACGCTTACATATTCGCTCACAATTCCACCAAAAAATAATCTCCAAAATTTGTTGTCTTCCCCTAACAGATGGAAATATTTCTGAGAGTGAACGAATAAATTATACCTACTAATTAAATTGTCGTCGTGAATTTTTCTGAAATTTTTGAGTGTATATTTTCTAATGTTTAGTAGCTTTACCCATGCTTTTTTTTATCAATTAATTTTATTGTATCTCATGAGTAGAGTATAATTAGTTCTATTAGATTTTTTCTAAATATTTACCTTTCCATTTCCTCTTAAACTATGTCCAAGCTAAAAAATCAAACAATAAATTTGTTTGCAGTCGTCTAGCCCACAAAAAAAGTAAGATCAAGCACAAATCTTCTAGAAGATCTTTCTGTATCCGTGACGTAGAAAAGTGAAAATGTTTGTGTAAAGTTAATTTATCGTATTATGTGCGGAAAGTGATATAATAGACCGGCTATCGAGTCTAGGAATTATGTATGTTGAAATTTTCTATATTCTTTTCAAGTCCTATAGCTGCTACTCATCTTCTGGGGATTAAAATTTATGCAATTATCTAAATTTACAAAATATTTGAGGTTTCTTTCTTGAATCTACTAATTTGATTCTGTAATGCGTAATGCCCTAAATCCAGTCTTAACGAGGTTATTTTCTCAAATCTATGTTTAAAAATGAAGACTTTTGTTGACAAAAAATCAGCTGCATATAAATATTTGAAAATGATTTCTTTGAGGGCCTTAGAATGCCATCGCATTCATAACATCATTGCATGACAGCATAAAATAGGAAAATAAATAAAAACGTAAAAGATCTAGTATTTAAGAAGACAATTAACATGGCCGACCCGTGACGAGACCAGTGACAGTGAAAGTAACCACATTCGAATCGATGCAATCTTGGCCAAACTGTCGGAGCAACTTCATCAACCTGAGCGACCGCAAAAGTCGGGCCTGTAAATTAAGTTATCAAAAGATGCTGTCGGAAGCTTTTAGCATCCACCGGCTGCAGTGGAGCCCCGGCCTAAGCCCAGGCCAACTTCACTCAACTTCACACCTCGCATGGCATCCCATCGCATCGCTCCACGCACTAAATCAGTCGCATAATTGCCGTCTGGCCGCCGGGCCAAGTACTCTTCATATATCATCTCAAAAATATGCACGCCCCGTACAAAAAAAAGGTTTTTCAGCCCGGACCCGGGTTTGGGTTCAGGTTCAGGCTGCGGATCTGCTCCTGGCCAGTACGACACCGTTAGCTGCTGCCTCACTTTGTGCCGGGCCATAACTGCAACTGGCTTTTGGAGGTCAACTGGTTGATGAGCCCCACGAGATGTGGCATCTGAAGATGCAGGCTGACGGAGTGGAAAAGTCATGAAATTTGGCAATTTTAATTTTGTTTGGACAGCTTAATTTCCAAGCAGTTGTCAGGGACTCTTAGCGACTTAATTTTTTGAGAGATTTTACAGCATATAAGTTATACATAGTTTTCTTCTCTTTATGTTTTCAGCTTCTTGAAAAACTTAACGTATAATTTGCTAAACAATCACTGAATATAAGTTTCTAGAAATACAAAAATATATTACATATGTATGTCAACTAAGATTTTTAATATTTCATCATTTCTAAATAATAAAGACAGACAATCTCATACCGAGGGCAACCAAAGTCTATGGTCTCCCATCTTATCAGGTCTATACGGAAGTTTAAGCACAATTAAGTGAAGTTTGTACGGCAAGCGTGATTTTTGGTGCACTTTGTACAATTCAGAGTCCATAAAAAATTCACTCCCCACTAATAAACACAAATTGCTTAATTAGTTGCTGCCGCTTGTGAAAGTGAATATTGGGGGAGAAACCTCCCAGCACTTCCACTCGTAACGTGACCATAAAAATCATTTCTTCGACACCCACAAAACGCACTCGTCCATCAGGGGAGAGCAGAGGAAAGAGCCTTATAAAAAGCTCTTTTATATGGCAATTTCAATCTTATCGCACTCCACTCGCATTATCGCTGCCTGATCGAGTCCAAAATCAAATTAACACCTGAGGGGCAGCGTAAGACACTGGAAGGCCGTGTTAAGTACAACCGAATGCGATGAATTAAAAAAAATTTGTACCCGAAACGAAACAAAATCCCGATGATATCTATCTTGAGCTCATGATGTCTCAATGGCGATGCGTTCGGGCGATAAGACGCAGCGCGTTTAAAACCGCACGCAAACCGGCCCAGAGTTGTACAACAAGTTTTCGCCAGCTTGGTGTTTTTTAATGCAGTTATCAGTGCTGCAATTTGCTACCAACAACCGGCGAAGTAAGTCAATAAAAATAAAGCTGTGAATTAATTTCCATCTGTAAATTTTGTATATTATGTAAATGCCTGAAGTCAAGACAGCTAAAAACAGCACTAAGTACTCATAAAAATGCTACAAATATCTTACAGATACGGGAAATTAAAAAAACTAATTACTAAAATATTATACAGCGAAGAGAGTCTGAAGACTCTTTCTAAAGGAGAACACGATCATGATCATCACTTGACTAGACTGACTCATATCCCAGAGGGAGCCCGGCTAATCAGGGCGAGCGGTTAATTAAAGCAAGATTTATGCCCTTAGCCCACTAAAGAATTTATATGCCAAATAATACAATACCGGCGGCCGCAGCATTGCCAAATCAAGTGTCTAACTTAATGATGCTCAACATAAACAGTCGGGCCAAGGAAAGAACTCTTTCCTCCGTCCGTCCGTCGATTTATTTGGCAGCTCAACGTGAGTGTTACGCAGCTTCTCAGCGTTTTATGAGAACTTTCAACTTGTGGGCGCTGTATCACACACAGGAACGATTTGTATATTTATACCCTTGCAGAGGGCATTCTAATTTTTATATATTGTATATATAGTTGCCGGGGCTAATGAGCTTCTAATTCTTATATAATTTCTAAAGAAAAACATGTTTTTTAATAAATCTTAAATCTGAAAAGTTAAAATTCATATTTCTATTGCCTACTTTTAAGGGCGCCTAGGAGTAAACTGGTAATGAAGAGTAGAATTTTACCGATTTTTTGCGTATAATAATCTTTTATAAGATGCTTTAATTTCGCGGCAATATTTAAAAATAATTAATTAATAATAAATTAAAAAAGAGCGCCCTCCTCCTCGATTCTCATAGGTTGCACTTAAGCAGGCCCGAAAAATCGGAAAAATAGTTATTTATTTTTCTTGTTTGCTTTTGTTTTTGTAGTTGTAATTTACGAATTTGTTGTAGTTCCTTGTTGTTGTAAGCTTTTGTTGTTGTAGTTTGTTGTTGTTGTAGTTGTTGTTGTTGTAGTTTTTTGTTGTTGTTGTAGTTTGTTGTTGTTGTAGTTTGTTGTTGTTGTAGTTTCTTGTTGTTGTAATTTTTTTGTTGTTGTAATTTGTTTGTTGTTGTAATTTTTTTGTTGTTGTAATTTTTTTGTTGTAATTTTTTTTTGTTGTAATTTTTTTTTGTTGTAATTTTTTTTTTCTAATTTTTTTATTTTACTATTATGTCATAATACTGCCATATATGTATCCGAATAATCGTATCTTTGGTGTTTATGAATACAAGTATAGAAGCTGTTACTCTTTTCTAAATTTTTATTATAGGAAACAATTGAGATAATGCAACTCCGGTTCCCAACTAATCTGATCTTTTGGGTATATCTCCCATCTGATAGAATCATCCCATCTGAAAAAAAACTGCAACTTAACTGAAAGGGTATAAAAACTTCGGCTCCTCCCGAAGTAAGTTTTCAATTCTTGTTTTATATTCTAAATATTTCATATGGCTATAGGAATTAGTTTATTTGGTTGTTTATGCAGTCTCTAGTCAGGAGTGGCTGGCAGTTGAACATAAAAAATATTCAAAATAAACCAAAAATATATGTGAGTAATGAGGGCATGGGTGGCATCCACTTTGAAGTTCATTGAGGTTGGGGGTGGGACAAGAGAGCCTATTTATAAAATTCCAAAAAGATCTTCAATTGATTGCTATTCATCAAGTATTTAGGAGACAGAAAGGTGGTTTTTTTGTGTATTATTTATGGATTTACTTACTGAATTCATTATTCTCATCCAAGGTTCCAGTCACGGTTCCATTCCGCATCAGCTGGAGGATGTGCTTGTTGACGAACAACTGGATCTTGCGGGAGTTCCAGTCCAAATGGGACTGGGCTACGGTGGAGCGCTCGTTGCGGTCCAGATTGCTGATGGGTGTATTGTTGCTACTGCTATTTATTTGTAGATTACTTCTAGAGTTGCTCAGTCTTTTCGATTTCGAACCAATGAAATTATTGCCAGCCGGTGAGGACTGGTGCTGTTGATGGTGCGGGTGCTTCGGCTGCTTTTGCTGCTGCTGTTGCTGATGCTGATGATGCTCCTGGTGACGAATGCTGCGCTCGGTACGCGACAGGACAGCCAGGTGAGCGCTCGGCACCGCGGAAATGATAAAGCCCATCGGCTCCTCCAGCTGATTGGTATTGGATTGGGGTGTGATTTCTGTGGATGTTTCTATGGCAGTTGATTGGATGGTTAAGCTCGGATTAAATTCAGCAATAATACTTTGATTTTCGGGTGGATTTACACTATTACGTTCACTCACTACGCTCGGCACTAAACTACTACGACTATGATCACTTTGTAGATAACTATTACTAAGCAGATTGCTATTGTTCGCATTGGACATGTCCGGTATGGGATTCCCTATTAGCGCGGGCATGGCTCCAACCTGGCCCAGTCCCGGCCAAGGGATAATATACGCAAGGAGGGCGCCCAGCAGCGCCAGGGCCCTCCAGTCCAGGCGCAGGTTTCTTCGCATCAAAAATCACCACTTCGAGGTTCACAAGGGCTACGAGACGTACTCCGAATGTTTGTAATTTTTGTAGCCCCTGGCAGATGTTTCTGCTTTTCCCGCACTGTGTTGTTTATAGATTGTTTGTCAGTTCACTGGGCGTAAGCCACGCCCTTCAATATCGTTGAGACACATGAACGCCCAGTTTAAAAATCTTTTACTTTCGTTTCGATCGGTTTACGTTTCTTGTTTTGACTTAAACAGTCTCTCTGTGCACGATTTCGTATTTTTATTTTTTTTTATTTTTTAGCCCCTTTCCTGGCAGGAAATTAGGTTATCATATCGTAGACTTGTTTTACACATTTTAATTTTAACTGCTGTGGATCTTCATCTTCGTCTTCCCCGCTGATAATGCATCTTATCACCGTCAATGACTTTCGTGTCATGTCAGATTCTTCCTCGATATAACTCGGATTCATTGAATGAAGCAATCTCAGCAAACAGTTGCCCAAGTTTGGATGGTTATCATATCTGTAAAGAGAGGAATTTGAATGATAATTTAGTTGATTATCATGCTGAGGAAATAAAATAATGGTGGGCTTTAAGTAAGTATACAATTTATGGATTTTAAGAATTGCCTGTTAAATTCCATTGCGAACGTTTGCCGGGCAGATTTGGATTAAGCCAAATTGTACATAAATTCATCACCTAAGCGCTTTTAACGCAATTTTTGACATTTTAATTAGTCTTCGGCTATATAAAGACACGGCAGCAGCAACAGCAATAACAACAAGATCAACAACAAACTGGCACAGTTTATTTTCAGAGAACCGGCTATCAACAAGAAAGATACAATTGTATCTACGCGGGCGACAAGTGATCTGCAAGAAGTTACATAAAAATTGCCCAAAGGGAGCAAAAGTTACGCAAAACTCGGAAAATTCGGAAAACTCGGTGAAAACATCGCAAATGACTTTCTCAACCGGCAGAAAAGAGAAGAAAAGAAAATGAGAGGAAAAACTCCGAACGACTGGTGGACAGGCAAATTGTTTAAAAATAAATTGTGGCAACAAAAACAATTCACGCAGAAAACTGTGTCGAATTTGAAAATAATCACGCACTAACTGCAGCCACGGCGCTGGCAGAGTATCTGTATCTATGAGACACACGCGCAGGGCAACGGGGCGGCTGAGTGACGTTGCCGGTGCACTTAGAGTCTAGTGCCGCCTTTTTGGCACGTGTTCAGCAAGCCTACGCATGCATTTTTTATGCAACATTTAAGTGCTCCCCGTTTTAATTACCATAAACAACAGAACAACAACAAATCCAATTGGCGACAAACAGAGACAACTCATAACACTCGGCTTCTGCTGTCCCATCAAAATGTTAATTGCTTTTGCGTCCTTCTGTCACATAGTTATGCAACGCTCGCCAGGCGTTGACTTTGAGATAAAGATACATCTCTCTGTGGCTGACCTGGGCAAACACTGAAACCCGAAATACTGAATAAGGTTACGAGCATACCGGCTCGTAAAAATCTGAAAAATTAGCGTGCCAGCAGCCGAGTTATAAAACAAAAGTCCCAAGAATCGTCCATGAATCAGAGAAATCCAATATTATTTGTGTAAAATAAAAATCAGCAGAAATATAAAAATTTCTCAACATCATGCATTGCGTATGCCAGGAGATCGGGAATAAATTCAAACCTTTGGCTCTGGCGACTTTAATGCCTTTCACCCAAATACAAGTGTGTAAAAAAAAGGCCTGCATGCTCCGCAGCGGGCAAAATGTGTGCCAAGCCAGGCGTTGTTTATGCCGGCTGAGTTTTGTGTTTTTTTCCATTTCTTTCCAGTGGTAGAATTTATGTTAAATTTGGTAAGGGCAACAAAAGTTCCAGCCGCAGCCCCAGCGACCACATTCTACGCAAACGACGGCAAAAAGATAAAAACTGCCGAAAGGGAAGCGCGTCTTGACACATGCCCAAAAAATAAAAATAGCGTTGTGGATGAAAATACCTAAATATGTAGATGACTAGGTGGCTAGGGCCAAATGTATCTTGTTTTTACGACCTGAGCCCAGCAGTTTATCTGTCATTCGAAAGCCTCCATAATTCCACAAATTAAGATGAGCATAAAAAATAATGAAATCTTTTGTTATTTTCCCTCTCAGCTTAATACCCCACAAGGAAACATATAATCAAAGCCAATATTTATTCAGAGACCAACATGATTACAGTAATTGCTCTGAGGAATTACTTCCTTTAAAGCCAAAAACTTACTAAAGACAAAAAGCGAAAGTTCAATACCCGCTGAAGAAGAACTCCTTTCGTTCACTTAACACTTGTCATTCAAGAAAAATCGGATCCGCTATAAAACTTGATATTCATTTAACCCAAATTTGAGTAGCAAACTTCGGTGGCTGCCATCTAATCAAATTAATGTCCGAATAACAAAAAACTGCGACATTCAAAAACGGCACAGAAGAAGTATAATAATGAATGGCCTGAGGCGTGCGGCGGCATCTTTGGTCAGTGAATGAATTAATTTTATAATAAAATCATCTTAAGTGCACCACAATGGGTGTAAATGAGATAAAGGTGGGCTATACGTATATAATTTCCAGACTCATCAAAAAAATATTAAGCCAGCCCTGTGTGCACTCTCGATGGCGGCCAGTTTCAAATATTAAACATCATCTCTGCTGCTTGACAACAAGTCACTAACAGAGCCAAAGCCCCAAACAAAATATTTAAATTAGTATCTCTATCTTTGTATCTTTATGGATTTGTTAGTCTCCAGAGGCGCTGGGAAGCCCAACCGTTTAAATCGAAGCTAGGCCTAGTCATTGAACTGCCATGGCAGTCGCTCAACAAACTGATTAGCAAATTTCATTATGTTTCTTCCATTTTTGTTTTGTTTCGGTTTACCTTTTTTTCGCGCCCAAATTTATACGTTTCAAATGCGTTTGACATTTGCGCCTAGCCGCTGTTTTAATGGCGGCGCTGACAGATGGGCTTGAGGTATTTGGAAAGTATCTGGCGGATCGCCTGGAAGGCGATAAATCTAAGCCGAGCTGCGCAACTTAATTAGTTCACGTCAGACGCTTGGCTACTCTGCCAAAAACCACACAAAAAAGGGGAAACGCTCTTTGGACATTTATTACACGCCGAAATGTTGGACATATGTAAATTAAATCGTATTTTTAGTGGCCCTACTTATTGTTTTTGCCAATATGCAAATGATTCACGCAGTCCGACGACGTCAAAAATGAGAAATTAATTTATTATAACAGGTGAATAAAAATTTTAATAGGGTAATAAAATTAATATGCTTTGACATTAGCATAAACTTTATATATATTTTAGAAAAAAAATGAAATAAAATTAAATGTAACCGGTTCAAGCTTTTGAAAGTGAAGGTTCCTGTTTTCAAGTTTTTATTTATTTATTTACTTAATTTAATCTATGCGAATATGCGTTTTAGTTTGTTTTAATGATAAATTACCTTTTGCAGAAGCTACGCTAAATCTTAATGTTTATTGCCCGATTCCATTACCGAGAAAACAATTTACCAATTGTGGCTTCAAGTCGGAGTTAACCGCCAGCCATAATCCCAGACTCTTGACTCACAATTGCAATTTATTCATGGCTTTGTGGTTAGGGCTTTTGCCCAACTTCAGTTTGGGCAATAAAATAAATTAGGCCCAAGAATAAACAAACAAAGTTGTGTTGTAACAATTTGTGGTAATTTTTATTAAGCTCTATATACAAAAAAAAAGTATATACGTATGTATATTTTTCAATGCCAAAGAGCAAGCAAACTGAAAGTGAAAAGAAATCCCAAGTATCCAATATGCAAAGATGATCGAGTCCGACAATGAGATTCTAGTTCAAGAAAAGATACATTTTTATTTATTCCCACTGTTTAGTGTCTGACGTTCATTGTCTTGTTGACACTTGTCACAAGATTGAACGAGAACAAATATACTTGTTTTCCTACGTACATTTGTATATTATGGAATGCTTAAGAAAAGATTGATGTGCGGTGGCATTCGCTGTCGACTGGCTTATAGATGAATATGTAGTACTATCCGTCCAGTGCAAACAAGAGGATGCATTCGGATATGGCTGGGAAGATTGTCGCTGATGCCAGCCCCCGTCGACGGGAGATGCCCCTGGCCCCGATCAATTCACGTGTTTACAAAACAATTAATTTTCTTTGGAAAAACAAGAAACGCATTGAACTGGTCCCGAACGATCCAATGAAAATGGAAATGAAAAAGATACCGAAACATAACTCAGGCAGCCAGCCAAATGCACTAATCGATGTGCACTTCATTTGTATGGAAACAGCGTATAAGATACTTGAAGGCATCACTGTTAGATACTTGCAAACAATCTTTTTGGGGAAAGCACGCCGCTGGCAGACCCCAAAGGAAAAGAAAACCAAGGAGCGCACAAAGGCAGCGCTTTTGTGTAATCGATTTGAACCGGAAGCAATTGGGTTGCCGTTGCCGCATCTCAAAAGCCGCAGCGGAGAAATGCTCTCAAGATGCAGCTATTTTAAATATTTAGTGCACGAGACAGGCGAGGGCAAAAGCGGAGATGTACGCACACCCCGAAGGCGATTGAATCACATGCCCGATGCTAAACACAAAGCAAATATCGGTCGCCATTCACATATTGACAAGAATCAGAAGACACTGCAATTTTTGCACACAACATCGATTACAGTCTCTCTAATCAATAGATCTAGTAAATATTATTCACAGAAATTGAGTCTTTCCCACAATGATGTCTCAATTTCAACGGAAGTATCTAAAAAATTTAAATGAGTGCCTGAGAGTGTCCGTCGTTTTAACACCCTTGTATCTCTCATTTTGAGACAAATATCTCAGCCTTTAGACGCACATTTAGACACTAGCCGACTCATCACCCACACATTTTCGCACATTTATTGTAGTCTAATTAAAAGTCACGCACTTTACGTGCGAAAATTAAAAGGAAAACCGTCGCTTAAAAATAAAATCAACAAAAACGACGAAAATCAAAGACAACGCGTCGTATTAGTAATGTGACAAACAGACAGCCAGAAGCACCACAACAACAAAACCAACACCAACAATTGCGTCTAGGATATTTTTAAAATGCGTCAAACAACCAAAAAAAAAAGAATGAAATTAAAAAAAACCAAGAGCCAAAAAAAAGAAACAACAAACCTGAGTAAAATACGCGACGATTTTCTCATTTTCATTTCGGTTTTTTGTTGCTGTTGCTGTTTTTTTTTTTACTGAGGGGTGTACCTAAAGTTGGGTTGCCATGTGCGATCGTGTATGTGTGCCTCCAAATGTATGCCGCACATTATGTGGTCTAGTGTTCACGCTTCATTAAAACAAACGCTGCATTTTTACTGAGTTTCCCGCATTTTTTCTTTCTTCTCTCCCCCGTTTAGGTTCATTTTATTTCCCTTTTTTCGCTGTTATGGTCGACATTTCTTTCTGAGTATTACTGCGCCACTTTTGGCCAAAACAAACCTTCGCCGCCAAACTATTTACGCACGACCGTAAAACGTTTGTGTTTTTGCATGCGATAAGCTTTATCTAAGAATTATGATTGTTGTATTTTAAACTTTGCCTTCACTAGCGAACCATCAATCAAGAACGATTTGTAAATGTGTCACAGTGCCAAGCGAAGTGTTACCCAACACATCCGATTCCGAACTAAACCTGGTAATTGGCCACCAGCCGACCACCGGCTTTTCGGCATCCCAAGTCGAACGACAAGCACGCCACTTCAAAAGTCCAATCATCATAAAAAATGTCATGCTGAAATGTATTTTAATTCCAAAAAAAAAAACTTCATTTTAATTTCAAATAATTTTTATAGCGGCCCAAACTACTGACACTGTTTAATCATTTTAGTTTTTATGGTTTTTTTTTTAATGCTGCCATTTCACTTATTGAACTATCACTGACGTAGCCGGAACGTTTTCTGAAAGGTCGTTAATATTATAATTTAATCAAACACTTTATACAGCCCTTGGGAATTCTAAATATTTTGGTAATTAAAATGTATCGTGCCAATGGCAGGCCTTGAAGAGCAAATAAAGAACTATTAAAATAATAATTCAATTACTAGAACTAGAACTAGGAGAACAACTTTAATGAGAATATGATTTTCAAGAGCAACAATACTCAATGTATCTTTAAAAATATTTGAAAAATGCCAAGCCATTAATAGGTTCTATAAATAATGCTCTTAATTCGAGCTAAGCACTCGGTGTGGCCATTAATTATAAAGGATATCACCTTCAGCACTCCACAATTCATTCATTTTTACTCTTTATCTCGTTCGCTATTCGCCATATTTTGCAGCGTTTTGTCGGCTGTCCAAACTATGATCCGCCATGTGATTAGCAGTTGTTGAACCCGACGCACACCGGCCCACCATTTGACGCAGCCATAACGCAGATTCGCACACACTTGCACTCACGCACACTCACAGATACTCATGCCTCCCGCAAATCAGCAGCAGGGACAAGAACAACAATTCAGCTTAGATAATAGCCCACAATGTTAGATAATAACCAACGCCGCCAATTTATAGGACAAAAAGTGCACGCGCAAAGCGACCAGAATGAATTATAGGGAAGTAGTTTGCGAAACGAGATTAAAAGCGCCTGCGTACGTTTGATAATAAAGATACGCACATTTCGCAGATACGCAGATACACAGATACATTTGCAAAAGGTGCGAATTTTTTGTATTTAATTTTTTTGCAAAACTATAAATAATCTATAAGTGTGTGTGATTAAATTTATATAAATTTTTCTTTTATTGGATAGGTTTTTCGGAGGTCGTTTGCTTTCACTGATTCGCGAAAAATATTTTGCTGTTTTTGTTTGCCTTACTTTGTGTTTATTTGGGCCAGATTAAGGCGGAAAAGTACTTGGAAAAGCTTAGTTGCTGTTTACCCCTAAAATAGTTTTAATATTTTTATAATTGAATGCATTGAGATTACGATTTTTTTATAGGTATTCTTTATAGGTTTTTAAATACAATCGTGTATACGTGTTTAATTAAAGTCGATTAGCATCGCTCTAATAGGGAATATGTTATTGCCAATTTTCTTTTTGCTGCCTGTTTGTTTTTTTGAAATTAATTAATTTTTTATTTAAACAATCCATTATTTAATTACTTTTCCTTGTGGCTCTTGGGACATTTTAAATACACTTATTACTCGGCCCGCTGCCAAGTGGAAAATTATTTCAATATATTTAAAAAGATGCCATAATTTAGACAGCCAAAGTCAGAAATATATTTTAATAGAAACGATTTTTGATGACCAAAGTGCAAAGAACTGGCCACTATTTATGATTCTCCATTTAGTCCATACATTTCTAATAATATAGAAATTTATTTCCACTTTAAAAACAAAAAGTTTACTAATTGTTGGATTAGAAACAATGACACTGAAAGACTCGCTCTGACGTTTATGAAAAATATTTGGCAATTTCTGAACAAATATTTCCGAGATGAAGAAACTTACTAAAAAAAGGAACTTATGTAACAATAATTTAAACGCAAAGCGTACGCACCTTAGTTTTATGTTTATTTTTGTTGTTTTTAGATTTACGATCCTTTCTTTTTTTGTTTCAAGCACTTGTAAAATTAAAGTTGAAAGAGTTGCACTTTTGCACACTTTAAACAATTGGCATTAACAATTCAGCATTTTTTTTTCATTCCGGATATCCTTTTCTTGTTGTTGGTTGAGACACAGCACTAACAATATTTTTTATATATTTTCTTCCGTACGCACTGGTCTGCCATTTCAAAATTGTAACGAAAATTTTCGAGTTGATTTCGAAACAGACTTCTTGTTTCAAAATTTCCATCCGACGATTATATTGTTTGGTTCACAATATTGAAATAACCGGACGCGGACGCGATCGCGATCGGTAGTATCGGTTGAATTCGATTTCTGCAGATGCGGATGGATCCAAAAGATTCGAAAATGCTGCGGATGCGGATGTTGAGATGTGGATGCGGTTGCGGACTTCGAGTGCTACTGCGACTGCGGACGCTCCGCTCCAAACGATGTGTTCCCAAAGCGAGCCAGACAGTGACTGTGACTGTAAAAATTCGGCTCGTTCGTTTCCACCGCCGAGCTGCGTTGCCGCCGGTCGTTCAGAGAGAGATAGTGATTGCCAGTACCAGTGTTAGTGCCAGCCAGCAGGAGGCCGATGGAGAGAGCGAGAGCTGGCGCACGGTTGTGGGTGGACGAAGACGACCACGACCAAGAAGATGGAAGCACACGAGTACGTCCGAGGCTCGGATGCAGCTCAGGTAAGAGATTGGTAGTGCTAAGACGGTCTACATTGGTCAATTGGGTCCAAAGGAGTTAAGTGTTTCACGCTGTTGTCTGATTTGTGGATGACATTTTTCTAGAAAAAAAATTATATTCTCTGGAGATACATGGGCTACGATTTTTGTAAGCCAGAGTTATTAATTAATATTTCCTATATTTCTTAGCAGTTGTGTCAAAATATCATTATTTATTGTTTACCTAGATTTTGTAGACATTTTTCTATTCAAAAATGTCTAAAAAAGTTTGTTCGCAGACGTTTAAGTTTTTTGTCAAGGGATTAGTTTTGATTTATTGACGACAACCTAAAATATTTAATAAATTGTATTTAGCAGTAAGGCAGAATATTTTATTATTATATTGTTTTATTTAAATTTCCAATTATTAGTTCTCATTTTTATTAAATGATGTTTCCTAGATTAGACAGCATTTCTATATTTTATTGCATAATTTTTAAATAACTGTGGCATAATGAATGAAACAATCAACAAGTAATAAATTATTTTTAGATTTTTAATCAATACAGATCTATAATTGTTTGAGGCTTTAATTTCAAACTAATTTAGGCTTACTAAACTTATTAAACTAGTTTAAGTGTTTATTTCTTTACAAGAAATACTTCCGCGCCCTAGCCCAACAATCAACTTTTAAAACACCCTTTCTTAGGAATAGAAATTTCTGCATTTGCACAAACAGTATCTATTTGGCGACCTATTCTGTGTTTCCGAGTCCACTGCCCCAGTAATAGATCCCCGGTCACGTGCTAGTTTTTAACCTGTCACTGTGAGCGGTGCGATTGCAGGCCGTCAGCTTGTGTGGGGTTTGTATATGTGTGCGGATTGTTTTTGGTGGCTGGGTGGCGGTTGTGCTTTTTGGCGCGTACACCTTTCCAGTGTTTTTTTTTCGTATTTCACAAGTTGGCGTTGATTTGCGCAAATGCCAATTAACTAACGGCCCAAAGTGCAGCAAAACGCAAACAAAAAAGAATACTAAAGGCCTGCCACTTAAAGTGTTAGGGACATCGCCTATGATTCAGCCCAATTACACAGAATGGAAGTACTGACTACCTCGAATTGGTAGTGTTTATCAAACCAATTTTGTGATTAGCTCTAAACTTTGATCGGTTCATTTTCCTATCAATACAATAAGGCTATTATAAATCATAAAATCTATTTTGACTTTCCGGAACAACCTGCCAACTTCGTTTTTTTTGGCAAAAGAAATGGCTCTTGACTTTGGTCAACAAAAATAGTCCACGTCAAATGGAAGCTAGATCAGGTCTAGAATCTAAACTTTAAACGATATTCTTCAAATAAAGCTTATCTTATCTGTGGCGTTGGCGCTAATAAACAAAAAAAATCACATGCTGAAATATATGTATGTGTGTGAGAGGTGAACTTGGCAGTGGCAAAAGCCCTGGAAGTATTGCAGAAATATGTGGGGGTTGCCACCAACGTCATATTCAAAGACTGCGTCATTTTATGGTCAGTCGGGGAGTTACTATCTTTTCGCCAATTAGTAGTGCAATAAAGTAAGTTTTGAATTTATTTTGAAAGTGACTTTAAAGTTTTTATAGTCCTAGAATAATTATATAAATTTTTATACAATTACATATATAAAAATATATACATTTTAAATCAAATACTTAAGAGAATTTAATACGTACCCCGCGTTTCAGGAATTGTGTTTATAAACACAATCTAACTAACACATTGTTGAAAAACTTTCAACTTTAAATTTATGTTGAAATGGATGCTAGAAAGTGGTCTAGCTAACCCACAAAGGCTTTCCCCCAAACAATTAACTCAATTAACCGAAATGACATTTTTAGCCCGAGAATTTGACGCCTTTAGAGACGTGGCAGCACATGCCAAATGTCCCTGCCCTTCGACCTTGCCCCCCACTCCTCTGCTGACCCTATAAATAACCTAGAGCCGACAAACTCCCCCGCAGTTCTCGAAAGCAGCCTTAGACTGTCGATCTGCCCTTTCTCTTCCAACATCTTTCTTTTTCCTTATTATCCTTTGGTATGCAGGCAAACAATTAAAATGATTAATTAAGCGCAGGAGCAGCGGCAGCAGCAGGACATTTTCGGGATAATGACTTAATTAACCCGGGAGTTGAGTGTTCCAGCCTAATGTGTTCGCCTCAACGACTCTGACCCTTTTTCCGTGTAAACCGTATGCATTCCGATACTAGTTTGAGGCAAGATGTTTGTCTAATTAAAAACCGTGGCCGACCGAAAATGTGGCAAGTGATGTCCGTTGAGGTGTTTAAATAGTCCAATAAAGAGGCAGCTGCTTTTGGGGTCTACCCTATATCCAAACAGATCCTGACCAACCTGATATATCCGGCGTTCGTGTAACGCACCCGCGGTTCTCTTCAAGGCTAGCTACTCTTGGCTGGCCATATATCTTGGACAGAAAGCTATCTAGATTGCTATCAGAGTGATATTTAATTACAGAATATTTTCTGTCATGTCCGATTGTCAGGCAACATGATTTCTCAGGGCAGTAGCGAAAACTATCCGATTTCTTTTATAAATTCCTTTGCCGATATGATATGATCGAATATCAATTGGAAGATAGGGCTCCAATCAAAAGCGCATTCGATCAATAAAGTGATTTTGGTGGGGAATTCCGTCACTATACATTAGCAACCATTAAGCTTCCATTAGTTGTAGGAGAGCGTTATCGCTGGCCACTCGCAATAATTTATGTTAATAAAATAGTAATATCGGCTGTCAGCAAATGGCGACGAACATGCCAGCCAACCAGCCAGCCAGCAGCCAACTTACAGCCTGACTGACAGAAGTCAATTCAATTCAAATCGAATCGAATCGAATAGATTCGAATCAATTAAAAATAAATCTGAAACTGATTGTGTGTCGCCAATGGCTGGCTTTTGTCTTTAGCCAAGTGACCAGAAACAAGTCGGATGCTGATACAAAAACATGTTAACCCCCGGCAAGATACATTATCTCAACGACATCTAAACAAATATCCCATAAAAACCATATCAATGTCTTGGATGAATATTTTATATTAAATTTAAAAACTTATCTTATCAAATACAGTATTTAAATTTGTAGTTAACATACTACAGATTTTTTAACAGTTTAAGGATTGTATCTTTAAAAAGTATTAAAAACTTTAGTATGTTATGAACTTATTTTAATTTATAATTTATTTAGCGGGTTAAAATCAATGCAAATAATGACTAATGTGAAATGTTGTCGACGCCATTTAGTCGATTGGGGGTGGGGTATAGATCGGATTATGGATTGGTATGAATATCTGAATCAGAATATACGTGGATATAGATTGTGGCGAGAAATGCCCCAGCTGGGTGATCGATTATGCTGGAAGTGGCGGCGGCGGTCGCCAATCACAATAATTGATTTGTAAATATTTTGATTTAGATTGCAATGCTAATTATGATGGCAGGCAGCCACTGACGCCATAAGTTATGGCTGCATTATCCAAGTGGGCCTTGAGTATCCACACAAGATCTATCGGAAATGAAATAAATCAAAATTCCCGATCCATGCGGAAGAATTTGTTTAAACTTTGTTTTAACTGAGGAGGCATTGATTTTTTGATTATAGGTTTGTTATATGTTGAGTTTTAAATAATTGGTTGGGGTTTCTCGACACTTACACTTTTCATCAGGTTTGACGCTCAAAATTTCAGGTGGACAATTGAGCTTTTAAAATGCCTCTTCTTGAAATGGCCCTTGTTTTCAATAACATTTACCACGGACTAAGCCGTTGCTTTAGTCCCAATGTGTATGGATTTATACTTACCTATTTTAAATTTTAAATATATCAATTTTTTCCTCCTAGAGAAAAATTTCATTCTTCACATCAGTCAGTTTCATTTTCAAGAAAGAAGATGCGAAGCCGGCGACGCAAAATAGAAAAGCCTGGTCGAGGATCGCGACATTTGCGGGCCAAGCGTTTCCCTGTCGGCGAGGAAAGTGATCAGACTGAGAGTATATCCTCGGACCAAACAGAGCTTCTAGCAACACCCACTTTTGCATCTTCTCCGAAGACCTTGAATCCTGTGCCTGTGATACCTTCATACGAGTTGCAGCAACGCCTGCTATTGCAACAACGTCCATTGATGACTAATGCCCGTCAGGCGGTAACATTTCAACTGACGAGCTGGTGGTACAAAGCGTGGCCCACCTTAGTTTCCGCAAGTGTTCAGGTAAGTTTTGGTTTCAAAAATCTCCAACTATTATCTTGATCAGTAACCTTTTGATGAAATGTTATAGATTTTTATTCATGTCATTCATTTTCATTCATATTTTTAATACTGGCACACTTCTTTAAAAATTATTTTACGTACAAATTATTTAAAGCCCTTAAAATGGAGTACCATCTTATTTTAACTGCATTACAGTTGAGCTTCGGATCGTCCATCATTAACCACTCATTGCTGGGGGAATTTGAAGAGGGGGAGTCTCCAGCCCTGACGATAATTATAGGGATTACACAGGCATTAAAGAGGGTAAGACGTATTATAATCTTTTGTAAATATTTGCTCCTATTTTTATCCAAACTTTAAGGTTTGCAATCATGCGGACAATGCCATTTCTAATACAGGCCCAGGTCCCTCATACATACCCACCTCACCGGCCATGGAGCTGATAGACCTTAATGATGTGGTGCACCGCCTGAACAATGTCCTGGTGGACTATCTAATGGCAAACTTTAATACGGAGGTGTCACAGGTCGAGTGAAAGGAATCGAGTAATCCATAGTTATGAAATAAATTACAAAATAATGTACTAAACAGGCATCAAGATAATACTACAATGAATTTAGAATTTATGCAAATATCATGTATCCCAACAGTTAAGTTTAACCAAACTCCAAACCAAATGTGATTTTAAATTATTTTTTTTGGAAAAAAACCAGTTAATAAATTATAGTTTCCCACTCTTAGACCATAAAATTTCTCTTTCCATTGCACTTTCAATTTAGTGGACACCTCAGGCCCCAAGGTGTGGCTGGAGACATAAAGTATTCCTCTCTGGTCCGTGCTGATAGATGGAATCACCGCCAAGAACCAGTTAAAGTTTATGAAGCGCTCTATTCTGGTGGCAGGTGGTTTTAACTGTTGGTTTTATGCAACCACTATACGGTACCCTCTGCAATTGTAAGCAAAATAAATTCATGAGTCAATTGGGTGGCGCCCTGGCAATAAATGACCCGAATCGCCAAAGAATTATGGGGGCGACACATGCAATGCTCTTCGAATGATCAAATCTGGCCGGGATCGGTGTCGAGCGCGATCGAGATTTGGGAGCCTTTATGCTCTGCATTCCTTGGTGCGGGTGCTTACCACATGACGATGACAGGCAAATGAATCTCATTTGGTTTGCCAAAATATTTATGCATCGCTCGCATTGACTTTGATTTCGCTGCAGTCGCTTCTGGGGCTTTCGGCTTGGGTCTGGGTTTGGGACACGCCCAGAGATTTGGCGAGCTTTATTTATGGGTTCCATGAATCAAAAGAAATCTGTCAAACAAGTTTATGACACTTTTTGCGTCTGGCTTTCGGCAAGCCGTTGACATTTTAATTTGGCAGCCATCGATGGCAATTTAATAAATTTGCTGCCTGATTTTAATTGGGTTCGGCCGAAGGAGAAGTGTTGAGCAATTGATGGTATGATCTAATTTCTTCTGGGCCCAAGTAAAGGGCACCTTGAACATTAGAGGAGGCCTGAACTAGGTAATGAAAATGTAGAAATTAAGGGCGAGACATTAGAAACTATTTTTGGACCAGAGGGATGTTTTACCTTGAAATTTTGTTATATTTGGAACAAACTTAGATAGATTATAGATTAGCTTCAACATAAACCTTATGAAAGACTCTCTGTCTTCTAATATAATTCAAAATCAGGCCACCTTAACTTAATCAATATCAAAAAACTTCTCTAAAGAACAATCTTATCTACGAAAATTCAAATTTGGAAAAGCTTCTTGTCTTTTGGACAACTTGAAAAGATTCTTTGGCTACTTCTCCCACAATTACTCAACCTGTCCCATAAGAATGTCGGAGACACTCAATAGATAGCCTTTCTTCTCAAAATCTACATAAATGTGAGCAATTTTTATTGTGCCTGCCAACGAAATCGATATCGATATCGCGGCTATTAACCAAATCAGTGGAACGGCCATGCATTGGAGAAATTTATGGAACTTTGCGGCAATAACAATTAATAAAATTAAAAGAAAAGACTCGTTGAGGTCCAAAGTTGGTGGCCACGGCTCGGGTTACTACGATAGATACCCCAACCATATAACCCATTGATATCAGAACTTAATCAAAGCAAAGACAAGAAAAAACATAGAGTTCTCTTTCATTTTGAGGGCACTGGAAAAAAATTGTGTTCTATAAGGAGAGATGCAGTCAAGTTTTTATAAAGAATTCCATTTAAGAAAGTTAAATTTTGAAAAAATATTTTTTTATGTACCATTTTTCCTTAATTTTATTTTGATGCATTTTTTCGGGTTAAGAAGCAGCAGGCAACTACGTAGCGCCGCTCATAATGTTGGCCAAAGTCAAACCGGCAACAGATGGACCGTTAACACAGCCGAGAGAACCGAGAGCGAGAGCCCGAAGATCTAGGCAGATCCCAAGTCTAGACTGGTAATCCTTGGGAGATCTTGTCCAGCGATAAACTTGGCTCTATGTCTGATTAGAGCGGCCTAATGTGACAGCCGAGCGACGTTCCTGTTCCCTGGGAGTGTTTTTTGGTCACCTTAACTGTAGTTTGAGTGATGTAATTGGAGCGACTTTGGCTCCGGCATCGACTGCGGCTTCTATTGGCCAGATGTCCATTGTCCGACGGGCCAGTTGTCCAGCGTTTTCCTGGGCACATTGTTGTTGGCCCGAAGGCGAGGCATAAATCAACATGTTAGAGCGGTCCCAGAACGTGCTATACGATGAAACCGGCTTGGCTGTTTTATTTTGAGGCATCCTTGGCCAAGACCCCTTGGCACCCTTTTTTTCTTTTCCGGAGGTGATGCATCAACTCCCAGCTCCCAACTTCCATATTCCCCCGCAGGTCCCGCATGTGCCATTGAGATTTATGTGTGACAGGCAGCGCCTCATGAACTGATTGCGTGTGGTCTCCTTTATATTTTTGTATTTTGTTTTTCATTATTTGAGCGAGTGCTTACTTTTTTTAATGCTTTTTTTCTTCTTTTAATTACAACTCAATGAACTTCGAGTGAACTGGCTCAACAGGTGGGCCCCTTTCTCTCACCTGACACAAAGTGTTCTTAAACAGATTGAGTCGCGCATCAAGCATTGACATTGAACTTTATATTTTTGATCAGCAAGTGATATCATCTACACTCTCAAGGGGTTCCACAGAACCAATAATCAGATTTCGTATCTTTTCGTCCCCAGATTTTGGGGTTTTTCGAATGTCAGCTCGTATATCAATTTCAGTTTTACCGTTAAATGATGCGGCAAACCCAAAGAATGTGCCTCGAAAATAACCCAACCCCTAAAAAAATATAACCTAATCACAAGGCCTAAAGACCCAAACCAAAATGGGATCTGAGAGCGAAATTTAATAAGTGGAGTTATCTTAAACATTGATATATTTTTTTTCAACTGTAATTCCAGTTTTCTTGAAATCACGTTAACTTAAATACCAAACTAATTAACCAACAAAAAGGAACAACCGCTTAAATTATTAAAAAGCCCCTAGGCCCTGGCGCTAAGACTGAAAACTTACAAACACTAATTGAAACGTCTTTATTACGGCCAAAAAAAAGGTGAAACAGAAACAAAAACGGCAATATATACATATATTCAATATGAAACGACTTTATTACTACCAAAAACCGAACCAAAATATTATGCATTTATATCGATCGTTTTGTGGGATCTTGGGCTTGCCCTTGGGGCATTTTACAAGCCAAGGACCCGATGAAGGCGTCAACACCAGTATTTTTATGTGCCAACGGATCTTTGTTGGAATATTCTTTCGAATCGTTTGGGGCCTTTGGTCAGTGGTACTTCTTTTACAACTTTCGCAGGAAATGGTTTGGAAAAAGGAAATACAATACGGCGGCGCTTAAAATCGAAACTAATAATTTACGAGCTCATAACTGGAGAGTAAATGGAACCCACTGAAAAAAGATGGACCACAACAGTCGAAGGCGACTCCTTGGCGACCAAAGTTTTAATATAATGGAGCACAGCCTCCAAGTGTCAACTGTCCTGGGTTGTGAACTTCACCTGAATAGAAATAAAAAGAAAGAGATGGACCAACAGAGTCTGAAAGAGATAGAGAGCGTCTAAGGTTTCGCGCGACAGCGGAAAATCAAATGAAATTGATATTTTCCGTTTTTTCGAAAACAGATGGGGACATCTAGCGAACAGAGAATATTTCTATTGAATTTTCGGTAGGGGAGTATGCAACAGGTTTTGTTTGATCACTTTATCGCCATTGAATGGGGACATTTGTTTTCCCATAAAATATTTCGACATTTTTATTGATTTTTAGTTGCATTTTTGTCATATTTTTGTTAGCTCCACCAATGAGTCATTTGATTTCTACGTTTGGACTTTTGGCGGTCAAGAGGTTTATTTGTTTTGATTTTTGCGTAGACCGCAACGCGTCACAAGCAATATTTTGGGCATGCCCAATAAAAATCACCAATAGTTCGTGGCCAAATATGCATTTTTACGTCAAAAGAGAAAGACCGCAGACTCTCACGTTGCCAGGATTTTAAATTAGTTTCTGGAAATATTTGGCCACAGATCTGTGTGGATTTAGGCACGTAGTCCCCCTTTTCAGGTGAGTCAAAATCGGCTGTGTCGATAATTGTTAGTTATGCGGAAATAAATTGGGGAATACAACTCAGGTGCGACAAAATCTTACTCATCGAAGAACTACAAGGAACAGTTGATAAATTTTAGGCTGTTGCTAACCGATAAAATCAATAATTAAATTAAATTAAAGGGAATTTGATTAAATTGAAGCTTCGGCCGACAAAAGTGTTTTGGCTTAACCAGCAGATAGTTTATATTTTATATTACGCCTGAAATATTAAAGAAATTGAAATTCTACTTCAAAATTCAACACCTTGTGATCGATCGCTTTTGCGTCAAATTCTCAACCGCAGTAATTTGCGTTGGCAGGATTTTAATTGGTTTTTTGGAAATGTTTGCCATGGATGTGTGAATTTAGGCACGTAGTCCCCTTCTGAGTAAGTCGAAATTGGCAAAAGTCAATAATTGGAAGCATTACTGTTAGTAATGCGGAAACATATTGGGGAAAACCGTTCAGGTGTATTAAAATCTTACTCATCCAGCAAAATAGCAAGAGCTGTCTTTTTTTACCCTTGAAAAGGGTATTATAATTTTGGTCAAAAGTGTGCAACGCAGTGAAGGAGACATCTCCGACCCTTTAAAGTAACTATATTCACGATCACCTACAGGGGAAAACCCAATTTTCAAGGGATCCCATCGAAAAATGGACAAAAAATCTTAAAAATATTTTGACTCAGGATTTTGATGCAGAATGGTGGCGAATCGATTCAGAAATCGCTTAAGGTACTCCACTTGAGAATCGGATGAGAATTGGGGAAGATATAGCCATCACTGTGGACCCTATAGGGAAAAACCCAATTTTCAAGGGATCCCATCGAAAAATGGAAAAAAAAATCTTAAAAATATTTTGACTCAGGATTTTGATGCAGAATGGTGGCGAATCGATTCAGAAATCGCTTAAGGTACTCCACTTGAGAATCGGATGAGAATTGGGGAATATATAGCCATCACTGTGAACCCTATAGGGAAAAACCTCATTTTCAAGGGATCCCATCGAAAAATAGACAAAAAATCTTTAAAATATTTTGACTCAGGATTTTGATGCAGAATGGTGGCGAATCGATCCAGAAATCGTTTAAGATAGTCCGCTTGAGAATCGGATGAGAATTGGGGAAGATACAGCCATCTCTGTGGACCCTATAGGGAAAAACCCAATTTTCAAGGGATCCCATCGAAAAATGGAAAAAAAAATCTTAAAAATATTTTGACTCAGGATTTTGATGCAGAATGGTGGCGAATCGATTCAGAAATCGCTTAAGGTACTCCACTTGAGAATCGGATGAGAATTGGGGAAGATATAGCCATCACTGTGGACCCTATAGGGAAAAACCCCATTTTCAAGGGATCCCATCGAAAAATAGACAAAAAATCTTAAAAATATTTTGACTCAGGATTTTGATGCAGAATGGTGGCGAATCGATCCAGAAATCGTTTAAGATAGTCCGCTTGAGAATCAGATGAGAATTGGGGAAGATATAGCCATCACTGTGGACCCTATAGGGAAAAACCTCATTTTCAAGGGATCCCATCGAAAAATAGACAAAAAATCTTAAAAATATTTTGACTCAGGATTTTTATGCAAAATGGTGGCGAATCGATCCAGAAATCGTTTAAGATAGTCCGCTTGAGAATCAGATGAGAATTGGGGAAGATATAGCCATCACTGTGGACCCTATAGGGAAAAACCCAATTTTCAAGGGATCCCAAGGGAAAAAGGAAGGAAATTAGTCGGAGTCTATATTATTTCTGCAATCTTATTTGTATATATATTTCTATTTCTTTACATAGTTTCTATTGCAAGCATAAAACAAATGATCTTTAATCTATTTTAAATTCCCGCCAATCACCCCTCCGGCATTCTTACAGTGTGGCAACTCCATGGTGACTACGTGACTCAAAAAACAGTCTTACGTATTTATATTTCTAGTTTTTGCTAGATGTTTTTTTAATTTCCCATCCGTAAAATTATGTATGGTTTGTTTTTATTTTTATTTGTGTTTTTTATGAGTTTTGTGTAACGGTATGCTTATATTTAAATGTAAATAAAATATCGAAGCAATAATTTCGTGGCGATAGTATACGTCACCACCTGACAACTCTGCCAATTTGTCACTAGTTGAGTTTTTTCCCTCGGTACCATGGCGGGCGCAGTGGTTAGATTAACGGTTAAAAGTGGCACAATAATCGCCCAGCGCTCCAGCGTGGGAGTGGCGGCCACCCGATCTGTCAGATTCTCCAGTGGAACAGGTCAATCCACTGGCGGATTTGCTAAACACCACAAATCGCGACGCCTATGGCAAATCGCAGGCGGTGGCGCTCTATCTTTGGCCGCCCTGGCGGCTTTCATCAAACTTCGGTCCTCCGAGAATCTCGTAAATGCCGTCAGCCTCAAGCGACGAATGGTAATAGTCTCAATAAAATATTATAACCATAACAAGTGTGCAAATTGTCTGGTGTGGAAAAGTCAATAATTTATGGAAAAAAGACCTGCGCAGCTATTTTTAGCTTGTGGCATGCCTTACGTCGTGCTCTTTCTGTACGTAACGTAAAGGAATGTTTTGCTATCAGCTGTTTATCGGTTTTGTTTTGCTACGCCCTTCCGCTGCATATTCCGTTTTGTTTTTATTGGCTAATCAGCGTGTTTAATTAGCCTCTAAAACTGATTTAATGTTTATCGATTCTATTTGATTACGTCGGCACGAACACTGACTCACAGACATTTCGGCTCATGGTCGTTATGTTACTATGACTGATGTAATTTGTTGTTGCTTCAGTTCAATGGAACAATAACAAAAACAACCTTTTGTCAACCTGTTGACATTGTCTCTCTGGGCCAGCCCAACACCAAAAAAAGCATAAACGAACTGACAACCTGACGTGAGTTGCGTGCTTGGGGCTGATAAGACCTTTTGAAATTTTTTGATTCGGGGTGTGAAGTTTAAATATTTACATTTAGCGGTTCAGAAGTAGTTTATCAGGGCTAGCTTAGCTTAGTAATTTGGGGGGATACCCTTTCGGAACTAGGGAGGACCGTTATTTCGTTACATTATTTTAGGAGTTTTTATTTGTTTATTACCTAAAATGGCAATAAAGTAGCATTCCTCACCTGGATTTCCAATCTTCCGATTATATTTGCATATCTAGCCATCGAAAAAAATCCATAACCATTACTGGCTGCTTGGCAACTTATTCGGAATTAATTCCAATGCCACACACCTTGAAAAATGCATGATGAAGTGGCAAAGTAGTTAGCCCGATACGCCCACGCACCTGCAGGCGTGCTCCCATTCACTCCCCCCCATTGCTGACAGAGTGGCAGTTGCTTAAAATTTATCTATCAATCGATCTGGTTGCCGATTCGATACAACCCCCACAAATATTTACAAAAACAACCATAATTCCCAATGCCAGACGCAGGCGTGGCTTTAGGTTTTGGCCCCAGTTGGATGCAGTTGGAGTTTTAGCCCGAGTTTCGGTTTGGGGTTTTCGGCTTTGGCCTGGCCCTGACATGTGTTATGACAACTGCGACGACCGAGCCTGATGATGATGAATGAGTTTTAATTGTTGCCTATAAATCCAGCGCCTGCAGCCATTTCGAATCTCCTTGTTCTTTTGTCAGAGTTCTAGAACAGTGGTTGAATCATTTTTATTGAAAATTAAAGAATGATTAATAAAGAGTCATGTTTTATGATTATTTTATTCCTTTTAAGTAAGCCACACATTTAAAAAAAAGGTTACATACTTATTAGCAGTAATATTATTATTAATAATTTAATATTCATTTTTCAAGTCTTTGAAAAACCTTCAGGTATACAAATTTTGAAATAATTTGCATAATTTTATTCATAATTACTACTGTACTTGCAACATGAATGATGTCAGCTTTGGTCCCTGGCCCCTCTTGATTTTTATTGGGGGTTATGGGCGTGGTAGTGGAGTATTTGCTGCACATGTCTAACATTCAAAGTGGCCTTTGTTCGGATCATTTTTTTGGGGGACAGACAGCGCCGGCTTGTCCCCAGAGCGAGAGTTATGGCCTGGGAGTTGCCTCTGCACCACAAATAAAATACAATTGAGTCATTCGACCTGTCTACGAGAATTCGGGAAAAATGATTGCTTGTTGTGGGTGGCATTAAATGTCAGATTTATGGAGGATCCCGGCTCACAACATGTTCTCAAATCAATTTGACACTTTATTCGCCAAACGCCCGACGTGGGAATCCTCCTGTCCTGTCCTCTGAGTGGCTCGTCAAAATTTCAGTTTCAAAAATCGAATTAAATGCAGATCATACATGTAATTCGCGATCCGTGTCTGAGAGGGCTCAGCAAACAGCAAACCGGATCAAATTAATATTTCTGAGAGCGGTTCGGGCAACACCATCGTCCATTAATCAAAACGTCACCAGATCAGACCCGTCCAGATTGCAGCTCCAGCTTTTGTCCCCTTCGGTCCGCCTTTGTGATCAAGCGGCGGAAATTCGTTCGCTGATTTATTTCAATCATATTCCCCACCAAATACGCACAACGGCATATTAAGTTACCAGCCATCGATGGCCTGATTAATATCCCGATTCCAATTTAATCTTAATTCTCCAGCGCGATGATAGTGAGCTGGAAAATGTGAAGCTAACAGCCCGAGAGCGTCGATTCATCAAGTTCGCATCCGTGGAGTTTGACGATCAGCTCTACATGACCCCCCAAGACTTCCTAGATTCGGTTGTGGAGCAGGAACCCAGACGTGAGTTGTTGGCTTAAATCTTAATATTATATATTTTAATAATTATTATATTATTGCAGCTCGTCTGAAACGCCGGCAACTTTCCAATGATGAAGTGGAGAAATATAAGGAAAACACTCCTGCTCTCAAGAAGGGTTCGACGCGACTATTTCGAAGCTTGAGAGATAAAGGTATAAACTTTTAGTACTTACTTTCTTGTTCTTTGTTATATAAATATTTTTCTAATTTCAGGCATTATCTCCTATACGGAATATCTCTTTCTCCTTTCAATCTTAACAAGTAAGATGGACAAGTTTGTTTCTTTAAACAAATTGTACTAGATTTTATTGTTTCTAGAACCAAAATCTGGATTCCGCATTGCCTTCAACATGTTCGATACGGACGGAAATCAGCGGGTGGACAAAGATGAGTTCCTAGTGGTAAATAATAAATCGTATTTAACCAAATACTCATAAATCATATGAGTTATTTAATTGATTTTATTTACTTATTATTTTACATCGTTTTAAAAAAATGTATTATTATTAGATCATTTCCATTTTGGCCGGCGCTTTCAAAGACATTCAAAATGTCGATCCAAAAACCCAGCAAATTGTAAGCATTTAGTTTATTAAGTTAAGCTATAATTTAATATTTTTTATAAATAATGTAAATTCATTTAAAATAGCCAGCCTTAGGGCGAGGAAGTAAGCTGCACCACACTTTCACTTTAGTTATACTTTCCATTAATTTAAAACTCTTGATTTATGTATAATTTGTTGTTTTTATCGGAATCTTCCAAATCTATTCGAACGCAGCTGTCGCGTTTAGTTTCCTTCGATGATCAAGGCCAGGTGGTGAAGCCCATGGTAGTGGCGAATCCCAAGAGGGGTCTCGTAAGTGTTAGCCCCAGAGTTCAGAAAAAGTATTGGCTTTGCTTCGCGAAAACTCCGCTTGAATTGTACAGAATACGAGTATAGGCTTGGCGGCTTAAACAAGCATAGTTTAGTTACGTTGTGTACATATTATTGGGAACTACTCGGTTTTCACAAAAAAAGGTTTTTCCAACATGGCCAAAGTGAAAACCGGAAGTTCTCTTTTGTTTTGTTACTTTTTTGAAGCGTAGTTATGTATATGCTTTCCTTAAAGTTTTCTATTTTTATTGAAAACTATTGGCTTCTTAGTTCTCGTTTTTGTTAAATTAAAAGCATATGTTGTGTTGAGTTTTTTTACCAGCTTTTTGTTTTGTTGAAACGAAACATCAACCCTCTACACCCCGAGCAATATCCAACTCTCTAATCGATCCACACTAAAATACCTAACTTTTCTTTTCTCCAAAAACCTAACCAAATGCCCTGCAAATAAAATTCTGTATCCCGATCCCGGCATGTACATAAAATCCCAGATGGAACGCATTTTCAGCGGTGCTTGGAAGGAGAAGCACGGCGAACACGAGCCGGAGCAGACCGACGAAACGCCCACTCCCACTCCCCTGGAGGTAAAGTATCCCGAATCCCAAGCATGAGCCTGGAGTGACTAACATTTGAATAAATTCCGCTCACAATTCACTAATCCTCTTAACCCTTTAATCTCCCCAAACACAGAATTATGTGAACGATGGCGAAGGATTGCAGAGACGTCATGTGGTGGCCACCACCCTACAGCTGCACTTCTTCGGAAAACGCGGCACTGGAGTGATCAATTTTGACAACTTCTACCGCTTCATGGACAACCTGCAGACGGAAGTGCTCGAGCTGGAGTTCCACGAATTTTCAAAAGGTAACAGTGTTATCAGCGAGCTGGATTTCGCCAAAATTTTGCTACGGTATACGTACCTGGCCACCGACGAATACGATGTCTTCCTGGAGCGTTTGCTGGAGCGGGTGAAGGATGAGAAGGGTATAACGTTCCACGACTTTAGGGATTTCTGTCATTTCCTCAACAATCTGGACGACTTTACGATCGCCATGCGCATGTACACCCTGGCAGATCGCGCTATATCCAAGGGTTAGTTACTTATTGGTTTATATTTTAAATACTAACTAGTAAGAGCTACTTATTCTACCGATTTATCAGATGAATTCGCTCGAGCTGTGAAAATCTGCACTGGCACTAAACTGAGTCCCCACTTGATCGACACCGTGTTTGCCATATTTGATGCTGATGGAGATGGACTGCTGTCCTACAAGGAGTTCATTGCCATTATGAAGGACCGTCTGCATCGGGGCTTCAAAGTAAGTGGTCGTTTCTTTGATTACAACGAGGCACTGGACGCCTATGACGAGCCCGATTACCCTATGTTTGTGGCCTGGCGACATCGCGTCTGCCGGCATTTGGAATACTTCATCGACAGCGATGCGCTTTGGCACTGAAATCTTAGATTTTAAATTATTTAATTTATATATTTAACTAGTCCCTTGTTTTGTATGTCGCTTTTTGTGCTAATCGCGCTGTCCAGCATTGAATGTTTACTCATGAGTGTTTGTTTAGTTTTGTCTTGCCTGTAAGCTTAATGTTTAAATTGGTTTTATTTTATTTAATTATAACACTTTAACCTATTTTTTAATTATTGGCCATATAACCATTAAATACTGATACACACAAAATTGTTATTTTATTTTTTGCTTTTGGTCCTTGAAAACATTATCGAAATGCAAAGGACAATGGACATTGCAATCGTTTTTTTTAGTTTTAAGTTTATTTTGAAACGCACCTGTTATCATTTCCGCATTTGTATGGCCTGTCCGGTGGTCAGACATTTGTGATTCATTGAATGTCTAACAATAAACTGGACTGTCCGGCGATTGAGTGTCCAGGTTAAGAGTCCAACCCGCAGCTGATAAGCCATATTAGCAATATTTTCTCTCCTAGCAAGCTATTGGTGATCCAGACGAGCGTCTCGAGGTTGCCATCGAGGAGGTGGCTCCAACAGGCAACGACGAGGTCAGGGGGTACAACAAACCCACCCACTCTTTGGCTTTCTATCGCTTTTTATCACTCACTTGTGTGTCTCCCGTTTCATTTTCACAAACTCCCGCCTACCTTGTGGCTACCAAAACTAATCCAGCATTAATTCAATTACAGTCCGTGGCCAAGTCGGAGGGCTGGGATGCCTTCAAATACTGCGTACGAACCGAAATGAAAACCATGATGAAATCGGCCAATTAAACTGGGAAACCTGAAACCAATTAATACAACGAGCAACTGCGCCAAAGTGAAACAAATTCTAGTTACAAAACTTTCTTCTAAAGAACCAAAATCTCTTGTTTAGAATATAATGTTTATATTTGTTGATCTATTAAACCCTATTTATGAATTTGTTACTTGACTAAGCTCCTCCACCCCCTCTCGTATAGCCAAATTGTTTTTTAAACTGGCCTTAATGGAGTGCCGCATTGTTATAAATGTATAGTGAAAATAAAACTGTTTTGTAAAATTCGCATTACGTTTTTATTTAGTTTTCATTTTGATTAAGCTTAAGACTTTATAGAAAATGCCGCTCGAAATCAAGTTATCCATTAACTCAAATACTAAACTGATTTCAAGAAGATATTAATAGTTAGAGCTATTTTCGCTTGTCAAACACGTGTTGGGATATAGATCACTTAACTAATGCATAAATATACATACAATATGTCTAAGTACTATATAAAATATAAAACTCGAACTATTTGTCTAGGTCCATTTGCACTTGGGCATTAAACAAAAATCAAAAATTATCACAGTTAAATTGCGTGCATTCGACAGACGACACACTACATTATCCTCACTATGGTATACAAAATAGTTTCCTTTTCATCTTCATCGTTATCCTTCGTGATCATCCTTCGTAAATTTAGCTAAGAACTGAATTGGGAATAGTTTTGGAATAGTTGCATATACACAAATTGCACAATTAAACAATAATAACTATATTAATAAATGATTAAAACTACACATCTCTACTATCTATCTTATTTCTTGCTTGCCCTAGTCCTGCGTCGAAGGCGGCAACGTCCAGCTCACGTACTTCTCCTTGTCCTGCGTCTCTTTCTGGGCGCCACCGTAGTTTCGATTGTTTCCCGGCTTGGCATTGCGCCGGAACTTGAAGTTCGCATACACATCACGTTTGCTGTCCGACTCCAGTGATTGCCCATCCAGCTCGAGGTTTCTCTGCAAGCCCACTCCCGCAAAGGTCAGCTCATCGCTACCCTTACGAAAGTTGTAGGCTCCCTTGCGCTGTTTGAGCTGCTGCACTTGGCTGCTGGCCGGTGGCGGCGTTTTCTTAGGGCTGCCAATTCTCGGCAGCGGCTTTGGATCTCGCATGAGCATGGGAAACAAAGCGTCGTCCGCATCGAAATACCACGGACGTGAGAAGTGATATCCCATACTGTAGTACGGCTTGAAGATCGGCTCGTTGGAGCAAATACTGAAGGCGTGGTAGGCGTGTGAGATGAGTTGCGGAAAACGGTCCACCCAGTAGTTGGTGAACTCGTGCGGAATGCAACCCAGCATCTCCTGAGCGGCTGGGGTCAGCTCATGGTAGTGATGCTTCTTGTTGCGCAGGGCTCGCAATAGGTCCCGTACACTGGCGCCCATATAGCCGCGATACTTTCTCAGATCGTCTGTAATCATGGGGTCCAAGTGCACATTCCAATCATCCAGAACCACAATACGTCCGTTTTTCTCCAAGGACTTTAGAGGTTCGGCATGGAACTGTAGCTTCTCTACACGGTCGCTGACATCCTGCAGAAACGAAAGCATTTTAGGCTCGTCCCAAAACAGTGGATGGTTTCCAATACACCGAGCTGGGGGACGGGACTGTGGATCCTTGTGGATCATGTCTGATATCAACTGTTCAGCAAGGACCTAGGAAAGCAAATAATAGTTAGTTCTCTTTTTCAAATATTATTGTTGGATTAAGCTTACAATTTTGCTGTTCTCGCTATCGTCTTCAGATCGCAGCTTGGAAAGATTGTACTCGTGCGAGAGAATGTTTGCTTGCCGCTTGAGATTGTCCCCAAAGGCATGATGACCTCCGCTGAGGACATAGTAATACACACATCCCAATGAGAAGATATCCACCGCAGTTGTCTGTAAAAATTAAAAGGATTTCATTAGCTTCTCAGTTCATCAAAAAATTGAAATGTTAGAACCCTACCGTTCTCTGGGCACGCATCATCTCTGGAGCTATCCAGCCGTCGGTACCAGTGACTCCTGACCGACGAGAAAAGCTAGTCTTTCCGAAATTAAGCTTCTTGCACAGTCCAAAGTCGGAGATCATCACCCGAACCTTGCCCCTGGCATCAGGCAACGAAATGAGAACATTCTGCGGCTTGATATCGCGATGCACAATGTCCAAGGAGTGGAGGTGGCTCAACCCAGCTGCTGCCTGGCTTAGCACCTGCCACACATCGATGTGGTCCTGCAGCTCCAGGGAACGATCGCCTTCAGTGTAGTCCTGCAAGGTGGCAGCGCATAGTTCAACGGCTATGTACCTGAACTGACGATCTTGCTCGGTGCAGAAGTAGCGCACTACGTTTTCATGAGCATCTGATTCCCTCAACAGTGCTACCTCGCGATCCGCAAAGGTAAAGCACTCCGGGAGCAATCTCTTAACAGCCACAAACCGCTCCTCAAATGTGCCCTTGAACACAAAGGTACCTTCACAGCCCTTTCCCAAAACTTCGTTTGAATTAAAGCTTATCTTGCCCACACGGACTTGACCGTCTCCCAGGTCTACGAGATCCTGGGCGTTCACGTTGCTTCCATTGCTGCCGTTGCTCCCGTTTGATCCGTTCTGGGTTATAGCAAAGGTTTTGGATCCGTTCTCGCTCTGCTTCTGCAGCTCCCGCATGGTGCTGCAGGTGTACCAGAAGAGGGCAATCATGCCCAGAACGATTACGATCAAAATCTGGTGGACCTTGCTGCTCGGATGCTCCATAAACCACTCGTTGATAAAGGCCTGCACCTTGTTGCTGTTCTGCAGGATGATGGTCTTGGTACGATTGATTGTGTTGCCGTTGGCTCGCTGATCTATGCCGATCTCCACGATATTGGGATCAGTTTGCACGCCAATATCGGCGGAGTTCTTCTCGTTGTTGGCCAGCAGCCCATAGCCATCATTGTAGTTATGTATGGTAGCCAGACTTTGGATACTCTTGCTGCTGGCAGAAGTGGGAGACAACTGGAGGTTTCCGTTGCCTTCATTGGGCATGTTGTAGTGGCCTAGCATGATGCCGGGATGCTCCTGCAGCACATCGTTGATATAAACTGTTCGTGGATCGGTCTCCTGGTTGTTGTTTGGTTCGCCCACAGGTCCATCGATGAGTTTGATGGGCGGCGTAGTTGAAATACGCGGCGTATTTTTGTCCATTAACGATGGAAGGGCATACAGCCCATTTTGATGCTCGCCAACATAAAGGGATTGGCTAAAACAAACAATAAATTAACAAAATTTAAAAGAAAAATAAATATCTTTACTTACAATAGCTTAATCGTGTTCACGTTGCCCGTTTTGGACTCTTCCAAAATAGCTTGGAAGGCCTCATCGGAGAGCGTGGTAAAAGGCACACTGAGCAGTCCATCAGGACCCAAAAGAAAAGCTGCCACGACCGGGCTGCTCAGATCCCGCTGCCACAGAAACTTGCCTTGCTTTCGGTCCAGGGTAACGATTTGGCCATTGCTAGTGGTGGTCAGATGGATGTATTCTGAAAGATGATAAGTATTTTTAATAAATGACTATTATATTTCATAGTTAACCCGAACTTACCATACTCCTTAGCCAACTCTGGCGGGGCGCTAAGAGCATTGTAATCGTAGAACGTGATGTTCCACGGCTTGGCGTTCTTGTCCTTGGCCAGACTATCAAACATCATCACCGTGTACTGCGTTCTGCCCAAGTAGATGGACCGCGAAGTGGCCCAGCCGATCTGCTCGCCCTCCTTGCCATCCATGCTGGCATCTCCAAAGCCCATGACCTTCTCCCGCTTGCCGGTTTTGGGATCCACCATGTACCAGGTGTCACTCTTCTTCCCAGAGTATAGAATGCCATCCGAAGAACGACACGGGGCATTGGCGACCAGCTGGGGAATGGTGTACGGCAGCTTCTTGAGGCTGCCCATTTGGCCCAGTTGGTAGATGCTTCCATCCCGGGGATCGGGTAGGAAATGAGGAACCTGGACATTTTCCTGAGGTTCCGCCACTATCGGGGGATCTATAATAGAATAATAATGGAATTAATAGAATTCAAGATTAACAATTGATGGCTTTCTTTAGTTTCCTAATTACCGGGAATTACCTATAAAATATATATTGTGTTTGATAAGCGGGATTGAAATGAAATCGTGTGTTTGAGATTTATTCTGGGAATTAATCATCACAATTCTTATCAAGGAAGATTGAATAATAGAGAGACACATATTAAGAAATGTATTAAAGCTTAAATACAAAATTATTTCGAAGAAATCCCAATTCAGACAACAAAAATTAAAGATGTACTTGTTGAATAGCTTTTCTTGTAATTCATGTGGGGAACAGGGAAACCTCTCAAAGTAGGAAACCGGGTGCAATAAATGGTTACTGGAACCTGTTCCCGATAACCCTTATCTTATTTAGTTAAAGCAATGGGAACACATTTGTAATCTAAAACAAACTCTTAACCTGTGCAGACACCAAGACATTTATGTTTTTAAAAAAAATAATATTTGCCGGATGAATAAGCGGGTTTTGCCCGAGTCCGAGTCAAATTCAAGCCAAATAGCAGTTGAATAAATAATATTCCGCAGATCCGAAGTTTAAAGGGAGGTGGAGGATTGGTTCTATAATGCTTATGCCAACGTGTTGGCAATTTTCGTTATCGTCAACTCCATACTTTTGCCAATGCAAATGGCCAACGACGAGTGCAAGATAATACGAGGGAATATATTAAACAAAACTTAATATATTGCCAAGCCCAATCGCCCGACTCCAAGTGCCGCCCATATCGAGTAATGAAAGTAAACAGTTTGTAGTGGGGACCGAGTGTTATCAGTAATTACTTACAACCCCAAAAAAACACATGGCCCGGCTGCGGCGGAAAAGTTCTTGGCATTAGCCGGAGTGGTGCCTCATTTTCTGGGGCAGGTCATTTAACCCGCCACCTCGCCACTTTCGTTAGCATGGGCATACTAATTAACTAGCGGTAGTAGTAGACAAAACCAGATTCAGTCCGATGAGGTAATAGTATCCAGTATGTAGTCCATATCGGTAAATTGATCTCTTGTTGGACTTTTGAGCGTCGCACTGGCGCGAATCAAAAACAAATTATTGGCTTGAATAACTCAACAAAATGTCCCTCTGATTTGGCTTGTTTTAAAATCCCGGGGGTCAGATGCTGTCCACATGTTTATCACCCACAATTTTCAGCTATTGGCAGTTCCACGAAGTCAAAAACTAGAAGCGGGCGGCATGAAATTTCTAATAATACGACTGGACATACAAGTGTATGGAATGGTGCAGTTATCGCATAAAACAATCTTTACGGGGCGTCGGTTTTTTTTTTTAGTACATTTTTAAACAAACATGTGCTGGAAAGTACAATTATTGTCCACAGAATTAGTCGTCATGACTTCCATACTTCCCTTTTGGGTTAATAACCAAGATTCTATGAAGTAATATTTATCGAAAGTAAGAGCTATCAGCAATCCCAAGAGAACTAATAATAGAAAAGACCGAGAGCTGAGAGCAAGTTAATCAAAAATTAGCTGCGATTGATAGTTCGAACTGGGAATGCTCTTCTTTCTAGGTCTAAAGCCCGCATATTAGATTAAATGCATTTCGTAAATTAATTGCTTTCATTATCTGAGCAAACAGGGCTACTATTTTAACCCCCAATTGCAATAATCCAGACATTGGACAAATATAGGCCATCAACCACTTTTAATCGCCTCGATAGCCACCTCATTTGAAAGACTATGATGACTCATGAGGCCTAAACTTAATGGGTAACTTTTGGAGTCTCATTCGAAATAACCTTATGACTAGGTCCTATTAGATTAGCTCCTATATGCCATCAGAAATCAATACGTCACGCTGATAAACAGCAGGAATATTCAATGAGGAGAAAGAAAATCAATCCAAAGTCCCAAACACCCGCTACCAGGAATAGGGTAATGGTCGTACAGCAACTGGTGATATCGCGGCCTAGCTGGCAACTTAATTGGAGGAATTGTACGCCGAGAGACTGTCGAGATTGTGTATATACGTGAGGGCCTTATCAGACCAAAACCAAAATACAAAGCATGATACGGTGAGAGTGGAAGGAAGCATTCAACAGAATTCAGCGGGAAATCTCATCTCGCCTATCCTAACATGCGTTCAAATTGGATGTTGTGATGACCTCATCGTCCGCGTGTTTGTGCAACGCATTTTGCAATGCGAATAGGATGGTGGCATGTGCAACAGCTTTGTGGAAAATTTTCCTCTACAAAGAAACAACTATTTCTAGATAACTTTGGCACATAAAGACAATATTATAGAGGGTTAGGTAAACCATAATAAAGGTACTACCGGCATTGCAATACAACCTTATGAGTTCCGATATGGGTTAAGTTCTTTAACAACTAATTTTCAAGATAATTATCTTTCCATAATAAGAAATTCTTTAAATTTTCCTAGCTATGCCCTAGGATAGGGGCCATATGTTTGCAGTCCCACGAATAGGGGTGCGGTGGTTTTGAAATTGTAAGGACCGCTTAATTACCATCTGCTATAGTCCAACGTATTTCACTAGTCACTGGATCGATGGCTGTCAGTCCGCCGCCCAGAGTGGAGAACACCATCAGCGCCTCCTCGTCCCGGGCCAGGTCGGTGCAGTCCTGCAAGCGGTGGAGGAGGGAAAACTTATTACCAACATATTGGTGGGAAGCGATGAAATAATAATTAGGTTGGCTTTGGTGTCTAAATGGGTGCCCATTTACAGTGAACCCTCCTCAGTGGGTCAGCCACCGCGGTTGTACTCACCGTCTTCTCATCCTCTCCGCTAGTAACGACTTCTGCTGAGTCGGCGGCTTGTTTGGCTTTTCCTAGGGCTGATGCAATAGGTGTGCTGGCCAGCAAAAATAACACGCAACAAACCACAACGCAGAATCTCATTTTGCAAAACAGAGCTTCTACAGCCGGGCGGGAATTGGTGCGGGGGGGGTAGAAAGGTAGAAAGGCCCAGCGAGAGAGCGAATCGCGAACAATTATTTGCGAGTTTCGTTTCCGTTTTTATTAGCACATGCAATCACTATTTGTTTCTTGGTTCTGGCATATTTTCATACCGGTTTATTGGGTTTTAATCACCGTTTGCAGTTCACTCCACATTTTCTTCGCAATAGCGTTTTCAATTAGTTTTACCATTTGCCATTGTTGAGTTTTGCTTGTGAAATGAGCTCGAGTCCGACGATGAAAAAGACCTAACGCGTTTGGTACAAAAAGTAATCGAATAATCGAAATTTCGATAAAAATAATGATTTAATTTTGCGTTACTGAATAAAAATTAATTAGTATTTTAAAATTAAATATTTTACAGTAGATGTCAGCGTCAGTTATAGTTAAAAAAAATAATAAAACTAGTTATTTTTTAATAGGATATTATTTCATACAATACTATGCTGATAATAAAATATCTCGACAACCCTGTTTAAGCCGATACCTTATACAATGCGGCTCACGGTTACTGGTAATTTTTTGTTTAAACGGCTGCTGCACACTGAGATTGCTGGGAATTATGCCAAACAACAGCCACGAAACCTTAAGGGCCGGAGCAAAAGCTCCCAGGAGTGGCTCACACGTCAGCTGGCAGATCCCTACGTAGAGAAGGCTCGGATGATGAACTATCGCTGTCGCAGCGCCTTTAAGTTACTGGAGATTGATGACAAATACGGAATATTACGGCCAGGGGACACAGTACTGGACTGCGGAGCTGCCCCTGGAAGCTGGACCCAAGTGGCGGTGGAGCGCACTAATGCAAATGGCAAGCAGGAGCGGTCGCCCCAGGGAGCCGTCTTTAGTATTGACCTGTTGCATTTCCATGCGGTGCCGGGAGCCACGATTTTCGGCGGCATGGACTTTACATCCACCCTTGCGCAGACGCGGTTAAGGGAATCCTTGAACGGTCGACAGGTTAACTGTGTCCTCTCTGATATGGCACCAAATGCTACGGGAGTGAGGATGCTTGATCAAGAGAGCATCACGAATCTTTGCTACGAGGTGCTCCGTTTTGCCATTGCAATGTCCGCACCACAGGCCCATTTGGTGGTTAAGGTGTGGGACAATGGAGATGTACCCAAGCTGGAGAAAGACATGCTTCGCTTCTATGATAAGGTGAAGCGAGTCAAACCTCGTGCGAGTCGAGGAGATTCAGCGGAACATTTCCTGGTAGCTAGAGGATTTAAAGGACCTCCAGATAACACTTCAAAAACGTAGTTTTTGCCTTATTTTAATTGTTAAATAATTCTGTTAATAAGAAGAGAAGTAACTTTAATATTTTACATTTTTTATAAGTTGAAAAATATATACTTTAGAAAACCTTTTACAAAGTAACTCCAAAAACAAGGCCAATTGTTAAGACTACATTAAGAACAAGAATCTTAGTGCTTGTAGTGGGTGAGATGGTCGATCATCCAGTAAAGCCACTTCGGTTGATCGTGGGGAGCCATATGGCCTGCATTTCGGACCATGATCTCCACAAGGTGGCCGGCATGCTTAGCATACCCAGCCACCTCGCCATCAACCCTCCAGATCTCGCGAGGAGCCACCTTGTATTTGTCGGAGCCCTCGAACTTCAGATGATTAAGGTAGTTCCTGGTCAGTGGATAAGCCACAATGATGTCCAACTGGCCGCTATAAATGCACACAGTGTAGTATGAAAGTAGTTCAGCTATCCAAGGCGCCACACTGTCCATCACATCCTTTTTCAGATGCAGCTCCACCTTGTTCTCCTTGTCCAGGTCGTGGAACGGCTTGTTACCCACATGAATCGCCCGTCGTGTGGCACCAGCCTGAAGGAAATTTCCCAGATTGGCGCCGTCATCGTCATGGGTCTTCAGATAGTTGTAGTACCAGTTGTAGCCCGTGAGATTGCTGAACAAGGAGCCGTTTGTGAGGTCTCCGTTGATTAGCGAGTCAAACACGTCAAAGGCGCATTCCATATCCCGATTCTCGATACAAGCTGCTCCTTTAGCCTCCGCTTCGTGGAAGCTCTGCAGCCCGTGCTCATCAATCAGACCCAACTGATACAGATAGTCACCGTACTTGAGCTGGTGCAGTGGATCCGAGAGGCCATTTCCAATGGCTACGCCCTTGAGAGGAATATACACGCGCGTTTCTATGGCATTCTGAACTTTGTGGATATGATAGGCCAGAGCGGGAACATATTTGCCCGCGTAGGATTCTCCTGTAACCCAGAAACCCGAAGAGTTACTCCACTCAAACAGCTCGTACAGCTGCATTACAGCCTCATGAAGATTGCGGCCCACATCCTTTTCATTCTTGGCATAGCCCTCGTCTTTTTCGGTAAAGCTGAAACCAGTGCCCACGGGATTGTCAATGTATATCAGATTGTGGGTCTTGCTCCATGTGATGTCACGTTTCTGGGGCTTCCCATGAGCATCTAGTTGAATAGGGCCGTTTTCGGTAAACAAACCAAACAAGGACGAGGCACCAGGACCACCCTGCAGCCACAAAACAACAGGAGCAAAGTCTGGGTCCTGCTCGGCGGGGAAATACCAAAAGAACATGTTGGAGTTAAAGTTGGGATCCACCGTCAAGTAACCGGAGTAGCTCTCCACGCCATGAAACTGCGATGCCTCGACCCGAGCCAGCTGCTTAACCTTTTCGTTGGACATTGAGGCATTGTTGATCAATGGAGTTAGGAACAAAGGCTCCCCAGGATCGACTCCGTCGTCAAAGAATGCATATCTCGGATATGGGTTGATGAAGCTCCGTCTGTAGGGGCGTTCCTCCGCACCAGATACCGCGGCTATCACCGCGATAATTAGAAATGCGCAATGAGTTGCGGTTTTCATTGTTCGTTGTTCGGCTGCGCTCCTCAAACTAATTAAAAAGGGGAGAAATTATAAGCAACGGCTTTGCAACGCCCCGACCTACTCACCAATCGTTCGATAAGGCTGTATAATCAGTACTTGCACTTTGCTTTCCTTCCTTTATTTCGCAGAGCCGGCAAAAATATTATGGATCTGATTTATAAAATCAAGTATTGATTTCAGTGTAGTGGTGTAGGGGTAGGGTTGCAAGACCCACCAAAAGATTTTTTTATAAATCTATCGGTTAGGTACTTTTATTTATCTTAATCATTTTATTCCAATTACATTTTTTTACTTTCTTTTAAGTTTTAGAACTTGTGCTATATAGTTTCTTAATGTAAATATATTAAAGACAAAAAGACATTCAAAAGATTACTTTTATTTCAAAATCAAAAGATTCCCTTTGGCAATCAGCACCTGCATATATGTATGTATTTGTGCCAAACACTATTGGAATTTAATTAAAAAACTTAATTAAAAAAGAGGAAGGCTTATTATTAAAGAACAAAGAACATCAATTTGAAAAATAGCGCCAAAAAGCTTCGACTAATGCTGCCAGATCGATCCACTCAACACTTTGTTTATTTTAGCTCTCCAGTATTTTACTGTCCAAAAAACAGACAATAACAATACTTATCTTTTTATATCACATACAAAACATATCTCGAGCGGGCAGCAGCTCTAGTCAGATCATATAGGATATCCGGGAAAAGACACAGTGAATCGACAGAGCCGCCGATCTGGCAATATCGGGAAAATTGCGTCAAAATTTCAGTGGTATAAAATCAGCAACATCAACAGAAAGACAAAAACTGCCCAGCGCTAACGACATTTCAACTAAACAATGTCTATCGCCGACACGCTCGACTACATTACCCTAGGCAATCCTGTCAGCAAGATGGTCATCTCGTCCGCCTCAACTTTTCTACGCTCACTCGTAATTTTTAGGATTTTGCAAGGAATTACAGTTCCTGGCCATAAATTAACGCGAATTTTTATTGTAGGGTTTGCGTCCAAAACAAGTAACGGTGCAGGAAACTTCATTGGCAATGCAAAATGCTGCTCAACAGTATGTCCATCCACATGGATCTCTACATTACCTCGCCGGTAGCCATTACCACTTTGTGCGGCTGGCCGGGATCGGCGGCGCGTCTGCCATCTTTATGGGCGCCTACTGTAAATATATCCTGAAGGATGTCAGTGATCCCAAGGAGCAGCTCGACTCGCAGGCTTTTGCCGATGTAGCCAATCGCATACACTTCCTGCATTCGTTTGCCATGATGGCCATGCCTCTCGCCCATTATCCAGTTCTCGTAAGTTTTTATTAGGGGAATCTCTTGTTTAGAAAAACACATTCGCATCGATCTTGGTTTGTTTATTTGTAAAGCTTTTGTTTGCCGGTTTTGTGGTTTACATAAACTCTGTGTAAAGTTAGGTCTCTGAACGGAATTTATAACAACTCGCGTTTCTCTCTTATTTCCAACTTGAAACTCCAACATTGATGTTACCTTATAATTGACACTCTGCTTAGCTAGACCTAATGCGCTGATTGACGTTACAAAAATTGAGCTTTGAATGAATATTGATTTCGGCCAAGCGCTTCAGTGTAACATAATTACTCTCGTTCTCTATATATAATATTTATGCATATGTATATTAAGTTGTATATGAAATTTTTCCAAAGCTAAAGCTAAATGTTCAACAACCACTAATTGCAGCTTACAAAGTAATTTTCAATACCACACACGATACTTGTATACTTGCATTAATTGAGATATTTTTTTGTTTGTGATATGAGCAGGTTCATAGCTGATATGGGTTCGGGGCTTGGGTAGGAATTCATTAGGTTATTTTAATTTTACATTTTAATTATTTAAAAATGTACCAAAAAGGCAAAGATATTTGTCCTTGTTAGCTGCTATTTCAATTGGGTTTTATCAGCCTTATTTGACAAGTAAAATTTGGAGCTTGCTGCACTCCCTCTTCTGATCGGGTTTAAAGCCAACAACTAAAGCTAACATCAAAATACGCACACAAAACTCTGGCCCTTTTCAGCTAATTTCTAAATCTTATATATAAATCAGGGTAGAAGGCCTGTTCCGTGTTGCATACAAGTAAATGCTTATTCAGTTTGGGTATTTTTTTGAGGGTACATTTTTAATGGAATATATATATAATGATTTTATTATTTGGTTCTTGACTGGAAATTCTAGATTTAAATGCGAAACTTTTCAGGTTGTTTTTTACCATTAAGTTCTATTAACTTTTTTATATTGAAACAGGCCTGAGTATAATTTTTTACACAATTTATAATATCTGCTTTCTACCCGCAGACTGGCACGCTGATGACCTCGGGCACGTTGCTGTTCAGTGGCTGTATGTACTACCGTGCCCTAACGGGCGAAAAACGACTGCAACCATACGCGACCATAGGTGGATTCTGTTTGATGGCCGCGTGGTTGTCGCTGGTCTTGTAGACGAGCCTGGAGGAGGAAAGTTAGCTTATTTATATATTATATAACACATTCTGTAACAGTAATGTAGTGGATGAAGAGGCAACTAAAGCTATGCCAAGTTTAACATACAACAATAGCTAAAAATTAGTTTTGTCTTTTCGTTTTTCCAACTGCGCTGTCAGTGGTTTTATAATAAATACATTTAGTGATAAAAGTGAACTCTAGGAGGGCCTTTCAGCTAATGGAAGATTCTTTGGAGTTAAATGCTTACAATTTCTTAGTACATAATACTATATAAATGAGCTGTTTGCCAAATGTAAAATTGCTAAATTAAAATGAAATAAAAATGTGTTAACAAAAGATCCAACCGAACTGTTACATTTATTGTAAACCTGTACATTAATAAATTACTATAAAAAACACACATTTATATTAATACTAGGTGTAACATTTCATAGAATTCTTTTTTTGTTTTAATTTTTTTTTTTCTTGTTTTTTGTTTAGTTTTTCTTTTTTTTGTTTGTAAGTTGTTATTGTCGTATTACTGGAACACATAATACAAATGCAATGCGACCTTTTAAAGGTCAATGCATAAAGTTCAGCTAAAATTAATTATTGCACACATTGATTTCTTCTCTTCTTGATGGTATAAAAACATTTAGTTCCTACGTTCTTCTACTCTTGTAGAATTCTTATTGTCTTGCTGTTTTGATTTCTCATCGAGTTTCTAGCTTTATACATCTGACTAACAATTAATTTGATTTGTACACGATTTGTAAAAAATTCTTTAGCCGCAGCTGTTCTGCTATCCTAGTAACTTTTGCTTGGAGGCCTCCGCAAAGAGGAAGGTCTTCTGTATGCCCGCATTGGCCGCCGGATGATTCGTAATTGGTTCCAGTATCTTAAGTATGTAGTCTTTGAAAGCCTTCGGAACGGCGAAATGTCAAGAATCCTTCTTCAGCCGCAGGTTTTCCTCATGGGCCTATAAAAGAATATTTTTGTATAAAAATATATATATGTATTATTTGAATACTTTTCTTACCTTTTGTGCGACCTTCAGGAGGGCATCGAACGTGGCATCTCCTGTCTGCTTCACCATACCGTGGAACACCTTCTTCTCGCTAACCGTTAGCAGCTCGAATGGAGAAGCAAACTCCACCGCTCTGCCTGCATCCATGACCAGCACCTTGTCCGAGTCCATCACAGTATGCAACCGATGGGCAATTGTGAGCACTGTGCAATCCTTAAACTTGTTCCTAATCGTCGTCTGAATGAGCGCATCCGTTTGAGGATCTACGTTGGCCGTGGCCTCATCCATCACCAGAATTCGATTCTCGCGAAGAATAGCTCTAGCCAGGCACACCAGCTGCCGTTGACCCACGCTGAAGTTGGTGCCACCCTCGGATATTTTGCTTTGCAATCCGCTGGGCAAATCAGCCACCACTTGCTTAAGCTTCACCTCCTCCAGGGATTCCCACAGCTTGGCATCACTGTATTCATCGAAGGGATCCAGGTTATAACGCATAGTGCCCGAAAACAGAACAGGTTCCTGTGGAATAATGGATATCTTGCTACGAAGATCGTGTAGTCCCAGATCGTTGGTATCCCTCCTGTCGATAAGGATGGCGCCCTCGTTGTAGGAAAGGCGGAAAAGAGCGTTGATGAGCGAGGATTTTCCAGCGCCGGTGCGTCCCACGATGCCCACCTTCTCGCATCCCTGGATGGCAATGTTCAAGGATCGCAGAACATAATCGGCCGCCTTGTCGGGGAAGTATTTCAGCGAGAGGTCGTCAAACACAATTTTGCCATCTTCAGGCCAATCCTTTGGAGGCTTCTTGTTCGGCTTGGACTCAAAGTCACCCTCGGGCTCCAGATCTTCGTATTCGACCACTCGTTCCACTGCCGTCATTGTGTTCTCCAGTTCCGCCGACTGTCGCATACCCCACTGCACCATGCCCGTCATGCCCATAGCTTGGGTGATGGCCAGACCCACATCACCACCGTTCTCCGGGGTGAAGAGGAAGAAGCTCAGCGTGATCACTGCAATGTAGAGCACACAAACACAATCCAACCAATATCCAAAGGCTCGGCTTGTGGCCAAGAACATGTAGTAGCCGGAGCTGTGCATATCCTGGTAGTTGTCGAATTCGGCGATAAGTTCCTTTTGAGCTCCAAAAGCTCGGATCGTGGCCAAGCCATTAAGAGATGCACTCAAGTGGGAGTAGATAGGGGATCGAGCTGAAGAATGAGGGTACAATTAGTTCCAAAATGCTTTTCAATATCTATTACAACTAATCCACTTACTGACAGCTTCCAGGCGCTTAACATCTCTGGAGGTATTAAGGTAGAAGACTCTTAAGCCATAGAATATGATGACCAGGAAGAGGGTGGCCAGAATATACCACACATTGACGATGCACAAGACTACGACAATACCGACGATGGCAAGGAAAATCTGCATTACGTCCATCATAACCGAGGGCAGGATCTCGTCCACCTGACCCAAATCCTTGGAGAAACGGTTAAGAATACGACCGGAGGGATTAGTGTTGAAGAAATGCATCGCCGCCCGGGTCACGCCCTGGAACATGGTGTTGTGCAAGGTCGTGGAGCTGCGCATGGCTAGGTAGAAGAAAAGCATGCTTCGCACGAGGGAGAAGATGATGACGGACACGTTGATGCCAGTAAAGTAGTATATATCTATCGGATCGGTGTCTGCGTTAAGTCTGGTCTCTGGGAAGGCTCGTCGCAATCGGGCCATGATGTTTTCTTGCTCAGCTTCGCCATTTTTGTTTACCCTGTAAAGGAAGACTTTAGAAGACCTCGAACCTCAAATGAAAGTATCAATAACTCACCAGTATGAGAGGAAGATATCTCCGCCAGAACCAAGCACCTGGGCGCCGATGCAGAAGAAGGCGAAAACAATAAACAGTCCATAGCCATTGGCTCCAAAGTACTTCTTGTACAGTTTCATGCCGATGCGTCCTTCCACGCGACCCTCCTGCGTCTGCATGGGCGACTCCGCTGCCAACGACTCCGCTGCGGATTCCATAGAGGAGATACTGCCATGTCTGTCTCGCAGCTTGCTGTTCTGTCGAGAGAGAGCCTTCTTCTCGGCTGCATCACCGGCGCCTTCGTCCTTCTTGCTGGGATCCGTAAGCATCTTGGCAAAGTCCAGTCCAGTCTTGCTCATGGATTCGTAGGTGCCCATGGCGCTAATCTTGCCCTTGTCCATGATCACAATGACGTCGGCCTGCTCCAGGAATTGCAGTTGATGGGTGACCAGTAGAACTATTTCCTCCCGCAGGAAACCACGCATACACTGATCGAATAGATGGCGACCCACATGAGTGTCCACGGCGCTGAGGGGATCATCCAAAAGGTAAATGTCTGCCTTCCTGTAGACAGCCCTGGCCAAACTAATACGCGCTTTCTGTCCACCAGACAGGGAGGCTCCCCTTTCGCCCACAATCGTCTTATCGGCATAGGGAAGCAGCTCGAAGTCCCGCTCCAGAGCACACTTCTTCACCACCGTGCGGTAACGATGCTTGTCCATGGGCAGTCCAAAGAGAATATTCTGACGCACGGTGCCGGTGAAGAGCCAAGGTTCCTGAGAAGCGTAGGACACGCTGCCATTGACCTTTACAGATCCTGATTCAGGGGGCAGTTCTCCCAACACGGCCTGAATCAAACTAGACTTTCCGGATCCAACTGGGCCAATGACCGCCACCAACTGGCGTGGCTTGAACTTAAGGCTCACATTGTCCAGCGTGTAGTCCGTGCTCTTGGAATTCCACCTTGACTTCAGTTTGTTTATCACGATGCCATGCTCTGCCTCACTGCTACGACGACTGTTGGGCTTCAGGACTCCAGTGGATTGGGCTGCTACAGGATCGGCAATCAGACCCGATTTTCCCAGCTTTTGCTCGTCCTGATCATCCGACTTGTCCCGGACCTTTGTCTCCTCGTGCAGCATGAAGGTCTGGATACGGCGGATGGAGACCAGGAGCTCGGCGAACTGTGAGATTCCCATGGGGAAGTAGACGGTCATGGTGTTTCGCAAAATATTGTAGTAGGCGGTGATCACGAACGCCTTCTCTGCCGTCAGGAGCTGTCCGAGGAGCACAAATCCCACCAGACTCACAAACACGGATATCCTCGTCACAAACATGATGAAACTCTGCAGCGTACCACGAATGTAGTTCACATTCCGGATGGCGTTCATCTCCTTGGTGCGTACGTAGTTGATCATCTTGCTGAATGGGATCTCCCAGGCGTACATCTTGATCACCTGAATTCCAGAAATGATTTCGTTCATCATGCGGACACGCTCATCCGTTCGAAGAGCGGTCTTCAGCCTGAGAACCGAGGTCTTCTTGCCCAGATACGCTTGCAGGGGAATAAACAGCAACATGACGGCCACTCCAAAGAAGGCGGATATTCCAATCTGTGGGATAGAATAGTATTCGTAAGATTAATAATATTTAAGATGATTTAAATCCAAAGAGAAGAGCAACAGACTCGTTTAGCCGAATCTTCAATCGATTTAAAAAGGAATACCATATAAACACATAAACACTTCATCAATAAACAATGTAAAGTCTGGGAAGTTCACTTCCATATTTTCGTACAGCTGGTTAATTGCAAGATAACCCACCTCTCGGTACATGAGATATGTAATAATAGCAATCTCCACGGGGCCCAGCCATAAATAATTCATGTGGATGACGGAGACGTCCAGCCTGCCCACATCGTTCGAGATGAGATTGACCACCTGACCGATGGTGGTGTCGCCCAGTGCCGTTCGACTCAGACGCAGGGCCTTTCGATATATCATACCTGCAGGGCGATATCATTACTCAAATGTCACAAGGGGAGCCGCAATCCCCATCCCCGCAGCTTCAGCTTACTTACTTGTCATGGCTATTCTGGCCTTCATGCCAAGGTGGAACATGCCCAGCATGTAGGGATGCATGAGGAGCACGTTGAAGGCGCTGCACAAGATCACGCCCAGGGCGTACAGATAGGCCTCCATCTGGTTGTCTTCCGAATTATCATTCTTCGCATAGAATCGTACAAGACCGCCCAGGCACAGTGGCTGGGTGACTCTGAAAGAGTATAGAGGAGAAGTTATAAGTTAAGAGGTTATAAATCACCCAGGTATCTGGGGAGTGGGCGGGGTCAGGATGAGCCGACTTACCGGAAACCGATCTCCAAGATGAAGAGCACCAGACCCAAGCCGGCCAAGCGCCATCCAAAGACGCTCATCGAGGCCTTCAGCAGGCTGGGGGTCTTCTTTTTCTTGCTCTTCTTCTCCACCTCCTTGTCCCACGCAGCACTGAGCTGGGCGCCGAGGGTATCTGAAAGTACACAGATCGTCCAGATTGAGATATCAACAAACTGCACCCATTTCATGTGCGGATAATAAATTATGTCCAACGGCATGACATGCTTATAGGCATGAGGATACTCATATCAGAGTGGAGATGCTAACAGTGTAAGCACACAATAACCGATTACTTTGCTTGCATTTATTTTGCAAGTCATAAAATGGATTTTTTCTTGTATTAGAACAAGTTTGTAGTTCATGAAGCCATCTTTAATAAAAGCTGAAAATAACCTGCTAAACTGCACTAAAAATAGTTCACAAATTTCCTGTAATTTCCACGGATAATTAAATATGATTTATTGTCTGGGTAATAAATGGTATGATTATAAACTTTATATCAAATTCCAAAGCTATGAGATTAATCCCTAAATCGCTATTTAGAGTCTGAATTTTCAATGGCAAAATATGCGTAAAATTGTAAAGCTTTATCTGAATGAACTACATCTTGAGGGCCACATTACGAAGTCTCATATCTTGTCTATATTTAAGCCTTTTATTAATTTAACCGCATGTGCTATAACACTTATCACTTTATAGCCCCTTCAAAACGAGTAGTTTTCTTTTAAAAATAAGATTTCAACAATGGTTTAAAAATTATAAAATGACGGTTGTCTTTTTGAAGAGGAATATACTTTGTGACAGTTTTAAGAAACTATTGTAGTCCAAAAATAAAAATAATAGAGCTCCCATAAATGACTGACACAATTCAATTATAATTTTATAAATGTCCTTACTTTATTATCATTATTATTGCGATATCATTATGACCGCAACCGTGAATGTAATAAAGCCGGAAAATTGTCAGTTCGGCTAGTTTGGTTTAACAGTGAGTTATGGCTGGCAACAAAACCAAATCCCGGTCAGCTGCCAGCTGCATTACGTCCAATCGAGTCTTATCGGCTCTGAGAGATTCCCCGCCACCCCAATACCCGGCCCATATGGGGATGGATTCCGGCACTTCCGTAAGGCTTAAACCAGACTCGAGGGCCGTAGATTGCAAATTGATTAGGTATTGGAAACAAAAGCGTTTAGCTTGACATTTGTTATTGTTATTAATTATATAAATATTTGCCCAAATATGTAGTGTTACTCTGTACAAGCCCCGTGCCACGATCCTCTCAATGGAGTATCTACGGGGGCCCATTAATTATAAGTTTCTAAGTAAATAAGCCTGATATAGCTTATAGCGTATACAATATCGGGGGTGATGCGAGAATGCTATCAATTATTTTTTGGGCAGAAAATTCAATTAAGTGCGGCGAACGGACGTTGACAAAGTTATCAAAATTGTCATTTTTGGGACAGGGCCTAAGATTTGAATGAGGAACTCAAAGGTCTATTGGATATCGCTATCTCAGACGATGGTATAACTCAATAGGTGATGGTGCAAAATGTGTGTATCCAAGAGCTATCTTATCAACCGGATTAGGCGCGACTATAGTTCCGCAAAACCGATCTCAATGAACCAGTTGTATATAAAGCAAACCAATAAAAATAAAGCAGACGTGATATGCAGGCACGAACACCTTATCGCTTGTCTTCCCTCTCGACAATCGGGTGATCCTTTAGATCGGAGGAGTAACCAGAAAAACCAAGCCAGAAGGTGTAAAAAGTGGACTCATACTAAGCCCTATCTAATCGCAACCGCCGGGCGCCTTGAAGAGTGTCCCAGGCACTTCATTTGGGGAGCGTTTGAATGCCAGAGATAGTGTGCTATATATTCCCCTCTGACAATTATATAAATCACTAATGTATATATTGGTCTGTAGGGTAGCTTTCGAGGATAGGGATTTCGCACGCGACTAATGCCAGACTCGTCTTCAAAAAGCCCTCGAAAATGGTGGACATTGCACCCTGGAGAAACCTAAGAGCTCTGATAGGTGGAAAGCGTGTCCCAATTCTGAGTCACATAGTAATCCACTTGAATCTTTTGTCACATGACGTCACGTATGGCTCAATCTCCCATACGTGCTGATAACGACTGATTTTCTTATTCAAAAATCCTTGATACTATGCCAACTTATCAGAATCGCTAGTCGATTTCATAATTCATAATTCAATTAAATTTGCTTATCGGTTAAAGCAAAGATATAACCATAAACTGTATCTTCAAATGAATCGTTCATAATTTATTATGCGGAGCACGCAATCGCATTTTTTTGGGGGGCTTCGCACTAAATGGCCATTACTCTGAAATCTTTTGAATAGGCCCTCTACATGTCTGCCCAATCCCCGTCAGAACTCACCTGATTTGTGCTCTTTCAGGGCCCGGTACAAGTCATTTTCATCCAAAGTCTTTTTGCGCCCCTTGAAGAATGTGGGCATGGCAAAGCTGGAAGTAATAATATAATATTAAAGTAATATTTTATAACAAGAAATAGCAATAATAACTAACCAAAACATTAAGGACGAAAAGATATTCGATGTCTCGCGCGGATTCTCCGGCAGCTCATCGGCTTTCATGGACTGCATCTTGGTCGTTTTCGAATTCTATCCTGGGCCTAAGTATTATTTTTTCAGCGACAAGTCATTGGTCGATGATGCTGTGTCTCCTTTAAAGGTGCCGCTGTAAAAGGATTACCGAATTAGTATATTCTAGGAACGATGACAAGTTTCCTTTAAGAAAACTTTTATTAAAGCCAATCTAAATACTGCGGACGCATGATGATTAGGTGCTTTTTCAGTCTTTTATTTTTTTCGATTTTATTAACGGCTTGTTATTGTTTTGACCGTATAAAAGCGATTAGGTAAACGTTGGCCCCCAAATTGGCCTATATTCTTTTGTTTAAATTCCAATTGATGTGCACTATTTTTGATTGACTTTGGCGCTATTCAAATATTACATTCAGGTTCAGATGGATACTCCGATTAGATAGGCGATTATTGGCACTTAATAAAGTTTAAATATAGGGATATACATATAATATATCCTTAATTAGTAAAAACCAAATTTATAACACTTTTTAAGTTAGGATAATGGTCACTTATTTTCAAAAAATATATTTTTGACTCCAATATTCACTTGACTTTTGGAAAACACTTTTTCGGTTTTGGGGAAAGCCCTTCAGGAACTCACGGTAGGAATTGGTCACCTAGTTGATGGGGCGACCGCTTTGAAATACTCGACCAACTGCCACCGGAGCTTCTTTTTATAGGCTCCCATGGTGCGAAGCTCTTATCTTGAGATCGCCTCGGAGAGGGAAGAGAGCCACCGAGAGGTGCAGATAAACGATGCAACACTGTGGAGAATAAGAATTGCTGCTCTCTCTTATCACAACAAGTCTTGGACTATCACCTTCATCGCTGGAGCTCTCTCCCCCTCTCTCACATTCAATAGAATGTTTATATTTTACATTGTTTATATTTTACCTCTGTTGGCGGATGCGGATACAGATACAGGGAAACTGAATCCAAAAGGAAAACCAAAGAAACTCCAAAGGTGACGGCAAATCAATAAGACAACAAACAGGAATCCTATTGCGGTGCTATTTTGGCTGTTAAGTGCTCCTCTATGCAGGCGTCCCTTTCTGTGGCTACTACGATGCACTGCATACGGTTGGAAAATAAAAGTGCGTTTTTCTATTTTCTGTGTGCTGAATTTATAAAGTTGGTGCAGAGAAAAACATAAAAACGTTAAACAAGTGCCAGTGCGCGTACAATCTGCGCAGGATTCAGTAGGAATCAGCAAGCGGGCTGTCAAAACGGACAAGTGCCAGATACACAGTCACTGCCAAAAGAATTCCTTCACCCTGTACTAGGGTTGGAGACACCTAATTCTGACTTTGACAAATAAAACCATTAGTTACATTTGAAAATAGAGCTTTTCTGTATTCTTAAGTCTTAAGTTTAGTTATTTTAAGTGCTTTAAATCATTTTAATATTTATACATATAATCAATATATTTTTAAATTTTTTAACAAATGCATCATCTGTCACAAGCAACAGAATCTCATGGCTTTTCCTAATCCTGAGTATGTAAAAATAGTAAACATATCCTTTAAAATTATATTGCAGGGATATTTGATTTAATCGCTATCCATCACTATGTGGTAGCAGTTTTCGTCAGGATTCTCCTCCATGGGAACGTATACGATCTCCTGCAATTCTTCGTTGGGATCCATATCTATAACATCAAAGCCAAGGTCCTTCTGGACCTCCTCCTCATCCGTAAGAATGATAATGTTTTCGAGGTGCCTGCAAGACTGCTTGTGGCGGATGAAACTAAATTTATGGGCAGTTTTATAATCACAAATGTTGCACTCAAACATAGAGCAGTTCTCGACGGCGATATTTTCTTCGCCGTCCTCATCTTCTGTCTCCTGCCGGACGGGCTCAGTTGTTCGACAATCCTCTTCTTCCTGGGGGTCATATTCTATCAGCCAGTTTTCCAGTTCCGTAATGTTCAGTTTCTCTAGATGGTCCGTTGACTTTTTATGCTGTTTCATCAACCACTTCTTGTTTGTCATGAACGTGCAAGTGGTGCATGTGTAGAGGATACCTTCATCTTTGCTGTCTTCGCTGGACGTGTTGATATTTTGATCATCTGAATGACTTTCTTTAACCTTTTTCGCGGGAACAGGTGTATCTTCGTCTTTGGAGGCAAATAGCTGATTCCGACGATGCCTTTCGGATCTCTGGTGCCGCGCAAAGCTAAATCTCTTGGCGGTGATATAACTGCACAGCTTACATTCCCACGGCGGGCGATCGAAGTCGGAGTCCGAGTCAGAGGACACGTCGTGGTTCGAATGTTTTTGGGAGCGCTTGTGTCGGTGCATGTCCCGTCGCCTGTTTGTTTGATACGTGCAGCCTTCAATGTTACAAGTCAGCATAATCTTCGGTTTTCCAGTAGTCGGATGTACTCCGACTTGTTTGTATTTGCTTCTTTGGCTGACAGCATATTGGTCAATCGGTGTAGATTCATTTTCGTTTCCACTAATGTAGTCCACGGTCTCAATATTTGCGTTTTCATTCCTTTTATGTCTACGAGACATGTCGCGTTTTCGAGTTGTTTAGAAAACTATAAATAAAAACATTTGTTGATCAATCCAAGAATGCGTTATAATGTGACCGTTTGGCGCAGGAAAATAAACGTGCAGGTAAAAAAGTTATCTGGTATTATTTTGATTATATAGGTAAAAGGAATAAGCCTTTAATAATGTATATCTTTTTACCTATATAAAAGAAGAATAATGGTGTTTTAAACACAAACCTCTTAAAATTAATAAATATTGAAAAAAAGTAATTTTGGAATATACCATAGGGTTGCCATTCAGCCTATATCTTGTGCCGGTTTTTGTCCCTGGTCACACTACACCGTTTTAACTTTTATTTTTAATTACCAATTTTATACAACACATTTTATACAATTTTATACTCTCTAAGTGCAATTTTTATTTAGATTTAATCCAACCACACCACCATGCAATCCGTAATTGCCCGTTCCTTAAACCTCGGTAGGAAAACAAAAATTGGTGGACTTTGACCAGCAGTTTGTTTTGGTTATAAGCAAGATCCTTTGCTGATATTGATGATCAGTTCGCAGGTCGGCCAATCTCAGACAGATTGCGTCTTTGTCGGCCCTTCCAGACACCCATCAGATGTTGCAAAAGACCTGTCGGGATTTCGCCAACGCTGAGTTGAGTGCCAATGCTGCGAAATGCGATCGGGAACACCTCTATCCTGAAAAACTGATCCGTCAAATGGGAGAACTTGGCACCATGGCTGTGGCGATTCCAGAGGAGTTGGGTAATGGATTACATTAGCTTGATTAAAAAACATATAATTATTCCTGTCAACAGGTGGTACCGGGCTTGATTATTTGGCCTACGCCATCGCTATGGAAGAGATCTCTAGGGGATGTGCCTCTGCGGGCGTGATCATGTCGGTAAACAACTCCCTCTACTTGGGTCCTCTGCTTTCCTTCGGAAATGATAAACAAAAGGAGACTTACATCACACCCTACACAACCGGAGAACGAGTGGGATGCTTTGCATTATCGGAACCGGGAAATGGCTCAGATGCTGGAGCGGCTTCTACGATAGCCACCGATAAGGGAGACCACTTTTTACTGAATGGAACCAAGGCATGGATCACGAATGCTTTTGAGGCAGAGGCCGCAATAGTTTTTGCCACCACAAACAAACAGTTGAAGCACAAGGGCATTTCCGCTTTCATAGTCCCTAAGGGCATAAAGGGCTTCTCCCTGGGCAAGAAAGAGGACAAGCTGGGCATTCGAGGATCTTCAACATGCCAGCTGATATTCGAGGACTGTGTGATACCCAAGGAGAGCATGTTGGGAGAGCCCGGCTTTGGCTTCAAAATCGCCATGCAAACTCTAGACGCTGGAAGGATAGGTATCGCTGGCCAGGCGCTGGGAATCGGCCAGGCTGCTTTGGAGCTTGCCGTGGACTATTCGCAAAAACGTCAGGCATTTGGAAAACCCATCTCCAAATTGCAATCTATTCAGCAAAAGATTGCCGACATGTCGTTGGCAATGGAATCAGCTCGACTTCTTACCTGGCGGGCTGCTTGGCTAAAGGACAACAAGCAGTCGTACACCAAGGAGGCCGCTATGGCCAAGCTAGCTGCATCGGAGGCAGCTACCATGTGTGCCCACCAGTGTATTCAGATCCTCGGTGGAATGGGTTATGTTACGGACATGGCAGCAGAGCGCCACTACCGAGACGCTCGGATCACGGAAATCTATGAAGGCACCTCCGAGATTCAACGGCTTGTTATTGCCGGTTCGATACTCAAGGAATACGCTAGTTAAGTCACAAAACTTAAATTTTAAGCACAAAGTTTTTTTAATAATGTGAAACCAATCCCTCTCACTAAAAACATGTAGACCAAATTTTTATTTACGATTCAGGCTTTAACAACTTTTATAAACAAATATATTTGATACATTTTTTTCATACAAAACACTTGATGTATATTTTTAATCTAGCAATTTATGTTGTGCCTTTTAGTTTTGGAATTTAAATTTACCCGCTCACTTTTAAAATATATTAAAATCAGTATTTTTGAAGGCGGTTGGAAGTTCGAGTAGGGACCCCCTACTATGTCAGCTGGTCACACTAAGTCTGAATATACTGCGCGTTCCACCGCACATTTGTACATTTTATTAATTTATTTATTTTTTACGCGGCGCGGCAATTAACGCGATGCAGTTGCAGCAAGAATGTGGTAATGAGTCTCTTTACCGTTGAGGTGCGCGCGTTTGCCAACCGGAGACTGCGCTAATTACACGAAATCCGTCCGAGAACAGACAGCAATCGCGTAGTGCCAGGAATAGCTTCCCTGCCCCCGGGCAAACATTTTAGATCCGGAATAGCCATGGATGTGGTGTGTGTAATCGACACCGTGGTGGGCGATCATCTGGAGGATCGCATCTGTGCGCTGGAGGAGATCAAGCAGGCGGTACAGGCCGCGGGCGCCAATTTTCAGCGGGTGCAGGTGAATGGGCTTTTCCGATTATACAATGTCCCAATGGAGCACCCTAAAACGGTGTCCTAACCATTCCGCATTCCAGTTCGAGCGCCTGGATTTTGGTGAGACGAATGTGCTGGAGACCTTCTACAATGCCGATGTTGCGGTGATCGATCTAAGCATCCTGGCCCAGCAGAGACCACTCTCGTATCATTACGGCGTTAGGGAGAGCTTCGGAATGAAAGAAAATATTCTCATATACAACGATTTGGAGTCCAAGCAAACGCTGAGTCTCAGGGTGGGTACTTTTCTACATTTCCAGCTGCTCAGATCCGAAATTCCACAAAATCTGGTGCACTGCGATACTAACTAATCTTTATAGCTCGTAGAACATTCCATCATTATTGTTGTTCAGTCTGGAAATGAAGTCTTTAGTTTTAGTAAAAGGGCTTATAATATATTATATTAAATAACAACTAACTCCAAGGGTATTTTAAGATGTAACTTATTGCTTGCCAACTAGCGAAATCTAAAATATGTACATACAGATGTATATATAGAAACAATATTGTTTGTAGAACATTCCATGGAATATAATCAACTAGAAATGGGAATTCCTAGGTACATACATACATTCAGTTATCTTAAGGTGAAACTAAAATTACTCGGCCCAAGCTTACAAATATATATATAATTTTTATATTATTTTTAAAAGCATTTCCACATATGTATGTTTTTCTGTAATGTCATTTGTTTGTCCACATCCGAGACCTTTGTTTATCTGATCAGTTGGTCGCAACACCTTTAATTGAGATCCGCAAACATCTTAAGGCGTGATCGGCTATGTTCCTCCGATAAGATAAATGCTTTTACTTTTCAAACGGTAGCCAAGTCGTGACTCCCGTTGTTGTAGCTGTTGTTGTTCTTGTCGATCTTTCTATTTCCGCTGAAACGCTTTCGTTATTTTTGTTTTGGCCGCGGCAATAAACCAACAAAAAAAGCATAGGCGGCGGCATACAATAACAATAACAGATGCGAGCGCGCGCCCACGCAAAAACTCAAAAAGGCACGCACACAAAACAATTCACACCAACGCAGTGTGGCCTGCATTCACAGTGATTGTTATAAATATGTATACGCCCGCTAATTTAATTCGTTCGCTCGTTGCAGCTCTCTTGTGCCAACTACTTGTTTCTCAGCTACAAACTCAATGCCGAGAGCAATTCCTGCCATTTGACCAACCAGGCCAACAACAACAAAGAGCCGGCCGCCGAGGGACGGGTGCCCACTCTGCAGTGGCGCCTAAAACGTAAGCTGCAAGATGTGGAAATCCAATCCAAGTGAGTATCTTCCGGGGAATCACCAATTTCTAATAAATTCAATATGTTCATCATGTAACTTTCAGGGCCCACATGCGGGAAAAGTTCCTTAGCGACCTGCGAACGGCCCGGGACACATATGCCACCAATGGGGTGAAGCTTCAGAGTATTCTGCATGACATGCGACGGCGACTGGACGATCCGCATGTCCTTTCTGGCGAAGTTGTGCACAGTTTTATGTGCTCATTGAGAGACGTCCAGGACTACGACGCCATGGTGCGACTGGTGAACGATCTAAAGAACATACCGAACACCCGCAAGTACGTGGAGACGGGACACATTAGTTTCCTGTACGCCTTTGCTCTGAATCGGCGGAATCGAAAGGGAGACAGAGAAAAGGCCCTGGAATCCTCGTTGCAGGCTTTGGAAAAGAAGGAGAACCACTTCCCGGATATGCTCTGTCTTTGTGGGCGCATCTACAAGGACATATTTGTAGAGTCCGACTACACGGACGCCACTAGTCTAGCTCATGCCATTAAATGGTACCGTCAAAGTTTCGAAGTGCAACCAAACGAATATGCCGGCATCAACTTGGCCACCCTGCTCGTCATTGAGGGAAAGGAGTTTAGCAACACGGAGGAGTTGCAACACATCGGCATGACCCTGAACAATCTAATTGGAAAGAAAGGCAGTCTGTCTACACTAAGCGAGTACTGGGACGTAGCCACATTCTTTGAGATTCACGTTCTGTACGATGATTATGCAAAGGCTATTCAGGCAGCCGAGTGCATGTTCAAGTTGAAGCCTCCCAATTGGTACCTCAAGTCCACCATTGGCAATATTTCGCTTATTCATCGGTTTCGTAAGAGACCAGAAGATCGGTTGCCCACAATCGAGGAGCAAGTTTTTCAATTCTGGATGGACTTCTTTCTTGAGGCTACTAATACGGAGGAGGTCAAGAACAGCATACGCTTCCCCATCCTGGTACGGACAATTTTAAATGATTTTTCTGCAAACTATGTAACATTTTAAATATAAATTTGTAGATCCTTGAGCCGCAGAAGATTTATATGCCCAGCTATGTAACCATCAACATGGATGCCGATGAAAAGTCCATACAGATCGTCAACATTTGCCTAGCTCACTCGAAAAATGCTTGTAAAAAGCTGCATGACTTTTTATTCGTTGCCTCCAAGATAAAGTCAGTTAGTTTGTACAAGCGCGATGATCGGTGTGCCTATCTGTATGTGCACCACAACTCCGACGACTTTCAGATATACTTCCCCTCGACAGAATGTCGGCAGAAGTTCTATGACTTGATACGGGAGATGACTGCCGACCAGGTGGTGTTCGTTAATCTTGACACCGATGAGGCGCCAATCGAGGTGGGTAATATTTTAATTTATATTTAATTCTTAAAATTTTAATCATTAACCCTTTTTGTTTCAGTACGAGTACGACTACGATGAACAGAATCGAAAGAAGGTTCTGGGTAAGGGCACATATGGTACTGTATATGCGGCACGAGATACCCAGACACAGGTACGAATCGCCATCAAGGAGGTGCCGGAGAAAAACTCCCAGGATGTCCAACCCCTACACGAGGAAATCAAGCTCCACTCTCAGCTGCGACATCGCAACATTGTCCAGTACTTGGGATCACGCTCGGAAGATGGCTTCTTTAAGATCTTCATGGAGCAGGTGCCGGGAGGCTCGCTGTCCGATCTGCTGGAGACCAAGTGGGGTCCGCTCAAGGACAACGAGTCCACCATGGCCTTCTACTCCAAGCAGATCCTTGAGGGGCTTAAGTATCTGCATGAACAGGATATCGTGCATCGAGACATCAAGGGCGACAATGTCCTGGTGAACACGTACAGTGGCGTGGTCAAGATATCCGACTTTGGCACATCCAAGCGGCTGGCCCGCATCAATCCCATGACTGAGACCTTTACGGGCACACTTCAATACATGGCACCAGAGGTCATTGACCAGGGCGTTCGAGGTTATGGTCCAGCGGCAGACATCTGGTCGTTTGGCTGCACAAACGTGGAGATGGCAACTGGCAAGCCACCGTTTATAGAGCTCGGATGCGCTCAGGCGGCCATGTTCAAGGTGGGCTACTACAAGAAGCATCCCAATATACCGGAGGAGTTGTCCGCCAATGCCAAGAACTTTATTTTACGATGCTTTGCCATCAGCGTTCTGGATCGACCATCAGCGTTGCAACTGCTTGATGATCCCTTCCTGGCAGAGTGAGTTTTTATTGTTTTTGTTTTTTTATTTACAAAATCTTACTTGTTAATCTTGTTATTATTTTCCAGCAAGCCTCGTAAGCTGCGCCCTGCTTTGCCTATTAACACGGATTTTGGTCGGAGTATTTCAGTCCCGGCAGATCGTTTGGTTCACAAAACGACACCACCCCTGTCGTATAACACCACCTGCAACACGCCCACTACCCCGGAACTGGAGTAAGTCTATAATTTGTGGTGTTTGGTTTTAATTAGGCATTTAAAAGTTTTGCTCGGCTGTAATTAACTTCAAGTGCTTACCTTATTGTTGATATTTGTTATCAGTCGATTTTAGTAGCAAACACTTCATATTAAATGGAACTGATAACAATTTCAAATTGAACGAGACATGTAATTATTAAAAATTTGTATAAGTTGAATTGTTAAGCGAAATAATTGCCTTGTCACCTAGTACTGATTTGCGGTCACCTCCTTTCTTCCAGCGTTACTCACACATCGTCGGTTGACATTGACGAGCTGCCTAGTTTGCTAGAGAGAAGGAATTCGTCCGGTTTTCTGCTTTCTCCCGACATTGGAGAGCCCACCACACCGTCATTGCGAACGAGTATTAGTGAGACGAGCGAAACGGATGGCTTTTACAGGCTAAAGAAGGATTCACAGCGAAGAACAACGCTGTCCAAAGTGCTGGCACTGGACGAGTCTAAGATTTGCGACATCTGGTTGAAGAAGGTCGATGCTGATCAGCACTCAATTGCGATCCGCAAGAGCGATCTGGAGGTTTTGATACGAGGCCTGCGGGATTACATTATGAACGAGAATGAGAAGCATTTGGAGGCTACAATTAACGAGCTGAAGCAGAAGTTAAATAACGATGCTATTGCCTTGGATCATCTGCATCTGGCATTGTACTCCTTCCAAGACGCAGTCGTCTGTGTTCTTCGGCTGCATTGCATAAAGCCCCATTGGATGTTCGCGTTGGATAATCTGGTGAAGCGTGCGGTTCAGGCGGCAGTCATGATTTTCTCTCCAGAACTGGGCGCCAATCTGGCGGATAAGGATCTGTCTGGCAACGACGATGAGAGTATAACCACTTGCCTGGTGCAGCAAGGTTCTACTGACAGCCAGGAAAAGCAGCAGCTCGAAAAAGCCTTGCCCTCGAGTAGTGCAGGCGGCGGAGGACTAGTTCAAGCCGAAGCGGCAGGAGATGCCCTTAGCAGTTCAGTGGAATGTGCACGTATTTTGCGAGACATTCGCGATAACCAGCATAAGTTGCAACGTCAGCTGATCGAACAGCAGCGGCAGAGCATGAGAGCACTGCACAACATTAGTCAGGAGCTTGCCCATATCTATATGGGTGGAAGAAAGAGGTTACGGTAGGTTTTTCCATCAGGAAAAGGCTTTAAAAGTCGGTTATAAACATGATAATATTTACAGACGCACCATCAACGGCTTTAACAAAAAGTGCCATAGAATGAGCCCTGGTGTGGGGGCGGGACCCCGTGCAGCTTCTGCCAGTAATCCACGGAGGCAGCTGAACAAGCAACACTTTGGTCTGCACGAGGTAGACGAGCAGTTGGAGCAGTGGTTGACCCAGCAGGAGATTGACGAGTTCTCGAAAACGCTCATCCTGAATGAAGGTTTCACCTTTGAGGACTTTATCTACAACATGGAAAAGTTGGACCTCATGCGGCTGGGTCTGCGGTAGGTACTTATGATTAGGTATTGAAGATCCTGCTAAATGAATATTACTCATCCGCAGTGTTGGCATTGAGGTGCGTCTGTGGAAACTAATTATACAGGAACGGGCTTGTACCTCCCCCGACTGTTTGGACAGTCCGCCCAGCACGTACCACAAGCCAATTGGCGGCAATGGCTCTCTGACATTAATGACTAACAATAATACGCTACCATCACCAACAACCACAACTCCCAACACGCCGGGAATCAAGGCGAGGATCAAAAAGAGCGAAAGCGAATACGATTCTTGTAGCGAGTGACTGGATTGTGGAACCTCGATAGTTGTGCCTTAACAGATACTGATACAAATTAATTGTTAATTTTGTCCATGTGCTACTAACATGCATGTTAATTTATAAAACAAAAAAAAATAATGGAATTTAAGTGCCTTTAATTTAAAAGCAATCAAAAACTGAAACAGAAAATATATTGTGAAGTGCTTTACAAGAATCGGAAAATGACTTTTAATAATGATTAAAAAAGTGTTATGTATTCTTTGATTTAAACAATTTCAGGTAACTTTTCTAGTTCGTTTGCATTTATTTTTTTTGCTACGTTTTTTGTTGTCTTTTACAGACATTGCAGAGGTTTTGATAGTTGAGTTTACATTGCATTTTGTTATGTAAGAAATTTGCATATTTTTTTCATTGTTATTGTTGTTATTGATGTTATTCGAAAGCGTTTCGTTCTGTTGCTGCAGTTGTTCTTGCTGTTGTTGTTCTTGTTGCTGTTGTAAGTAGTTAGATGTTGTTTTTGTTGTTGTTGTTGCTGTTCTGGTTGTTGCGCCAATATACTTATGCCTTGGACTCGGCCTCGCTGGCGGTGGCCTGCGATTGGGCATCGCTGGACTTGCCATCGTCGACCTTGCCAAAGACGCAGCAAGGGCACTTCTCCTTGAGAGCCAAGCGATATTTGGGATGGCTATAAGAAGGAGATAGATCTCAGACCATTGACAAATATATTCTGTAAGATATACTAACCTGATTCCATATACGATGGGATTGTAGCAGGCAGCCGACTTGGCGAAGCAAGCGCCCCAGATGGTGTTCAGGGGTGTCAGACCCTCGAACTTGAACAGGCCCATGCAGTTGATCACAAGGTATGGGGTCCACGCCATGAACCACAGGGTGATGGTCACCAGAGCGACCTTGGCCAGCTTGCCCTCAGCGCTCTTCTCGGCATCCTCAGAGGAGCGGAGGGACTTGACATTCATCTTCTTGGCCTGCTCCCGCATGGCCTTCTCGTGGGCAGACACAGCCTGCGGAAAGATTACAGGATATTGTGGTATGTTAGGGGTAAGGATGGTAAACCACTTACAGCAATGATGAACCAGTAAGAGTAGCAGATCAGGAACAGCGGGATATAGTAAACGAAGATAGAGTAGAAGATCAGGTATGAGCGTGGATTCCAGTCGCGCTCCAAGTAGTCAATACCGCACGATGTCAGGTTACCCTCAGGAACATACCTATGGAATAAAATGAAGTCACCATATTTTGGGCATCCGGTTTGAGAACTCACCTGCTCCAGCCGAAGGCGGGCGCCAGGCACCAAATGCTTGACATGAACCAGATGTAGGCAATCTTTCCGAGTGCCAGTGGAATGGTCATCGGCCGGCCTGCCATACCCTTGACGATCACTTGGTAGCGATCCAGGGAGATCATGCACATGGACCAGATGGAGCTGCAGCCGAAGGCGGAGCCCAGACCGGCATAGATGTCGCACATCATCGGGCCGAGCACCCAAGTCTCGAAGTACAAATTAATGCCCATCATGGGCGTGTTGGTGATCATGATGCCGAAGTCGGAGATGGCCAGGTTAATGACCAGCAGGTTGGCGGGAGTGCGCAACGACTTGGTGGTGGCGAAAATGTAGATCACCACGCCATTTCCGCACCAGGAAATCATGCCAATGATGATCATGTAGGCGGTCAGGATTTTGGCCCAGATGGGGTCCATGGCGGGGAACTGGTTCCAGTACGGGCTGATCAAGTGCGCCATGTCGGGGGTCACCTTGTCCACCACCGATCCATTGGACAGGGGGGCAAAGTGGGGCCCCAGTTGTGTGGCTGCTGCTGCGAAGCTGCAACATCGAATCAAAACGGCAAATTAAATCATTCCATGGATCTGGCAAGCATCCACCATGAATCGTACCTCTCCATTGTGTCTAAGTTTCTGGCTGCGTCACTATATCCCGCCTGTATCACACTGTCTACATAAAAAGCTGCAAATTCTCTATTAATATTTCAAACACTTTTTACATAAAGGACTCCTGAACTCTGAATATTTCACTGGGGTGGACTATTCGCGGCGATTGGTCGTTGGAAACCTGCATCGACTGCATTTCTTGACCTGGCTTTTATAGTTTTTACCCGCCAGTGCAGAACCCAGAAATTCAAATTCAATTAGGGCCCTAAAAATACACCCGCAGCCAGGTGTGGAAAGCGTTGAGGAGAAAAATGTCGACAGCTTTCTGGCTTATAATCATAATAGTCATAACAAAATCCAGTGCACATCGTCGTGGGCCAATGTCAATAGCTAAAGTCTTTCTCCAAAGACATTTCAAAGGTTTCCGAGAACGGCTCTGGCCGAGCTTTAGTTTTTAGTTTTAGGCTGACATTGTGTCGAAAAGGGGTGACAAACGTGAGGCATTTAATGTGTCAATGTCCCATCAATAAGAGGAGGAATATGCAATATAATAACCAAAAGCTGTTCGCTTTCAAGGGTCCAACAGTGCGTATGCGCGATCGAGTATGCGCGATCGAGTATACGCACCGTGTGTCTGGCTAGCTATGAAAACATTTTAAACCACAAATGTGTAGTTTATTGTGTCAATGTTCAAAAGAGCGATGAGGAAATATGCAATAAAACAACCGAAAACTGACAGTTTTCAAGGGTGCAACAGTGCGTATGCGCGATCGAGTATACGCACCGTAGGCGTAGGTTGAAGCGTGGTATTTGCATTTTAGTTCTATTTCGCTGGAGTTTTAAAAGAAAAAGGTGTAATTTCAAGCCTTAGGAATTCATTAAAGAATTTCGCAAATAATAAAATCTATAAAATGAGAATAAAATCCACCCAGCTGCCTTTTAATAATCTTTTTAAATACCCAAGCATTTCAATTCCTCTCTGAAGCTTTAAGCTGCTTATGGATTTTACTGGCACCGATTGATCTATTCGCACCTCCATTGTCCAGACCAGACCAATTTTCCGAAGCGTGTGTGTCTATAAGTTTTTTCGCGTGGGGGAATTTTTGTTTTTTGTCAATCCCATTTTGGCATAAAAGCCTTTTGTTGGCATTATGCGCTCAGCATTCAGCACTCAACACGCTGACTTGAATTGGGTCAAGTTTTAGGCTAATCCAACCAGCGGCTTTCATGGGGATGTCACGCTTAATGCCCAGCCCCAATATGGAACTAAACCAAAATAACTGTCACTTTGTGTGACACTCAACACATGTTAGGCTTGGCAGATCTTTCGGTTTAAATCAATTACACACCGCAAAACAATAGAACAAAAAAAAAAATGGATATTTCAAACATACATAATGCATCACATACAAACATTGTATACCTACATCTATAACGTAAGCCAGCGAAGCTAAAATTCTAAAGCGCAAAACCGGAAGCTGAGCTCAGATCATCATCGTCATCATTGTTATCACTCCGATTATTATTAGCCGCACTTGCGGTTCCCATACTATATATATATCTCTATGGATGTTTGTGTGGGAGACTGTATAAAAAATCATATAAATACAGTAAAAACTATGCGAAACATGAATCGAAATTCGATTTTTTCAACATTTTTGTGTTTCTTTAAACAAACAAAAGTCACCCGCCCACCTGCTAAATAATATAAACAAAGCCATGGGACGAAATGGGCTCAGAAATGGCAACAACACACAAAAAAGCGACAGCTAAATGCAACAAACATTGCGATGTGAGGAGGAAGAGCCCGCCGTCCAACAAGAAGAAGACAATCATTTAGCATTAGCAAATAAGCGAGATAAATGCTTCGATCCGTAGTCGCTGTTGTTGTTTTCCTGTTCAATGAGGCAGACAAAATTTGAAACTGGAGAAGAAATTCGGGTCAATAATGAATACGCAAGTGCCCTAACAATGTTTAAAAAAAATGTATTTTTAATATAAAAGCTTAAAATACCAATAATTCAATACCAATTCAATAAATAGAGGGTTAATTGATTTTTTGTTTAATATATTAGATTTATTTGAAAACTAATCCATATTTTGAAGGATTTTTAAAATTATTTGTATGGATTAATATGGACTATATTTTACATAAATATACAATTTTTATTTAAATTTAATTTATTTTAATACCGGATCTATCTCTGAGAAAAGTATCTCTTTTCTGGTTAACCAGTGAATTTATTTTAAGCCATGGATTTACTAAATAAACCTATATCATGTTTTAAATATAAAAATGAAGTAAATCTCAGTATTTAGTTTAAAGCAAAGTATACCTGTCTGTCATACACACCCCGCCTCCAGGGCAGAGAGTATAATTAACAAACACCTATGATTTGATTTTTGTATTTTTTATGTTCGGCAATGGATTGGCGCTCGCCTGTCTGTCTGTCGGTGTGTGTGTGTGTGTGCCTGAGTGGGTAAACGACGGCAAGTGTTCGGTTGGCGTCGCTGCCACTGCGCCATCGTGTGTGGGTAAGCGATAGAATTGAGCGCCACGGTGGAGCAGCAGAGCAGCTGCTCAAAAAACGCCAAAGTAATGGGCGCTCTTTCACTCCACTCACTCTCGGCCCGATCCCTCGGATGGAATATGTGGGAGTGCTCGTTCTTGGACGCGAGTGTCATTAGAGTGCACTCGAAAGAATTTTTGCCTGAAATTGTAATTAAAAAAAAAATAAAAGAATTTAAAACAATATTATTTTTTGAATAAACGATTTAATATTTATGGCCGAACGAAATGGATATTGTTTAACGATTTTTTGGAAGGAAGATTTTTTTCACTAAAATCATAAAATGCTTTCTATTATTCTGAGTATTTTAAATTGTATTATTAATTTCTTTGATTTTCTACAATTTAACATATGAAATGTTAACAGGTCGTATGAGTGATTAAGTATACGCACTTTGTGAAAACTACAAAGTTCGATTCAAAATCTAATAGTATTGTATAAACAGATTGATCAAGGTTTTTATTTAAATATTATATAGTTTAATGCTGAATTTTTTACCTAAAACTTACTATAAAATGTATAGATTAGCTACATAAAATAAAATAAATAAAATATTTTTATTTATATTTTTATATTTTTATAAAATATTTTTATTATCTCAGCAACAGCTGAGACTGAGATCACCCGGCACACTCACTCCGTTGATCGGCTCTTGGGCTCATGGCTCACTCGCCGACTCTCCGTACGGAGGAGGCTGATGTTATTTTCAGCGGACGTAGATTTACAGTAACAACACGAGCCCAAGCAGCATCGCGTGCGGCGATCGCAACAATCCGCTCGGATATACGATTTTTGAGATAGTTCTGTTCTGTTTCGGTTTCGGTTCTGTGTGTTTGCTGTTAATTTTAGACCCGTAAAGCGGAAGCTTGCCAGAGTTTTCCAAAATATCCAACCGACGGCCTCGTGTGTATTTCCCCCTTTGCTACAAATTTGTGAATAATTCGCCGATTTTGATCACAAAACGAAAAAATGTCGTGCCGCGAAAATTTCGATTAACCTCTGCTCGGTGTGGTTTGCTTAATTAATTAATGACGGAATCTCTCGGTGTCGCGGTTGTCGTCAGCACGCGCGCCTCCGGGTCCAAATGCAATTAAATCATTAATAAAGGCAGAAAAAGATCTGAAATATACTGCATACATATGTACGTCATACGCACTACTACACACCCACACACACTTGTAGAACATACACCCGAGTGGCATATGTAAAGTGCATTAGGTGAACATGCGTATCTGTGTGTGAGTGTGCCGCAACTACTTCGAAATTTATTTTCGAATAAATAGTACAAAGTTGAAGAAGAAGCACCAGCCGCAGTCGCAGCTCCCGGTCCCATCGCACATCCCCCCTCTATACGGTTCGAATGCCCCATCCCCATCACATCGCAACCCCACGTAAAAACGCGAAATAGTACAAAACGCCACCCAGCTACGTGTTATGGGGCATCGACAAATGCGCTCAGAAAAATAGCAATAAAATCTGTATTTTTAAACCATTTGGGGGGTTTTAATGACTTAAAATTAGTAAAGCAAAGATAGTAGAGTTTAAATAGGCAGTTAAAATAGAAATTGGAAGGTTTTTTTTTGGCTGGAAGTAGTGCCTATGAATAATTATCTTTATTCGGTAGGAGTATCTTTTAGTTTTGTGAAATTTTGTTCAACGTTTTAAGTTTGTAGATCAGAACTCTTCTTTAATATTTTGTAAACAACGGTTTTTAAAAATTGAAATTAAGAAACTCTAATAAATAATATTTTTGTTAATTATTTTTAATGCAATAAAGGGTCTACAAATTCTTTAAGTTTTCAAAAACTGTTTTTTCGACCGCAACTGTCTTAATTTTGTACCTGCACCGTGGGATTCGGCGTATTATTTTTGGCCGAATGATATAAATTCAATTAGTTCCAATTGATTAATTGTTTGTTTTTGTACAAATACCAATAAACTGCTGAAATGCCAAGATGATTCAACGTGACACGATAATTGTTTATGTTTAGGAGCTATAGGTGTGAGTCCATTTATTAATCCAACGATATGATAATTGCTTTTGGCAGTTGATTGTTTGGTTCCTGTTTTTTTTTTTTTTATGTTTTTTCGTTTTATATTGTTGCCGAGCCACTGTGCCCGCCGTGTACGCGCCTTACGGACTATATCTGCTCGATATTCCGCCGATGGGATGCCTGCTCCCGAATCCGAATCCGTATATTTTTGTGTGGTGCGTCGGGGCCAAGTGTATGTGTTTGTGTGTAGATGTTTCTTTTTCGGATTCGGCGTCTGAAATAAACGAAATAGGAAATTTTGGTATTTTCTTTTATATAAATAGATTTTGCCATACGCAGTCTACGGAGAAAAAGTTGAAAACACTGAAAATGTGAAAAGTGAATGAAACGCATGTGAATCTGGCAGTGCAAGAGCAATCTGAGAAATACAAAAGAAATTAAATAAAATTTCAATAAATTATTGAAATAAAAATGTGAAACAGTAAAGTGTAAAGGAAACCGTGAAAATGTGATTTTTGAATTCAGAAAAGAGCAAAGAACTCAGTCAAACAATCATTTTTCGAGGTAATACAACAAAATGCAAGCCAATTCGAGTACCACCACAACAACAACCACAACCAAAACGAAAAAACTGAGCAGCGGGCCGGGGGGCAACATGATCAGTTCTGTGGCGGTGACGAGTGCCACCAAAACCACCACAACAACGAGGAAGCCAGCGGGTTCGGTATCCGGAACTGGAGCTAGTCCCAAGTCCCCTAAGGCGCCGGGTTCCGTCAGTGCAGCCACGTCTAATTCCGATTCTAATGCGGAGATCGAGGAACTGTCGAAGAAGATTACCGAAACAGCGGATGCCATTTATAACACGTGGAAGAGTCGGGGCATGCCGCCGGTGGAGCTAATGGGAGAATTCACAAACATAGCGTCCCCCTCGTCGGATACCGAGGGTCTTCAGAAGATGGTGACCAGTTTTGTGAACAAGGACAAGGAACAGCGCGGCAAAACGAATAGTCTAAAGAAGTCCGAGATCACGTCCAACGGCAAAGTGAAAAAGGCAGCCACTCCCACATCGTCCACCACGAATTACTCACCCGTTCCAGAGCCAGCCCTGCAGTCCCCCAAGAAGGTGGCCGCCGTATCGGTCAGTAAACCCGTTCCCGACGTCAACCTCAACTACGACATCAATCTGCATTTGGATGTGAACAATCTGTCCCAGCAGCAGACACAGAATCTGTTGAAAATCAGCGAACTGATACAGCAGCAGAAGGATGTGGCAGCGACGAGCGGGAAGAAACGGCAGAGCACCAAGACGAGCAGCAATGCGAGCAAGGTAACAGCAGCTGCCGGGGAGCAGCAGGCCGGCAAAAAACAGAGCAAGGCCAGCAGCAGGAGCGGGAACGGGACGCTTTCTGTTAGCATAGATGTGGTGGATGCACCGCAGCTAAACAACACCAGCCGGGTGGCCATTGCCAACAGCGCTGCAGTGAGTGATAAAGGCAGCGAGCCAGCGGCCATGAATCGCAAGTCAAGCAAAACCAAAGAAAACACCACGCCAGAAGGAAAGCCGGCAACCAAAGAGAAACCCACAGCAGCAGGAGCGACTGCATCCACACGCAAATCAACAAGTCGCAGCACAACTGATAACGCCAGCAACATGGCTGCCAACGCAGCAGCAACAGCCACATCAGACGCACCAGCACCGGCAGCAACATCAACATCAATCGATGCAACGCCAGCAACATCGGGCAGCACAACGATGCCAACGTTGAATAAAGTCAAACCGACGGGTCGGGCGGCCCTCACCAATGGCCAGGACAAAAGTAATATAACCGAAAATCTCCTCCAGAAACTCTGCAAACTCCAGATGTTGCAACTTCTTTCATCTTCCAGTTGGACTCCTCACACGCGGCTCCGTGGCCGAGCGCGTTCTCATGTTTGAAAAGTGTCCGGATGTGCGGCATTCGTTCCTGAACATCAAGCGACCTCAGGCAGATGCTCCTCCCAAGAGTCTCCTCAAGGTAAGTGCCTTATGCAATTCGATGTGGCGATCCAGTGAAAAATATGAGATTTTCGCATTGATTCGGTTGCTTAGGATGTTATCTAATAGTTGAAAATGCCAGAAGAAAATGTGCAAAAAACAAAAACAAATTGAAACAATTGAGAGGCGGCACTTTAAACTGCCCACTATCCGATCACTTAATTAGACACACAGAAAAAAAGGATATTATTTTCCAATTTATTAAAATATTTTTTAATATTAATATTAAATATTAATTTATTAACTTTTAGCTTAAGAACAGTAGTTGAATTTCAAAATTAAAAAAACTAAATTTTATAGTAAAACTATCTTTCCTTTTAAATAAATAAAATTATTCTTACAATACCTAATTTAATTTAATACTTTTATTCACCTCCTTATTTTTATTGAATAATTTTTTTTTTGTGCATCTGTAATTGATTTTATTCGGCGTTTTTTTTATGTGTTGCTACTCGTGGTGTTATCGGTGCAAAATCACAGCATCATTGATTGATTTAAGGTTACCCCAAGACGCCACGAGGGGATCGTTTGCCAATTGACTGTGGAGATGATGAGGGAGAACGGGGTTCTTTGAGATAATGAGTGAGAGTGGATTTAATTAGAATTTAATTATATTAGAAGAAGACTAAATTAGAAAAAGTATATAAATTTTTCAGATTTATTCAGTAGAGCTATAAATCAATCAACTGTATAGCTTTAACTAAATTTCTTTATAAAATAATGTATTTATAAAGAATTCAGTTAATAGAACTGGCTTGAATGGTTTTAAAGAGCATTATAAAAGAATTAAAAAGAACCTGTTTTGTTCAAGTGCCATCTGCCGATAAGCATTTATTTCGATTAAATATAATTTAATCGTGAAGTCGTGAGGGATATTCCTTATTTTGCAATTCTGGGCCTCTATATTCCAAACACATTCCTCTCAAATGAGCTTAGTCTAGCATAAACCAGCTTTCGATTTGTGGATTCCTTCGATCACGCCGGAATTCGTATAGAATCTCCTTACCCGCATTGAGTGCCCCTGGTGGTGTGTGCATATTTTCGTATATAAACAATCAAATCAAGCATTTACGATCAGCTCGAATCGTGCATAAGCAAAAACAAAATAACACACTTGGACTGAGAGGGAGGATAGAAAAAAAACAACAAAAATAAACCAAACAGCATCAAATCCCGATTTCAATACAACACAAGTACACTCATCATCACTTTGAACAATTCGAAATGCAATTGGTTGGTTTTGTTGGGTCAGTGCTCATTGTTGCTTTAGTTTTTTGTTTTCATTGTAGAATTAGTTAATTGCTTAATTACATGTGCGGGCGGGCATGGCATATTCGGAGATTTTTTTTATGAATGGCTTACCAAACTTAAATCTCTTCCAAACACTCGAACTATGCGTTACTACGATTGTTTGTAAAATTCCTCGCTGCCTCGGACGCTGATCAAAGCAAACAAATCGGCTAAAAATATATAATACCCGAAGAGAAAAAAACAGAACCTATTTTTTGCAATTAACTTTAAGGCAAACACAGGCACAAGTTGAATTCTGTATGCGTTCGATTCTGTAGTGTTTTTTGTTCTCTTGGCGTTTTGTCTATAAATTGGGCAACAATGCGTATGCGTAATATTTGACTATAAACGATGTGTAGCCGGGCGTATACGTAATATGCGCACATGCCAATAAATTGTTTGCTTTTTGTATTCTCTCCGGCATAGAAGATTAATATTTATGTTGACGTTGACAGTTTTAAAATCATGAATGGCCTGGGCAGGGATTAAAATCGACGAAACACTACCATTCATATATAAACCAAATAAAGCCAAATGCGAGTAGTGATGGGTGGGAAATTTTAACAATTGAATTGAGGAAGCCAAGAGACTGATGAAACTAGATAAATCAATGAAACATTTCCTTATTATGATAAGTTGAGCACTTAATCATTTCTATTTTATTCGGGATGATGTATACGAATACCCTATTTTGGGTATATATTAAAAAAATTTAACAAATTCCTTATGCATCCTTTTGCCACCTCCACAGATTATATACGTAAATATTTCATTTACCCCTTCTCTAGCGATTTAATGCATTTTTGTTTTTCATAGAAACAATACCTAAGCTACCGTAAAATTTGCAACATAAAAACCCACGGACAAAATATGTTTCCATTATTTAGCTAAGCCAAACGTTAATTTAAACAAAAGTTGTTGTTGTTACGTTGCCACTCATCGCTTAAATTAGACAACAATTTGTTAGTGTTTATTTGAATGGCAAACATTTAATAATAAATTCAAAGGTAAAGGGCGAACCTACGTCGATTGGGGCGTGGCTGTCTGCGGGTTTTACTCAAATGCTACAAAAAATTTCCGCCAAAACGTAAACAAAAGTTTTTTTTTCGAGAATAAATTGCGAATTTTATTGAGTGGCGCTTTGGCAGAACTGGCTACCGAATGTAAACAATTAGTGAGTGAAATTCATTTTTGTTCATATTTGTCGGACAGGTCAAGCTACACAGCACACCGCCCCCACCGCCACAGGAGCAGAATCTGCTGCAGAAGGAGATCCGTTCCACCAAGAGTGTCTACATACCCAGGTGAGTTAAGCATAAAATTAATTTTTGGAAACTTTCAATATCAGTTAAAATATTTTATAGATTCTACTTTCCACATGGCAAGCCACAGCCCACGATCGCCATGGAACGGGTATTGCGGGGCATCCTTTCCGCCTTTGACAGCTTTCCCAATAACCAGGTGACCAAGGACGAACTGCCCCGCATCCTGAAGCTCTGCGGGCTTCCCTTTTATTGGCGCATGCCGGTGATGGTCTTCTGCCAAACAGCCAGCACTGGTCTCGTGGAGCGCCAGCGTTTCGTCGAGTTCTGGAAACAGTAAGTAATTTTTTATGCATTATTTAAAAAACTTTTTTTATTAAATTCTACGAATTGAAATTTTCAGAATGAATGTGTATTGCCACGAGGCTGCCTCAAGATTCGTGTACATTCTGTCACGAGGCCAGAGGTTCCGTTCATACATTGTTCCCGAGGACCTGGTGCCCATGGTGCAAGATGTGGTGGATACACACCCCGGCCTGGCCTTTCTAAAGGAAGCCACCGAGTTCCATTCCAGATACGTGCACACAGTCATCGCGCGCATTTTCTATTCGGTGAACCGTAGTTGGAGCGGCAGGATCACAATATCAGAGCTAAAGCGATCCGATCTTCTGGAGGTAAGGTTAAAAAGAAAAAAAGAAAGAAAATCTCAACACAAAAAAATTAATACATATGTAGCTCTAAAAATGTAGCTCAAGAATCCGTTTTCGCCAAAATATAGCTCCAATTATGGCTTTCCTCTTCTTTTTCCTCATTTTTGAAAGGAATTTGACAAAAAATCGAACAAATATTTCGTTGGTAGATTTTAATGCAGATTGATTGAGAATCGGTCTACAAATCGTTTAAAGTATTCCATTTAAGAATCGGAAAGGTTTTTGTGAAGATATAGCCTTCGGAGCGGCTCATATAGTCGTTCCATGCACATTCCTCATTTTTGAAGGGGATCCCCCAGAAAATTTGACAAACAATCGAAAAAATATTTCGTTGGTAGGTTTTGATGCAGATTGATGGAGAATCGGTCTACGAATCGTTTAAGGTATTCCGTTTAAGAATCGGATAGGATTTTCAAAAGATATGGCCTTCAGAGGGGGCCATGTTTTCGTTCCATGCATTTTTCTCATTTTTAAAGGGGATCCCCCAGAAAATTTGACAAAAAATCGAAAAAATATTTCGTTGGTAGGTTTTGATGCAGATTGATGGAGAATCGGTCTACAAATCGTTTAAGGTATTTCATTTAAGAATCGGAGAGGTTTTTGTGAAGATATAGCCTTCGGAGCGGCTCATATAGTCGTTCCATGCACATTCCTCATTTTTTAAGGGGATCCCCCAGAAAATTTGACAAAAAATCGAAAAAATATTTCGTTGGTAGGTTTTGATGCAGATTGATGGAGAATCGGTCTACAAATCGTTTAAGGTATTTCATTTAAGAATCGGAGAGGTTTTTGTGAAGATATAGCCTTCGGAGCGGCTCATACAGTCGTTCCATGCACATTCCTCATTTTTTAAGGGGATCCCCCAGAAAATTTGACAAAAAATCCAAAAAATATTTCGTTGGTAGATTTTGATGCAGATTGATGGAGAATCGGTCTACAAATCGTTTAAGGTATTTTGTTTAAGAATCGGATAGGATTTTCAAAAGATATGGCCTTCAGAGGGGTCCATGTTTTCGTTCCATGCATTTTTCTCATTTTTGAAGGGGATCCCCCAGAAAATTTGACAAAAAATGGAAAAAATATTTCGTTGGTAGGTTTTGATGCAGATTGATGGAGAATCGGTCTACAAATCGTTTAAGGTATTCCGTTTAAGAATCGGATAGGATTTTCAAAAGATATGGCCTTCAGAGGGGGCCATGTTTTCGTTCCATGAATTTTTCTCATTTTTGAAGGGGATCCCCCAGAAAATTTGACAAAAAATCCAAAAAATATTTCGTTGGTAGATTTTGATGCAGATTGATGGAGAATCGGTCTACAAATCGTTTAAGGTATTCCGTTTAAGAATCGGATAGGATTTTCAAAAGATATGGCCTTCAGAGGGGGCCATGTTTTTGTTCCATGCATTTTTCTCATTTTTGAAGGAGATCCCCCAGAAAATTTGACAAAAAATCCAAAAAATATTTCGTTTGTAGGTTTTGATGCAGATTGATAGAGAATCGGTCTACAAATCGTTTAAGGTATTCCGTTTAAGAATCGGATAGGATTTTCAAAAGATATGGCCTTCAGAGGGGGCCATGTTTTCGTTCCATGTACATTCCTCATTTTTGAAGGGGATCCCCCAGAAAATTTGACAAAAAATCGAAAAAATATTTCGTTTGTAGGTTTTGATGCAGATTGATAGAGAATCGGTCTACAAATCGTTTAAGGTATTCCGTTTAAGAATCGGATAGGATTTTCAAAAGATATGGCCTTCAGAGGGGGCCATGTTTTCGTTCCATGCATTTTTCTCATTTTTGAAGGGGATCCCCCAGAAAATTTGACAAAAAATCCAAAAAATATTTCGTTGGTAGATTTTGATGCAGATTGATGGAGAATCGGTCTACAAATCGTTTAAGGTATTCCGTTTAAGAATCGGATAGGATTTTCAAAAGATATGGCCTTCAGAGGGGGCCATGTTTTCGTTCCATGCATTTTTCTCATTTTTGAAGGGGATCCCCCAGAAAATTTGACAAAAAATCGAAAAAATATTTCGTTGGTAGGTTTTGATGCAGATTGATGGAGAATCGGTCTACAAATCGTTTAAGAAATTTCATTTAAGAATCGGAGAGGTTTTTGTGAAGATATAGCCTTCGGAGCGGCTCATATAGTCGTTCCATGTACATTCCTCATTTTTGAAGGGGATCCCCCAGAAAATTTGACAAAAAATCGAAAAAATATTTCGTTTGTAGGTTTTGATGCAGATTGATAGAGAATCGGTCTACAAATCGTTTAAGGTATTCCGTTTAAGAATCGGATAGGATTTTCAAAAGATATGGCCTTCAGAGGGGGCCATGTTTTCGTTCCATGCATTTTTCTCATTTTTGAAGGGGATCCCCCAGAAAATTTGACAAAAAATCCAAAAAATATTTCGTTGGTAGATTTTGATGCAGATTGATGGAGAATCGGTCTACAAATCGTTTAAGGTATTCCGTTTAAGAATCGGATAGGATTTTCAAAAGATATGGCCTTCAGAGGGGGCCATGTTTTCGTTCCATGCATTTTTCTCATTTTTGAAGGGGATCCCCCAGAAAATTTGACAAAAAATCGAAAAAATATTTCGTTGGTAGGTTTTGATGCAGATTGATGGAGAATCGGTCTACAAATCGTTTAAGGTATTCCGTTTAAGAATCGGATAGGTTTTGATGAAGATATAACCTTAAGAAGGTTTTGGGAAAGATATGGACTTCAGAGGGGCCATATTGTCATCCCATTCATTTTCCTCATTTTTTTCCATTTTTTTTTTTTAATTTTCCCCCCAGAAAATTTGACAAAAATCGAAAACATATTTTTAGATATTCGCAATAAAATTAAACCTATATAATTGAATAATAACACCCACTGATCAGTATGTTAAAATCGAGTAACCGATTAAAATAAACCCTTTTACAGATGATCAGTTTGCTGGAGGAGGAAGAAGATATAAACCAGATTATGGCTTTCTTTAGCTATGAGCACTTTTATGTGATCTACTGCAAGTTTTGGGAACTGGACAAGGACCACGACCTGCTGATCAGCCAGGAGGATCTGGCAAAGCACAGTGACCATGCCCTGTCCACCCGCATCGTAGAGCGAATCTTCTCTGGGTGTGTGACCCGCAGTGACAACAAAAAGGCGCCAGAGGACGAGGCCAAGATGTCTTACACGGACTTTGTGTGGTTCATCCTGTCGGAGGAAGACAAGAGAACGCCAACGGCCATAGAGTACTGGTTTCGGTGCATGGACATTGATGGCGATGGAGCAATCTCCATGTACGAATTGGAATACTTCTACGAAGAGCAGCAACAGCGGATGGAGGGAATTGGTATTGAGTGCCTGCCCTTTGAGGACTGCCTGTGTCAGGTAAGACTTAATGAATATCATTTCGTTAGCTTGGACCTGGATTTTTATTCTCTTTGTTTAGATGCTGGATATGATAAAGCCTGCCAATCGTGACTGCATCACTCTGGGTGACCTAAAGAAATGCAAGATGACCCACGTGTTCTTCGACACTTTCTTTAATCTGGAAAAATATCTGGATCACGAACAACGCGATCCATTTGCCTCGCAGCGGGACGAATATGTAAGATTTTTTAACTATAACTTTGACTGGAGTGCCTATATCCTTATATCTTCCTTTTATAGACCTCGGATTGGGATCGCTTTGCGGCACAAGAATACGAGTTGCTCATATCCGAGGAGAACGATTAGGAGCCGCCTTAACATATTTATTAACTTACAAATTTTTATACAAATTTATACACTTCGAATCGAAAAAAAAAAGAAACCCAAAAATCAACAAAAAGATGGAACTACTTTTAGTTCATATGTGCAATAAATTCAAATTATTTATTATGAGTTCTGCAGATTTAGTTGAATTTTAACGACGAATAAAATAAAAATAAATTAAAACTATAGAAAGTTTGAATTCTTTTAAAATTGGTAAGTCAATTAATTTAATATTAAGCCTTAATGTTCTTAAAAGCAATTATCTGAAGACTTTCTTTGAAGTTAAACAAAGAGACATATTTTCGCCAAAAGTGTGGGTATTAGGATCAGGTAAGTATCATTGTCGATAAGCTTTTACTTATAAAAAAATGAGAAGAATCCTGGCCTATACTGGATCAGCATCACAGAAGCAAGTCATTACTATCTACTATCGATTACGATTACTATCTATCTATAATTTAAATGTTTTAATATCTTTAATCCAAATGAAAAACAGCTTTTTATTTTTTTTTTATTTCTTTATTAATTTTTTTTGTTTTCTTTTCAAAATTGATAAACTTAAAGTAGTTAAAAATAGAAATTGATTCTCGTTTATCATCATTACAATGCTACCAGAACTCATTTAGAAACTCGTTTTAGACTATGCACAATTTGCCTAAATATATTTGTTTATGTTTTTATATATAATTGGTATATGCAATAGAGGATCCTACCGTCAAGAGGTACAACAGACCACGACCACATCACAATCATCAACATGGTAATTTCGAATTAAAAATTTACCAAATTACAAAAAAAAAAGTGTTTTATTCAGCTTCTTATTCATATTAATTTTTGTTAGGATGTTATTCTGCTTACAACTGCTTCGGGCTCAAAAGATTGCGCTGCTCGTCGATAATGAATCACAGATGCATATGGATTGGGATTTTATATAAATATATATATATGTGGGAGGTTCATTTACTCCTCATCGGGTCATAATTTACAGATTGATGGGGTTCGGGCAAGGAAGCTACGGCGAACCAACCAATTTATCATTATATGAAGACTAAAGAATATACATATTAGAGGTGGTTAACTGTGAGAATCTTTTGGGATTATCATTGAATCGTGTTTGCTGTTTTGAAATGTGTTCAAGAAAATAAAGCATTCAACAGAGGCGCCGTTTGTAAGCAAGCAACAAGAAAGATGAAAATAGCTGAGGTCAACATATTAAAGATGTAAAAACAATTCGAAAAGCTGTGCGAATTGAATTACTTTTTCTGCTGTTTTTTTTTTCTGTTTTGGTTGGCTTTGGATGTGGGTATATCTGATTTACTGTTTTAGCCGTACTTTTTCACTATCCTCAAAGTTCTTATCATTATCGTTTGTGGTCTCGGAGTCTGTGGCGGGGGATCCGGATGCCGTCGTGTCCGATTCGCGACTATAAACAGGCGCTGAGCCGCCCTTTACATAATCGGCGGTAATGTGAACCCCTCGGATGTCCGAGCCAGGCACTATAAACATAGGATCCAATAGCAGTTGCTCCTAAAAGAAGATATTGGCGTTTATAAATGATTCAAGGTTTTTTTGTATAAATTAATTACCATTATGGAGCGCAGTCCTCGAGCACCCGTGTGTCTTTCCATTGCAAGCTGAGCAATTGATTTAACCGCATCATCGGTGAAGGTTAGGTCCACATCATCAAGTCCTAACAGTGCCTTGTACTGGGGTACGAGGGCATTTCGTGGCTCGGTGAGGATGCGTACTAACATGCTAATGTTCAAGCTGTGGAAAGGCACTATAACTGGAAAACGCCCAACAAATTCCTGAAGAAAAATAATTATTTTAGTTAAATGCATTTAAAAGAAACAATTGACTTACCGGAATCATGCCGAACTCGACGAGATCACGTGCCTGAACTTTGGTCAGGCATTTATCACGTTCCTCCTGATCGTTATCCATGGGACTGGCGGCTGACTGAGCTGCGCGGCGTCCAGAACCACTGGTCGAAGGCATGCCAAAGCCCAAGTACTAGAAAAGAAAATAATCAAATTAAAAAAGAACCTTTTCTTTTAATGGAACCTTATACCTTTTCATTGAGGCGGCGTGCAATGAGCCTGTCTAGGCCTGTGTAGGCACCCGAGGCAACGAACAAGATGTTTGTGGTATCCACTTGAACCGTCTCCCCGCGCAGTTTACGCGGTGAGTTCCTTTCTGGCACATTGACAACTGTACCCTCTAGCATCTTCAGCATGCCCTGCTGAACGCCCTCGCCGCCGACATCCCGAAGCTGGTGGATCCCGGGAACGGCACCGATCTTGTCTACCTCGTCCAGGAAGACAATGCCCGTCTGAGCGCGTTCCACGTTGTAGTTGGCATCTTGCAACAGCTTCGAAATTACGCTCTCGATGTCCTCACCGACATATCCTGCCTGCGTCAGCGTGGTGCAGTCGCAGATCGCGAAGGGCACATCTAAGCAGCGGGCTATGGTTTGGGCGATCAGCGTCTTGCCCGATCCGGTCGGGCCGAGCATAATAATGTTGCTCTTTTCCAGTTTGACATCGTTGGACTGTCTGTCTAAAATCTCCGAGCCGGCTCGGTTGTCACCGCCACCGCCGCGGGATGATGAAGATGAAGCGCCAGACAAGCCTCCGCCGAGTCCGGATCCGCCCAGTCCGCCACCCAGACCCATCTGGGAGGGCGACTTGGGCGGCAGCTCGCTACCCGGCGTGCTGTTTAATGTATGACCGATTCCGGTGATGTGCAAAAGGTCGGGACGTGGAATTCCATCCAAACCGCCACTGCCGGCTCCGCTGCCACTTCCACTGCCCTGTTGCTGGAGCTGCGGCAGGTTGTGGTGGATGCGTTTATAATGATTATAAACAGCTACTGCTAGAACTTTTTTGGCAAAGTCTTGGCCAACCACATGCTTGTCCAGATACTCCATGATCTTCTGCGGCGGTGGAGGTGGCTTTCGCTGATTCTTTGGCTCGTCCTTGGCCCGCTGCTTAGTCTCCACTTCAGACAGAACAACAAAGAAGTAGTTGCACTTGGCGCACTTGACAAATCTCGTCGAGCTAACGAACGTCTCCACTTGGGTGCAGGCGCTACCGCATTTCGGACACGAGAGGAACTTGTCGCTACCGCTTCCACTTCCGCTGCCAGGAGGATCGGTGCCGCTACTGGATGAACTTGCACTAGATCCAGACCCCGCTCCAGAGCTAGGACTCTTAGAGGAGCCTCCTGACCGACCGCTCTCACCCGAATCGTCGGGCGTCCTGCTGGAGGCGTTAGTTATGTCAATGTACGCCGGTATGGCCATGGCGGGCTCGAGCATGACTTGCCGACTGAGGGTGCAATGCCGTGTGGCCAGGTGAAAGCGACGCACACCCGAAACTCCATCTTCTGCATTCCGTGTGCTCAAAATAACGCATCTCGCCGAGCGTTGTGTGTGTCCAACCCCGCTACCTGGAAATATAAAGGGGTTTATCATAATTTCTTGGCAGAATTAATGGAATTCCAATCCATAAGGCGAAAACTGTCAGAGAGAACTGTGTGTACACCGCAGGGGTCCAAAAATAGAACAACGATTTATAGTATTGATGGTGTTTGGATGCAAAAAACACTCAATGCGACAAACAGAGAGATTGTGAAAGCAATGACCCTACTGTGACCGGGGTTAACGCTTCCTTAAACTGTAGCAATTGATGATAGGCGGGAGTGTGGATGAGGACCCATCTAAATAAGGCAACAAAGAAACTATCAACAAATAAAGGCCAAGGCCAATTAACACCTTTTGATATAATAGGTGACTCGCACAAATTTCGCGTCAAATCAGACCTAATCTTGCCCTCAACAGGTGGCATAACTTTAAACGCAACTAAAATCTACTTGAAGTAACTAGTAACTGCTTTTTTGGAGTGCATTTTGTTAGGTAAACTTCCGCCTCTCGACTTTCCTAACCTGTAGACCAACTAATATTATAACCTGGCTATTAAAAATATGTAAGAAATTGCCCAGGCGAAGACACGAAATAATAAAAAATCATTGCGTCAGAGTGGCTGTAATAATAATTAAGCTACCTGGCCAAATGTGCCACAATATTAAAAAAATTCAAGTTCAGTTGGTCCAAAGGCACGCACTTGTCTGATTGGGAAATGCGGGCCAATCTGAGGCCCCCTTTGGAGGCGACTCTGCTTGAATGTTGACCGCCAGAGCAGCTTTTTGATATCGGAAAAGAAGACGACCTTCACTCGATGGTTTGAGCAGTATTTTTTGAATCACATAAACAACTGAAACGGCTACTAGCTAGAAAATTCTGATTAGCAGCGAAATAAAGAGGGAGAGGGGGTTTGGGTATATCGCTAGGTAAACTGCAGTCTGTTTTCCACCAGGTTGTTGTTTTTTGTTTGTCAGCAAATGACGCAGTTACGTATGCGATTTGCACAACAACAATCTCAAAATGAAAACACCAACAACAACTCACCCTTTGCCCAGACACTGTATTTGGGACCCAGCAGGATAATCCGCCGCACCATGCTCATGGTGGCTAAAACCTGCTCCTGATCCTTCTGCTCTCCGCCTCCTCGATCACCTGCTCCTTTTCCTACTTATATGTTCCGTTTCCCTTCTCCCCTATGCTTCCACACTGCTCAGCTGGCCGCTTGGGTGCTTCTTCTTCTTGCTCTTCCGCTGCTGGTGCAGATTTGACGAATTGGTATTGTTGAGGTGGCCGCTTCTGGAGAAGATTACGAATTTTCTTGTTGCAGTACGAAATGCGCCGTAATTGTGCGCTGCTTTTCCGACTGTCGCTTGCTTATTTTCGTTGGAAATGGGGGAACAGATTGCGCTCTGCACGTAATTTGTGTTTTGGCTGTGTGCGTGCGTGTGTTTCTCGCTGCTTCTGCTCTGCTCTCGTTGTCTCTGTGCTTCTTCTTCCTTCTGATATCAACACTTTATGTTATAATTTATAAAGCCACCGATTTATGGAGGTAATTCCCTCGAATGTCTGAGGAAAATCTGGAAAAATTCCACCTAGGATGATACAAGAACCGATAGTTTGCGCAACAATCGCTATCGACATCAGCTGTTCGCAGCGCAGCTCTTCTTCTTACTCTTCGTTGGACAAATACGCACAGTGGACAGATAATGATAACGCGCAGGCAAAAAAAAGCGCTGCCAAACGCGGGCGGGAGACTATGGTACTTGAAATTTTGGTCTGTAAACAAATTTTGGATTGTCACGGGGCCGGAATAATGAATTTAGGCAAAGGCGAAGGGAAAAACAAAAGTATTACAATTTCCAAAGATTACTCTTTTTTTTAAAGTAAGTCTGAGTGGAATTCCAAGGGATCATATTTAAATATGCCCAATACCAATAACCAGGCCAAGACGAGGTTCTCTCCATGACCTTTTTTTAAATGAAAACATTACGATAAAAATTCGTTAAGCCAAAGATATTTTAATTTCTTTAAATATACTATTTTTTGCTAAGATTCTAGAAATCTTAAACTTATATTATTTAATAACCAGGAATTATACGACCCTTCTTGGCCGCCGTCTTCAACTTCTTCTTTTTCTTGTCCTTGCTGCGCTTGTCCAAGTTCTCTTGGCGTTTCTTCTGACGCTTGGCTATGTCGTGTTCCACCTTCTGTTTGCGTTCAGTCCACTTGTTCTTAGCCTTCTTCTTCTCCTTAGTTTTCTTCTTAATGGCCTTTTGGAGGAGTTTGGTGTCATCCTTCACCTTCTTACCCTCCACTTTGTCAAAGGCCTTGCGCCAAGCGATATCATTCTGCATTTCCGCAGCCTTCTCTGTATCCCCCTGTTCCCGTAGCTCGGTAAGTTGCTTCTTGGTGTCACGCAACTTTTTCAGTATCTCCTTGGGATTTTTGTGGGATTTCTTGGTCTTTCCACCGGGATTCGCCGCAAAGTCTACTTTGGAGTAGACGATTTTTGCTTCCTGATTGTAAACTGGCTGCACCTTTACTGACTTAATCTGCCCCTTGCTGTCTTCCTGGTCGGCATCCTGCTCGCTTTTGATCACTCCTTTCTTAAGTTTCTGCTGCTTGACATTTTCGTTTTTAAGATTTTTGGCCGACGAGAGTAGCAGCTTCTGAACACCCTTGCTGCGCTTCAGTTTTTTGGCCTCCCGACGTTTTTGCTGCTTTTCCGTGGTCGGTTTCTTCTTCTGGCGCAGCTTGTTTTTGATGGAAGCGATACGTTCGTTCACATCCCCGTCGTCGGAATTGGCAGTCTTCTTTGAAGGAAGCTTCAATTTTTTGTTCTTTTTCTTTGTCCCTCCTTTTTTGTCCGGAAGCAAATAGTCCTCGTAAGTCTCCTCATCTGAATGCATACAATATTCACCATCGGAATAATAGTAATATTAAATGGATTTTACCTTCTTTTTTAGTGTAAGGAACTTTGTGTTTGGTCAGCAGGTGTAGAACACGCTGCTGAAAATTCTTAGCAACTTTAAGCAGGTCCTGCTTAGCCTTTGGCTTTGGCTTCTTTTTCACACCGTGAAGCGCTTCGTATTCCTCCCGGAGGCGTTTAACAATTTCCGCCTGGCGGGTCATTTTTTTCAGTAAAACTAACGAATAATATAAATGTTAGCGGTTTGACACACGTGCAGGTTCCAGTATGACCCTAAATTGGGAATGACGTTCTATTGATGGAACTATCGATTAGTGAAGATGTTAGTTTTTTACATTTTCATATTAATCTTAATAATAAATTAAATTATAATCTAATTATCGGTTAAAATATGTTTTATTTATATTTATTACCGCAGATTTAATTTTAATACAAAGTTTTTAAGGCATTGATTTTGTGCTATTTTGGTATTTTTGGGAAAAAGTACACAGGGCGGTTCGTGCAAAATACCAAAATATACTAAAGAAAACTTAGCACCATCACCGGAGTTTCTGGGGATTTCATATGGCATATGGCAGCACTAAAACATCGTTCAAGAAATGACTAATTTGCCAGTTTTAAGTATTTACTCAATGCCCAGCTAATTACACATCGGAAAACAACAAAACGTACGGCGGAAAAAGTTGGAGACGCGAGCGGGAAAACCAGCGAAGCAGTCAAGATGAAGAGGCAATTCGCGAAAATCAAAATTGCAGCCGAAAATCTGTCAAGGTAAGTTCAAAGGCCACCAGACGTCGTGTATCGCTATGTGGCTGTGAGGGGCTCTATGGCAAGTATATGTAACTGCGCTCCAGGCAGAGACATATAAACAGACAGGTGTTGCCTCATCGCATCAACAACAACAAAAGCAAAACAAGAAGATCAGCAGCTGCATCAGCAGTGACAACAATAACAAAAGACATGCAAAGTGGGCGACTGATGACCTAACGGCAATGTTTTCCCCCCCTTCCTCTCTCCCCATCTCCCGCTGTAGGTCCACCAAGTCGGATTGCAAAGATTCGGAGCTGGAGACGATTGAACGTCAGGTGGACAGATACCGGGATACTATCGAGAAGATTGTTCGCAAGCTGCCGGCGTTGAGCAGCAGCGGAAATAGCAGCAGCAGCAGCAATGGTCAGGTGAGCAGTGAGGAGCAGGATAAGCGGACCAAGAAGAACAGCCACTACAAGATTGCCCAGGCGCTGGATGAGTCTGCCAAGGAGTTGCCCAAGGATATGCCGCTCCAAAAGGTTCTGGCCAATTGCGGTTAGTAAAGTGCTTGTGATTGTGTTTACCAGTGAGCTAATCGATAGCTAAAATGAGGTGTTTTTAAAGCCATTAAGTAGTTAAGTGGGTGAAACATTCTTAAGTTAGGTAATGGTGGAAATTCTTAGACAGAGTTCTTTTATGAAAATGACCTTTCCCGAGTAAAGTGTGTACCAAGTCTTTTTCTAGACATAACTTCTAGGATTCTAGCTTTATTTAATGATATCCGAGAAATCCCTCGAGTTGGCAACTGGAAATGGCCAAAAAATTCAAATTCCTTAAATTCATGGCATACACAAATAGTATCTAGCCGATTGTGTGGCAGCCATGCTGCTGATAAGGGCTACTGTGGTTCGCAATCGCAATCGCTTGGAGGCCCAAATCCGATAATCGCCCTCAGACATGCACATATATTGCAAATATGATTGTGTGGAGCGGAGGCTACTACTGACTGCCGGATGACTGTGTCACGGGCTTGCGTGTTGTGTCTGTATCTGTATCTGTATGGGGTGTTGCTGTTTGCGGCCTCGCCTTGTCGCTTGGCCTTGTGGCATTTACATTTCTCAACATCAACATCGACAGCCAAGTCGGCTTTAATATATAGCGAATAAACCGTCTATCTTGTGGTAGTATGAGTGCTTTTTTTTTAATCATAATTATAATTTTTATTATGGCTTTTTTTCGCTGCTTTCTTGCTTTCAACCCGTTCGCCAGCATTTGCGGTTTTGGCATTATTATCTATTTATATACCTTTGTGTTTTTTGTTTAGCCATCCCGCCCCCACTAGCGCCCGCTTTTATTGCCCTACTCCAGTGTGATTTATTGTGCATTTCATTTAAATTTGTTACACATCGCTCACGAATTGCTGGCACGGGTAAACGTAGATAATTATGCTAGCTGCTGGGGAGTAAAAGTAAAAGTCTGAGTCGAATTCATACATCATCGTTATGATCGCTCTTCCGATTGCTTCTCTTCTCGTTTCCTCCTCATACAGCATATATTTTGTGGGCGCTCCCCCTTGGGTTATATTACTCATTCGTTAGGTTTGTTATTTTTATTTTTATTTTTCTCGTATTGTTTCCATTTGGCGTTTCCTCTGCCTCGCATTCCACATTCAACATTTTCGCATATGCGTGTGCGTCAATTGCAATTTGGATGCAATTGCTCGGCCCTCGTCTTGTCCCGTCTCGGTGCAACTGCATCTGGCCCATGGCAGTGGTTCAAGAGCATCGGCGGTTGTGTAACTTCCAGGGATCCGATCCCTCTTTTGTTTTAGCCACTTGCCCACGTTCCCGATTGGCCACGGAGGTCTCAGCTACAGTGTACGTGTGTTCATGAGCGTCAGTTGAACGCTTTTTGAATTATAAGTGGGTCAAAATAGACAATTCGTAGACTCGTTGGCGAATAAAACAAAGAAATTTTAAAAACAGATAGCCCTAGAAATACGAAATATTTGTTTATTATGAGGCAATCTCTAAATGAAGACATCATAACCCACAATTTTCATCAAGTGCCAGTAATCACTCCAAGAGGGACAACCTCTTGGAACTAGCTTATTAGGGGTTATAATGCGCCCGCAATTAGAGACCGATATCATCTCAGTTTAACCCACTGTGCGCCCTTTTTAGCTTTCATTGTTAGCCACGATGCGCTTCAATTCAACTCATCACATCACATCCACATCCCACAAGGGGAAAGAAAATCGAGCGTATCTCGAATTGTTATACTCCAGTGCCGCTTCAGACTTAGACTTCCCCCAGCGACGACCGACCGACCGACCGGGCGACCTCTTTGCCTTTATTGCGGGTTCAGCTGCTGGGCCTCGAGTCTCATAGCACTCCACACAATTATCACAATTTTGCTTACTCAGCTCGTCAACCCATTCGCCTGTCGCCTATACTCACTCACCTTCCCCCGCACTTGGCCCGCATCCGAGCGAAGCAACTCCAGTAACTGGAAACCGGCACGCCAACATCTTCGGAGCTACCGCTGAGCGATAAGGTCTTAAATAAGCATTGACTTCCTCACTTGCGGGTGGAATAGAGTCTGTCTATGCATCTCCACTTAACCCATTAAAGGCAACTACCAAGTTTCAAGATAGTAGATCGATAAGCTTATACTTTTATATATATATTTTTATTGGAATGGGTTGAACTTGATAAGAATATGAATATAAATTCATTCATTATTATTATAACTTTACAATTTTTATTCATAAAGAGCTCATCTTATGAGTAAAGAGTTAAGGAAGCTTGACTAATGATAGCTACATAGATAAAACATTTAATAGCCATCGTCCTACATTCGCTTATGAAATATCAAATATTTACTCATGTCTAAACCTCTCTGGGTTGAATTTTTAGGTGAGCTGGAGAAGACGATGGCCGAGTGCATCATCGAGAGCGAGCTGGAGACGGAGACAAAGGTGGTGCGGCGACTGAAAAACATCTTGGACAAGGAAATCCAGGAGATCTCCGCGCTCAAGCGCAACGTATCCCGCACTCTGCAGGAGTACACCTCTCTGAAGCGCAGCTACGAGGTGAGTGCCTGGGTGATCATAAATCCAACTGGCATTAAGCAACCATTAAATATTCATACATAAGTGCGATGTGCAGGTGAGGGAACCGTGCCAGTGAATAATGCTGTACTTCCGTTTTCACCAAACAGCGCGCGATGACAATGGTAGATTGTTAAATTAATTAAGAAATATGCTTTGGGGGAAATAATGGTTTGGCCGAAGAGTTAGCTCAGCTGGTCAAGTGATTTCGGGCTTTTTCCCAGCGATATCCAATCGTGAAGTGGTCTCTGATTAATGAACTACCGGCTTGAATATTTCTCTCAACTTAATAGCACTGTGGTTTGCAGTTGCGATATATTCAAGTGGCAAGTTCACATATCACTTTTATGGTGTAAGAACCCTACTCCAGTTAGGGGCTTACACGGATTTCCCCGGAATGTAACTTCCAGATAGGCGCTTTCCCAGTATCAGGTGTCATAAAACTACCAAGTAAAGTGAGACCTCTCACTTTTCAATCAAAGCATAACCACTGTACCGAGGCGGATGCCATGGAGCGCCGGCAAAAGAAGCAATCAATTTTTAATTTCCATTTATTATTATTGCCGCCTGGTTGTTGTTCTTGTTGGGGTCTTTCTTTGGTGTTCTCTGGCTTTATCTCACGCCAGTTTCTATTGTTTGTTTGCCATGCTTTTCGTTTGTCCGTCCGTCCGTATTTGTCGCTTACGTTTTTATGATACGAATTCGATTGTTTCTTATCGCCCTGCCTGGTGCCTGGTGGCTGGCCTGGGCCATTGTGCCGGAGAATCTTGGCGTGATGGAATGGGATTCGAAATGGGTTGAACTGAGATGAACGGCTTTTTGTGTTCCAATTCCTCGACACTCGATTGGTTCTGGCCATTGACGACGACTACAAGTGTGGAACCGAACAGTTACCAGAGCCAGAGACTATCTGGACACAAAAAGTTACTTTTTAAGTTTCATTGTTTTTTTTATTATTTATTTTTATCGTTGTTGCTTTTTTTTGCTTACTTGCTTTTTCCGCTTTATTTTGTACAAATCACGACGCCTTATGCCTTATAGAGAGACATCGGGTCGGGGATGACTAGACTGGACGCTGTATTTGTTGATGTATGTTCGATGCCCGTTTAGGGTGACGGAAGACGTTCATTGACTTTGGCGCGAGTGACATCATAATTGAAATGGACACAACACGACAGCTGACCACCTTGATTGGCTTGAATTCGATGGCGTATCGCAGAACAGTAAACCGAAACCGAAGTTATTTACACTCCCCGGTAATCTTATCGCCACCCATAATTCGCTAATCACACGCTCCCGTGTTGTTGCTATTGTTCTAATTGCACTCCCTGACACAGATCCGATCCGAAAACATACTCTACTATACAAGGCCTGTCGCCTCTGTCTTTGGAAGTGTTAGATTTGGTGCCCGGAATGTGTAATTTGTATGTCTGATGATGTATGTAGGTCGCTGAAAGGTTGCAGCTCAGGGAAATCACTCGTGTGACTCACTCGAAGTGCTCACATTAGAGTAGGAAAGGAGCTTCAATTGATAATTAGCTGCTGGCTGGCATTGTCTTCTCGGCTGGAGATAGTGTTGGGTTGCTTGCCAGCAGTTACAGCAATTTGTCACGATTTGTTTATTTTTAGCAGCCTTATGATACGGGATAGGGCGATGAATGCCAGTGCCACTGCCAGAGCCAGTTTGTTTACACACAATGGATAATGCTGTTGTAAGCAAAACTTACATAATGAAGCTCGCCCTTTGTGATGCTGAATGGCTTGATTAACCGAATCAGAAATAGCTTATTTTAAATTAGTTTACATAAAGACGTAGCTGACAAAAAGATGCCTAATAAAAGCTAGTTGTGGCAGGTTTGAAATTAATAATCGATACTCTTTCTAGACTTGACTTAGTCCATTGTTTCTTATCAGTGCGGCTATGAACCAACTCCTTTGTGAGTCAAGAGTTGAAAAGTGTGTAATGTCACCTTAGTCAGTGCTCCCATTTTGATTATGTACACATATGCGTTTTATTTCCAATACTGCCCATTGTCTGGAATCCGAATCGAAACAAAGACCTTGAAGTGTGCGGGAAAAGCTGAACTGCGGCTGCGGTTGAGGCTGAGGTCGATCTATTTTTGTGTGGCGCGCTATTCATCTCTTAGTCACTTAAGTCACTAGGAAAACTATTTCCAGTAGAGGGTGCTGGCTGGTCAGATAAGATATTCCGAATTCTTGAACTTTGAAGTATGCGGAATGTGACGATTCTCCCGGCATTGCCCCTTATCTATAATACAGTCGACTAATCAGTGCAATATTCCAACCCACAGGCGGCAATCCGACTGGAGGAACCGGCGGCCAAGGTCAACCAAATCAAGAGCCAGCAGGAGGAGTGCGAGGTGAAGCTGGAGAAGGATCGGGATGCCTGGGCGGCACAGATGCTGGAACTGATATCCAAGGAGGACGAGATCGTCAGCTGCATCCGCGACTATGTGCTCAACCAAAGAAACTACCACGAACGGGCGCTGCAACATGTGAACGCTTCCCTGGCCCGCATTCAGGACACCATTCAGTCCACGGAGAAGTCCCGCTTTGGCACCTCGCTGAAGGAGCACCTGACGTCTACCAACCGCGAGATCTCGTATATCGTGGAGCTGTGCTGCTGTTGCCTGCTGGAGCATGGGCTGGAGGAAGAGGGTCTGCTGCGCGTCGGATGTGCCAGCACCAAGCTGCGCCGCATGAAGCACGCCCTGGAGGCGCAGCACGTGAAAACGCCGCTTCCGCTCGACTACCAGGATCCGCACGTCATTGGCTCCATACTCAAGCTCTACCTCCGCGAGCTGCCGGAGCCACTGCTCACGTATGGCTTGTATAAGGACTTTATACGGATCGCCGAGCGCCACAGCGAGGCCGAACGCAAAACCGAAATCAAAGCCATTCTGGGGAAGCTGCCCAAGGAGAACTACGCCAACCTGCGCTACCTCACCAAGTTCCTGGCGCTCGTCCAGCAGCGTTCCGTGCACAACAAGATGAGCTCCCAGAACCTGGCCATTGTTATGTCCCCGAACATGCTCTGGCCCCGCATCGATAAAAGCAGCAACGCGCCCGCGGACTACATCGGCCAAGTGAACAGCTCCTCGGCGGCCAACATCATTGTCGAGTTACTTATCAGCCAGTGGGACTACTTCTTCACGGGCGAGGTCGACTTTTATCTGACACTGCAGAAGCAGAAGCTTTTTGTGGAGGGCAAGAGCAAGTCGAACTCTTCAAACGAGCATCTGGACAAGCACGATAGTGGTAAGCATGCTGGACATTCAGAACTCTATAGCTCCAACCACTCGCTGCCAAATACAGTATTTGATTTATAACTTTAGTATTTTTGGAAATATTTGAACTAACATATATAGAGTATATATAGTAAAGCATCTGTAGTAAAAGCTTTTTTGTATATTTTAAAGATTTATCAATTAAAATTGTGAATATGAATGACATTAAATGACAAATTGAACTAATACAACAGATTTGGATGAAATTTATTGCTCATGTTCATTAAAATGTCATTCATTATCGTTCCATTGATTCATCTTCATTGTGGAGACTTAAGCTATAGAAGTTCGATTGTAAATTAATTAATATTTTAAATATCTGACGCAATTATTGAATATAATCCTATCCGCAGAAGTCCTAGAAAGTCCTCGCTATGGAACCCTGCGAAGGCAGAAGCAGGCAGCTCCCTCACCACCCACCACCAACGGGAATGGCACCAACAACATGACCACATCACAGACTTCGCATCGGCCGCATGCCAAGGAACTGTTTCCACAGCAGCCGCCTGCGCAGCCACAGGAGAAGCCGGCGAAACCACCTCTGCCGAACCTGCCTCAGTTCCAAACACCCGCCGCCAATCAGCCGACGCAGGTCACGCAGCTAGAGGCCCTGCCTCCACCTCCCGTGACACCAGCGAAGCCAGTGCCCATGACACGAACGCAATTCTTCGGGCTTGACAATCTGCCTTCGCCGACGGCTGATCGCAAGAGCACAGATAGCATCGGTAGCTTTAAGCTGAAACCGGATGTGCCGCAAAAGCCCCTGCTTCCCAAACGGCCGGCAGTTTTGGGAGTAGGAATGGGCAAAAACGATGGCAAAAGCGATGATGAGGGTGCCGTGACACCCACCCAAGCGACAATTGATAATGGCAACGGCAGCGTTCGCTTCAAAACGGAAAACTTTCTGGAAAAGCTGCGACAGGAGAATGCTGTCGAGACGAATGGAACACGAGAGGAGGCCACGGTCAAGGAGAACAACCATAACCACGAGCAGCAATCTACGGCAGCGGAGCCACCGCCGGCACAGCAACCTCAGGCAACTACGCCCATCTCCCCAAACTCATTTCAAACACCCAAGAGACCAACTGTGCCAGCGCCGCCACCTCCAACAAATCGCAAGCAATCGGATTAGAGGATAACCGGAGCAGGAGGAGAGGAGGTTTTGCCGTTTTGTGGAAACGCAGAAAGAGTCATTAGGTGTTACTGTTTACTCGTTAAGACTTGAACGCACAGTAGTATGAACAATATTACGTAATTTAAATGATCCTTGCGGTTAGGAGACCTTGTGCATTATAGAGAGAATAACCTCTGCGTATTTTGCATTTGTATTTTTGCCTTGTCCATAAGCAATCTAATTTAGCCATATAAAATTATCAACCGATATCCATTTATTTGTATGCGTATACATATAAAATATATATCCATATATATATATATATAGTCTGTAGTAGGCCACCATAACTCAATCGTCGAAATTTGATTTAAACGTTAGCACATGCGAGCTCTTAATTGTTAATCCTTGTTTGAAAGGTTGTGATAGATCAGAATGGTTTGTGTTTCCTTAATTTTGTAATTGCATTTCTTTTGCGCCAATTTTGTTTCCTTTTTTTCCAACGAAAGACACTTTTCATTGTGATTTACCTTTTCTAAAATGATGATTTCGATAAAGTGTGAGTTCCATTGCTCCACTAAGAGAATTAAGATTCCAATGTATTCATTTGATTTGAAAATCAGCTGTACATCTTCTGTGAGTTATTTGGATGCATGATGTATTATGCTTTGTATTTTGCTTTATTAATATGTAATGCAACTATTTTTATTTTTATTTTATAATAAAAGTATGTATGAAGAATTGTTGTGTATATAAAATATACATTAAAAAATGAAGAGTATGATTTGACCAGAAATGTATTTACTTCTTTGTTATTGTTTACTTTGTTACCCATTCTTCTGAATTTGATTTAAACTCTGTGGTGGGCCTATTGAGAAAGTACATAGAATTGTGTAATCTTATGAAAATATTAAATGCCTACTGACCTCTTGAGATCAAAATATAAAGTATCTACAAAGAATATAGTTTTTGGAACGCTATAAATTGTGCCATATAATGAATACCTGACAGCACCTATCCTGTAAGCCTAGAGATTGCATAACTTCCAATTAACTACCTTACTATGTACTTCATATCTAAATCTATATTTTCACACGCTGCTTCAAAGATATGAATATTAAAGAACAAACTTAATGAAGGAGAGAGCTTACTTGTGAGAGTGCAATGATATAGGCATTCTGCATCCGAAAGACCAAATCGATATATATTCCATGGTATTTGTAGAGTTTAGAATGTTTATACAGTTTTGTGGATAGGTTAGTAAGTGGGCGAAAGTCGGAAATATACGAGTTTGTATTGTGCTAAAGTTTGAATAAAAAATCCAATTTGGAGCCCAATTAAATGTGTTCTTAATGCGATATTAACTTTTATTTTATACTTATTCCGAACAGTGTACTTGGAACTCGGCCAAAAAGTATGCAATGTATTTAATAGATACTCTACATATTTAACAAATTCATAGAAAATACATATAATATTACTAATAGTCCGGTGGCTACCTTATGGAGCTAGTGTTTAGGCAAACATCAAAAGCGGGCAGAGTTCCAGTGATTTCCAAAAACCTCAATAACGTGTGGCTGTAAGCCTGTTTTATGGGAGTATTGAGACCCCCACTATTTGGATCTCTTTTCGCTTCCTCCGGCGAGTCCAACTCCCTCACGTAATCCATAAAATTGTCAACATTGATGGGGGCCTCGGCCTTTGGCTTGGGCCCAGTTTCCGTTTGCAACTTGCGATTAAATTCGCTGCGATAATAGTCGTTGATCATGGACATCATGCCCTTGGAGTACCAATAGATGATGCCAATCAGTAGCATTCCTTGCACGAATGGACCCACCATTTTAAGTCCCTTAACTTAAAGTCCTTTTCTTTTTTTTACTACTGCTGTGCCTCACGGAAGCTTTCCAGCCACTGATTAATCATGTAGAACTGTTCCTTGATATGCGGCCAGGCCATTGTCACAATTAGCATTATGGTATTGGCAAATACAAACAGTTTCATCATCTCAAATGCTAACAAGAAAAGGTATAACTTTAGTAAACTATTATTACCAAATTAATTAAAAACTAATTACAGACCCTCCGGCGTGCGAAGATAGTCGCCGAAACCGGAATTTAAGTCCTTGTCCTCCTCCTTCTGGTCATTTTGATCCTTTTGATCGCGTTGTTTGGTCTTGCTCTCGGCCTTGTCCTTGTTGGAGGAGTGTCCTTGTCCGTGGGAGTGACCTTTTCCACTGTGTTTGTGCCTGCCGTAACCGGTGGATGTGTTGGCGAAGGCGGATTTCTTCGATTTCATTGCATCCAAATGGCAGAAGCAGTGGATCTATGCTGCTCCCTGCTGAAATGTAAGTCAATGAACAGGACTCGGAGCTGCTCCTTCCTAACGATGGTCCTACCACGCCTAATGCCACTCCGCGAATGACACTCTCATTTTTGTGGCCATCCCAGGGGCTCTGCTGCTGGTTGGCAATTTTATGGTTTCGTTTTTATTGATTTGCGATTTCTGCTTGTCGCTTCTGCCAGGTGGGGCCAATAGTTTTGGGGGCGGGGCAGGTGACAAAATAGAAATATGTTGTTTGTGGAGCAATGTGCTCGGATATTTAGCCAGGCATGTGTGCTTATTATTTCCACGTTAACATGTATAAGTGTGTCAGCTTAGCGTATGGTGGCGCTGGGTGGGTTTGTCCAGGGTCTGCATAACATTGGTTTCAGTTTCATTTGGTTATAGTGAAAAATACAAATATTTATAAGACTATGATATTATTATTTAATAAGAAAGATATATTTATTATCTATGTTTATTTTCCTTCAATCCCTAATGTATACAGCAGAATACAAAGTTTATATTCGCGGTTAAAAAATGTTAAACGAGTTAAATTCGAATACTGATAGCAAATACTTGACAGACACTAAGTCTAACTTAGACACCACTACGTATACGTGATGAGCTGTTGATTCCTTTGAGCTGGCGCTTCGTCCGGTTCTGTACTATCCACCGGAGTACTTAAACAGCTGGTGCAGAGACCGCCCAGGATGACCAGCAGACAGAAAGCGGTCAGCGAGAGGGCGGGACTCACCTGTCGCAACAGGGTGAGAAAAGAGGCGGATAGCTGCCACACCCGTGCCCAAGTGACGACTGAGAAGGCGAGGCAACTCCTCTGCTCTTTGGGCACAAGCTCCCCCAAGCATGCCAGGATCATGGACTGGGCACACGACACGGCTGCCTGGGGCAGGGAGGCCATTAACCATCCCATTGTGAGGCCGTAAACCTCAGGCATCGCCTCCTCTGCCAGGAACCAGCAGATGCTGCCTATGAAACCCACCGTCATGGCGAATACTCCGGCCCACTGCCACTTGCTCCGGTTCCTCTGGAACGTCAGGTACATGGCCAAGAAACAGCCCATCATCTCGGCCAGTCCCATGGACAGGGTGTTGGCCACGAGATGCTCCCTGCCAAAGGAGCGAACGTGCAGAAGAAGGCCAGTGTGCACTATCATAAATGTGGCCAGCGCCATATGAACAGCCACCAAATGGAAGCTGCTTTTCCTCCTCTTCCGTCCCATCCATAGATCTATCCACTGAACAGGGGGCGTGTGGTCCAGCAGCTTCTCTCTCAACTGGCCTAGCTGGCGAGGCAGCTCCTTGGACACCTTGTGGAAGCTTCCATTCATCCGTGCTGCTTCCAGTAATATTCCCACTGTTTTTTCGATGGCCAACTGATTGTCCTTGGTGTGCTGAAGCAGCCAGCGGGGTGAATCCGGAGTCCAGGGCAGTAGGAAGACAATTACCAGGAGGCAGAGAGTTACCCCAAGGTAAATGTGCTGCCAACTGGGAGCTCCCGAAGCGAGACCAGGTAGTAGGATTAATCCGAGGGCCCAGAAGCAATCGTAGAGCAAGAGGGCTCCCAGTCGATGTCGGCCACCTGTTAGGTCGCTAACTGAAAAATAAATATAAAAAATTCAATAATCTTGTTTAGATTTCATATTATTTAGATATTTTGTATTCTGTGGAAATCTTTGCTTAATCATATAATATAATAATGAACTTATCAAAATCGAGTCAAGTGAACCTACAAATCATAAATTCAATTGGTCATAAATTCAAGTAAAGGTTTCCGATTGGCTATCCTCTAATAAGATCTATTTCATTTTTGTGATTATTGATTAGCAAGTTGTCTCATTCCCACAAAATATCATGATAAATTATGATAGAGTTTAGTTCATCTTTGAGATCAGAACAGAGAAGAGGAGCTACCTCAAGCAAGTCTCTAGTTTATTTTTCTACTTGTGGGTTACTATATTTCAATTACCACACTTGTTTTGAAGGAAACTTTTCTTTTTTACCAAGGATATAATTCAATCAAAACTTGCATTTTTCTACTTACATATTGTCTGTCCTGAGGTGATCATAAAACAGCAGGATACAGCAGCCAAGCATCGGAGTCCGCAATGAAGACTAAAATCCTTGACCAGGCCCATCAGGAGACTGCACATCAGGAGGCACCAAATGCCAGTTCCATAAATCTGGCGCGGACTAAGCACCCGCATCAACTTCGTAGCTGCTACACCGCCGATGAGCAGCCCGAAAAGATGCCAGTACTGGGACCAGGCCACAAAAAAGTCACACAAACACACCAGATCGAATTCCATGGTCAGGGAGTGGAATCCGGTGGTGTAGAGAAACTTGCGGCACTGACGCATGGCGTAACCCGAATCTCCGTAATCGACCATCACATAGCAATGATCCAGGGACACCGAACAATTGCCAGCCGGACCGAATGAGGTCGTATCGCAGGTGTATTCCTCCATGGGATACAGATCCGGGGCCGTAAATAGGATACAGGCCATTAACCAGGCGGCAGGAATTTTGCACAGGAATAAGATCAGCAGGGAGCGAAGCTGCCAGGGACCAAAGTCCCCAAGGATCTGATGCACCACGTCAGATTCGATGTCATCAGTAGGATTTGTTTTTGAAGGCGGTGGAGGAAGTTCCTCGTTACCTCTGGCCTCTGGATCGGAGCATGTGAAAACCTGAGTGAGGTGACCTAATACCAATGGTGTGGGTGAATTTCGCCGTATTTGCGGCATCCAGCCGTGAGATCTGTTTACTTCCTTCATCCTTAGTCAGCTCCGAAATTTAGTAACCACGTCTGGGGAGTGACAACCCTCCAGCATGACTGCGACTTCGCTTAGCACCTCACCTGGGCAGGTAAGTTCGCTGGTAAGCTCCGCGTTGCGGTGCCTGCCTACGACATCGTCGCTAATCAAATCAGTCCAAATAAGCGGAGTTCCTAACTGGTTGGGCAAACATCCAACCGATCCAAGATGCGGTCTATTTTCGTAGCCGGTTCGTTCGGGATCGGGGGTGAAGACTATCCGGACAAGCACTTGACATGATTGAAGCTAATGAATTGGCCTGGTAAACAACACCGGAATGCGCATTTCTATTACAATTTGCGGTCTAGTTTAAGGTGAGGACTTTTTCTATAACAAGTCCAAATCATCCTTTATGTTATATAACACTAATGGTAAATATTTTTAAAATATGTTGTAGTTTTTTTCCATGAAAGGGCATAGAATTCCGAAAATGTTACCTTAAGTCTTGACAAAAACTTATAAAGAGTGAAAACTGTTTGTACGATAGAAGTGTCATATGTGTATGTTCATTACACTCTTTGGCATCTAAAAAAGACCTCGTAGTTTTCCATTTCTTCAATGAACTCGAAAACTGATCATGAACTAAATTCAAAGTCCACAGCATCCATGTATGATGTTATATCATTGGCCAAAAGAGTTACGTCTGGGTTGTTTACTTTCGTTGGTCAATTGCATTTTCCACTTGCATTTTCATAGAAAACTTGTTTCTGGAGGACTAAAACTTTGGCCAAGCCAGTTGCTTGTCGATGGAAAGTGAGTGCGAGTCTGGATCCGATCAGTAGCATTTGTGGCTTCCAAGTGGCCACACATGATGGATAGTACAGAGTTGGAAATTATGGATCAGCAGCCAGACATCTATCAAGATTCAGTGGTTTTTATAACAGGTGGGTCTATGCTTCCTAATTAAATGCGAATCAGAAGCTTATGTTGTTATAGGAGCCACTGGTTTTGTGGGGAAGACACTGCTGGAGAAACTGCTCTGGAGTTTTCCACAAATCAAGCGTATATACATGCTGATCCGCCCCAAGGGAGGAGTCACAGTGGAAGAGCGTTTCCGGGTTTTCCTCCAGAACCCCATATTCGAGAGGCTAAGAAGCAACCATCCGGATAGGCTGAAGAAAATCTTTCACTTTTCTGGCAATATTGAAGACGACAACTTTGGTATGACTTTTGTGAGTTGTTTTAAAAGTTTCAGGAATTTACTAGACCTAACTCCACCAACAGGTTTAAATGAGTCGGACAGGAAAGTGTTGTGCGCCGAGGTAAACATTATTTTCCACAGTGCCGCCACGGTAAGTTGTCAGGGGAATCCCCAAAGCTAATGCCTTCAAGCTACTTTTTATTTAATTTTAGGTGCGCTTTAATGAGTGTCTTAAGGTGGCTGCTCGTGTCAACTCCCAAGCCACCTACAATCTTCTTGAGCTCTGCAGGGAGATGACTCACTTGAGGGTAAGAGAAGCCCTACTTGTGTATAGGTTTGGTTGAATATTCCCTAACAATCCCTTTTTGCAGAGCTTTTTGTATGTTTCAACCGCCTACTGCAATCCAGGTCGTAAGTATGTGGATGAGGTGGTGTACCCCACCATGCCGCCAGTGGATTGGCGTCAGTTTCTGGCTGCCACACAAAAAATACCGGATGACTATCTAAACCGTTTAGCGGACTATATAAAGGGCCCTCATGTCAATACCTATACCTTTACAAAATCCATTGCCGAACAAATAGTGAACGCTTACAAGAATGTGATTCCGATTGTTATCGTGAGACCATCTATTGTTACGGCTGCCTATCGGGAACCTTATCCAGGATGGATTGATAATATCCAGGCCATTAGTGGTATAATGATGGAGATTGGCAAGGGGGGAATCAGTAGTATTCTGGGCGATAAAGACCTAATATGCGATATTATCCCTGTGGATTTTGTGGTGAATGCAATGATTATGATGGTCGGCAAAGCAAAGCTGGGAAGGTAAGTCCACCTAGTCACATTTTATAAATTTATTCTTAAACTTTGCTTCTTTAAGCTTGAGCATCTGTAATGCCACCTCGGGTGTCACCAATCCCATCACCTGGCAACATTTGGGAGAACTCACCATGAAGTGGTCTCGCATTTATCCCACACGGCGTATGATTATGTTTCCTAACTTCAAATATCGGTGCAGTGCCTTCAAGCATGAATTGGCCGTTTGGGCTTTGCACTTTGTTCCTGCCCTTCTAATGGATTTACGGACCCTGGTGTTGGCCCAAAAGAAAAGGCTAGTAACGCCTATAGCTAAGAAGTTCCGACAAGCCTGTTTGGCAGGTAATCTCTTGAGAGAAATTATTTTCAAAAATGCTTTTATTTAAACAACCTATATTTTTAGGAAGCTTTTTCTCTCTTAACGAATGGATCTTCAAGAACCAAAGTCGCTATTATTTCAGAGAAGTAATCAAAAATGGGTTGTATCCTATGCTCTATTGGAATCTTGATGAATTGGACTATGATGATTATGTGCGACGTCATATGATTGGCATTAACAAATATCTTCATCGGGAAAAGTTCACTTTTGAATCAAATAAATTAATGGTGACCAGGTGAGTTAAGACAGGAACGCTCTACGAATTTTAATTTATAATCATTTATTATTCTTTTAGAGTCTACTGGTTCTGGATATTCCTGCATTTATTATCATACCTTCTACTAGTCTATGTCATATTTTAGTTAAATTACTTAGAAGGCAAAGTTTCTATATATAGTAGGACATAAGAAGGTGAATGACTCTTTTAAAATAATTTTTAATGTGTAGAATAACTGCAAGCTATTAGAATTACAATTCACTTAACCTAATCACAGAAGAAAGTTTCATTAGTTAAGTAATACAACAAATAGGCATTGGCGGGAAAAATCAAAAAAGAAAGAGATTTTCTACAATCGCGTGTTATTAACTTCCGATTCGATGGTCCAAACCGGAGCATTCAGAGGAGATTGTTCCTTTTTGTCATTGGTCTCCATTTGGGGCACAGCCGGTGTGACACTTAGCCTGGGCGTAAGGAGCAAGCTGGTGCAGATTCCACCCAAGATGCTGAAGACGCAGTAGGAAGTCAGCGACAGGGCAGTGTATATCTTTTTCAGGACGTTGAAGAATGGTGCCGAAAGGAGCCAAATACGTGCCCAAGTTACCACGGAGAAGACAAAGAGCTGCTTCTTGTTCGCCGGCATCAGCTCATTCATGCAGGCCAGAATCATGGATTGAGCACAAGACACCGCTGCCTTGGGAATAGTGGCGATGATCATCCAGAGCGTCACCTTTAGATCAGCATCCACTGAGGAAGAATCAAATTTAGTGATATTTGGTGGTTTTATTGAAAAAGGTCATTCTTACTAGTATCAGCATTGGTCCAGATCCAGCCAAGGCAGCCCAGTATTCCAGCTAATATATTAAAGATCCCAGCACATTGCCACTTCCACTTGTTGTGTTTCAAAGTAAAGTGAAGAGCCAGAAAGCAACCAATAATTTCCGCAAATCCTAAAAAGAAAACAATTTAAATAAGTTAGGATACTCAGTCTTTTCTAGAAAGAACTCCGCTGTATCTTACCCATGGCTATGGTATTGGGCACTAGGTAATCCCTTCCAAACGATCGAATATTCAGCAACATGCCCATGAAATTAATGACGAAGAATGCCAGTGAAAGATGGGCGGCCACCATGTGGGTCTTGGCCCTTTTTCCCACCCACAACTGGCGCCAAGGAGCCGGTGCTGGTTGGGCCTTGAGTTGTTCACTTAACTGCTCCAGTTGCTGCCGGAAATCCGGAGGAATCTTGAAAGTGCGGTCGTTAATTGCCGCTCCTTCACGGACAATTTCCTCCACTTGGTCGATGGCAAAACGGTCGGTGGCGCGACGCAGGAGCCACCGGGGGGAGTCTGGGGTCCAGTATAGTAGCAGGATCAACAAGACAGTGGGGAAGGTAATGCCCACGTAGATGAGAGACCAGCTGTTGAAGAAGGAGGATAGTCCAGGCAGCAGGATCACGCCAACAGACCAAAAGGTGTCGTACAGGATAATGGCGCCAATTCGATGAATGCCAGCCGTAATGTCGGCAACTTTAAATTGTAGTTAACTGGGTTTTTTAATAGTTTTGAAAACATACTTGTTCCTACTTACAAATTGCTTGTCCGGCCGTAAACATAATGGCACAGCACACGGCGGAGAGACATCGAAAGGCGCAGTGAAGGCTGAAATCTCGGGCATATCCTGTGACCACTCCACACACAATCTGGGCCACAGCACCAACACAGTATGTGCTTCTTGGACTGATGCCCAGCATCATCTTGGTGCCCACCACTCCACCCACTAGAACACCAAACAGATGCCAGTACTGGGTCCAAGCAACGAAAATATCTCGAAGACAGACCAGGTTGAATTGCATGATCAGGGAATCGAAACTAGACATGTAGGTGAACTGCTGGCATTCACTTCTGCTGCCGGACGATTCATCCAGGACATGGCACTGGTTGTCTGACACACTGTAGCTGGCATTGGAGTCCTCCAGATAGCTAGTATCACAGGTGAACTCCGAGACGGGATACAGTTCCGGTCCGGTGAATATAATACAGGCCATAAACCAGGCGGCAGGAATTTTGCACAAAAACAGAATCAGGATTGTCCTCAGCTGCCAGATACCAAAGTCACCCACTACATCACCAATGATATCGCTTCCTGGCACTGTTGGAGGAATCCTTTTGCTGGCATCATCCTCTGGAGTTACGGATCTATGAATAACCGGAGAGCTATGTCCTCGGGCGGGCGATTGATTGACCATTTTGGTGCGATTACTTCTCTCTCTTCAGTGGAACATTCTGCGAATATGGAACAATTATTTATCCGTTATTGTTTATTTTCAGTACTATTATTATTTCAGAGACCCACACAGTCGTCCCTCACAATTGATACAAATTGAATGCGGTTTACAGCTGAAATCAGACGATCGAAGGCATTGAATATCACGCGGGATTCTTGAAATAAGTGAGGTCAGTAGGCATTTGATTGACATTCATTATTACATGGATAGCTTACGAATGTCAATATGGACAAGAAAAAATATGCTTTCATATGCTTGTTAGTTTTTTAAATATATTCGCATATTACTTTCAACTCAAAAGAATTAATAAATAAATTATGTAGTACTTAACTTTGATTTAAAGAGGTGTATAAATTAATTCTTAAGTAATTGTTTTAGCAATAAAATATTCTGTAACCTTTCTTGGATTCATTAATAAATTAGCCAAGCTTAACCCGATTGAGGTTATCATCCAAGTGATATCACAAATCACGCTTCGCACTTTGAGATTAGTTTTTTATCGATGGCCCAGACGGCACTTGATTAAAATCAGATAATGAGCTCCATTCCGCGACACGGTACTATCTGATTATTTAGCCCTTATTTGCGGAGAGCAAATATTGCGAAAGGTTTCCAGTCGTAGAATTTATCTGTTAATTCCCTGGAGATATTTCCTTTGTTGGATCATCTATATTGACGGACTCTTTATGCTTCAATTTTGCTGGTGCTAATTGCCCATTGTCTGCTACAAAAGCAGCCCCACCTCCAGGCCCATCTGTCTGTCCATCTATTGGTCGTCTAAATATTTTAATTTCATATTTTACGGTTGGTGTTAATTGCGGAAAACTGGTCGCGTTGGTCTGGACTGTTTGAATTTCCTATTCGATCTAATAGATGCCTGAATAGAGATAGTGACTGCAGGTCGTGCCATTACCTGAATGACTTGTTTCGAGCCCAAATGCAAATTAATAATTGCCACTGGGACAGAACCTGCATAGGCGTACTCGTATCAAATTAATGGAATGCTCGACTTTTTGACAAGAGTGTGATTAAGTGCGTTCGACAAAGCTTGTTCAAACATTTGGCTTTTAAATAAATTAGATTATGAAGTGTTTGAAGCTATACAGCTATTGATGTTATAAAACTCACGAACCTCTTTGTATATCACAATTTTTAAATCACAAGGAGACAGATATTTCTGTAAGTTGTTTCATGCACAACAGTATCTGATATTTTCCATCAATGTCTCTTGTCTATTTGTTGACATAAAAATTCACATAAATTAATAAACCGACAATAAAAGTTATGCACGCGTTTCAGTTATAAGTTCGTAAATGGTAGCTTTCCAATTCGCACGTCGCCCAGCCGATTTTCTAATGAATTTCATGGAGCAGCGGACGCGTCTCAATCGGCCGAGAATCAAATGGCAACTGAATCCAATTCCGCCACCAGGGGCTTTAGCCCCATGAAGTGGAGGAGCCGAATGGCTGACCACTCGGAGCGTTAATTTTCTTAATGAATTTGCTCAAATAATAAAAACTTATTAAAGGGGTTAAGAAATATGGAGCTTTTTACTTCTATAACTTTAAATTTTTTTGAGGGCTTGGTTTTTCGTTATGCGTTTGCCCATTTTTCATTGTTTTATTGACCATTTAATATTTAATTTTATTGAATAGATGGCGGATCGATAGCCTGCCTTTCAATGCTCTTTATTTTATTAGTTTCTATTGTATCTACCCCTATCATGTTTGCACAATCTTCAACGGAAAAGTGAGCAAGGGGGTGTCCAATAGAGGGTTTATGGTTTGGGAGTAATAATGTTATTACTTAAGTTATCAGCGTTTGCCTTTGGTCTTTCTCAAGTTCTCCTTTGCCTTAAATGCGGATTTCTATTTTAATCTTTATTGTCTGCAGCTATTTAGTTTAGCCAAAGCAATGACACATCGATGCTTTTGACCTACATTAATTAAGTATTTTCGATTCACCTGAGGCCTTTCGTAGGGCAATAATCTTTCTCATTCAGGATGTAGTTTTCGTCATCATATGCTTTGGATTTATTTAATTTAATATAATTAAGATGGCACTGTTTGTTAATTGAAGTCATAATGTCATCTACACACAAAAGCAAATCGTTTAATTTAATTAACAAGTTATGACGCTAATTTATTTGCGTTTATCTTTGATAAGACTTTAATTTTGTGGCGAAATAAAATTTATTTAAATAGTCTTTATTTAATATAAGTCAATATCTTTATTTAATTTAATCTACATATCTCCACTCTCCATATATTTCCTTTACAAACAATTTATAATGATTTAATATAAGGCGCACTAATTTATCGGTTATTGTTATATTTTTATAGATACTAAAGCCTATTTTTAGGCGAATCAAAAGCTTTCTAGATGGTTTCTGAACTGCGAGATTTCAAAGCTTCTTCTCCGCTGTGCTGCACCATTTCGATGTCGCACTCACTGGCCGGATGAAAGTTAATATGCCATATGTCGGCTATACTGACGGCTATATTTCTCTCAAAATTACTGAGCAGCTCATTGCTATAGCCACTGATTTCCGAGCTAGTACTGCTGTATCGACGTAGGATTATAGCCGATTGGCGGCGATAGGTATTCGGTGTGGGCACTCGACTAATGGGCGGTTGTTCCGTATTCCAATAGTAACGATTGAGTCGTCGCAGAGCCAATCCATAGATAGTGCCAAGGGTAGATAGAATGGTAATTGGTACCAGCGGATGAACAACGGTGAGACAGCTCAGTAATGGACAAAAAACTAGGCATGTCCGACTGAATCCTACTACGGAGAGCATCAGATATACACGCTTCTCGGTGGACACCATCTCCCCCGTGCAGGTGGTTAGAACAGCAATTGTGGCGGAGTTGGCCATTTTTAAAATTATCCAAAATACCAGCTCCAAGCCAACGCGTCGTGAGTTTCTTTCTAAAAGTGACATGAATTAGCAAAATAATCGCTCTCCTTATAGCAAAATATTACCTGTTTCTGGCAGCAGCCAAATAAGATATGTTATTAGACTACATATAGTCATGAGATTTCCTGCCCAACGCCAATGCCGCCGCGTGTAAAGGATCATGTAGAGGCCTATGAAGACACCCACCATTTCGGCGAATCCCAAGGCCGCTGTGTTAACATGCACCTGTTCCGCTCCCAAGTTCCGAATCATCAATAGGGATATGGTATATATGACCATGGCAGCACCCCAAATGCAGTGAATGTAAATCAATTGGCTGCGCTTCGTTTCGCCATCCCAGATTTGGCAGTAGCCCCGTTTTTGTTCGGCTTTTAGCTCCAGATCCTTGGCATATCCTGTAAGCTGCACATCCAGTGTCAGAGGTACCTTTCGATTGTTGTAGGTGGCAGATTCCAGGAGCTGACGGAGTGCCGACTCTATCCGTTGGTGTTGCAGTAGCCACCGAGGGGAATCGGCAATCCAGCGATGCAGCCAAACTAGGACAATCAACGAAGAGGATATGGCCACGTACAGATAGCTCCAGTTATCGAAATATATAGAAATGGCAGGCAGCAGGACGAGACCAATAGACCAAAAAAGTTCCGACAACGTAATCACTATTATGCGGGCTTTTCCCGCGGTGATATCGTTTACTGGAAACCAGAAAAAATTTACGTAAGTTTGTGTCTTAAGTCTTTTGTTTCATTTCTCACAAACAGTGATGAATACTCACAAATAAACTGTCCTGAAGTGTACATTAGAGCACAAAATATAGAGGTGAGGCACCGAAAATATATGTGCAATTGATAGGTATCCACCAAGCCAGTTAGATTCCCGCAAAATATTTGACCAATCATTCCTAGGAGCATCAAACGTCGTGGGCTAATGCTATAGTTAAGAATTTGGTTAAACAACTAATGCTGTGGCTGAAGTATTTAAAATACAAACATTTTTAGAGCCGAGTAGGCCATGAGTCCTCCTATTAAAGCTCCAAGGGCATGAAAGGATTGGGTCATCGCCACAAGGACGCGTCGGGAGCAAATCAAATCAAACTGGGTGATCAGCGATTTGTAATCCGATGTGTGCTCCACGTGCTCGCAAGGTAGAGAATGTTGAGAACGCTCTGATTCCGTGGCATTCCATTCCGAACCGTGATTCCGGACGTATCCACGTGTCAAGGACTGAGCATACGCGTTGCACACGTCAACGTTAAATAGTCGATCCGTGCTGCGAGCTTCTTGCCAGAGCTGTTGATTCCGATTCACGGGCTCCACCCGTGACTCACTGGCATTCCAATCAGCCGGGCGGCAAACGAGTTCGCCCTTCCATGGATACGGGGCAGTGTAAACAATAATCACCGTAAACCAGGCACTAGGAATCTTGCACAGAAAGATCAGCAGAATGGTCCGCAGCTGCCAGCGACCAAAACTGCCATTTACTTGCTCCACCACATCCAGATTGGAGGAAGTGTGTCCTTGATGTTCAGCCGTCGACATGTTCCGGGTGAGGTTACTCCATCGGCGTACGTACGAGCACTGAGTTTGCTAATTTTTCATCGATCTCATCGATCCGCTGTCATAATATTCCACGGGAGGGAAAACGATGTTTGCGCTACTGTTTAGTTGTCCCCTCAAATTGGTGCAAATTAGTTTGAGATTTTGCGCCCCGTCTGGGTGATGGCTTATTTTAGGTTTGTTTTCATCGCATTCGAGCGATTCATGACGTCGTCGTGCTGCAGAACGAGGAAGATCTACTTAGAACATCATAAATATTCATTGTCTTTCAAGGAGGGCGAATAAACTTTCCATTAATGTTGTATCTAATAAAGTAGCTTATAGCTTGTTGAATTTCACACTTTGGGCTTGCTTACAAAATGTGTAAATAAATTAATAATTAGCAATTGGCTTTGTAAACCGGGTCGAATTTGGAACCGGATGGAAGTAGAGCGCATTTTCCAGGAAGTAGTTGGGTGATTACTATCTATTTTTTGTTATCCTTTGGAATCGTAAAAGTGTTGTTCCTGTTAGCAAAAGATTCTTCTTTGCTAGAGTGCCTTAGAATTTTTGTTCATAGTTCTAGAAGCTAGAAGTTGAAATGAATTGATTAGAAAATTGTCTAAGCACACCCTCAAAAATCCAAAATTGTTAAAAATGTTTGCTCCACTTCGTCTTCTATCGAACAAAATGCATATTTTAATTTCGATGCCCAAGAGTAGGCTATAGAAAAAACAGTCACGGTTGTGTAGTAGTCTATTAGGAACCTGAATTCATCCAGTCCAATGTCCTCACATTTTTCTTAAAGCATCCTGATAGTTTTTCCTTGAGTTGTTTATTTCTTTATCTTAATTTCCATTATTATCAGAAATTACCTCAAATCCTCTCAAAGAAATGCTCCTCCTCCCATTAGAAAAGTAAAACAACAAATATCATGAAATATATTGAATAGTTCATTTGTTTTATTCACTTTGACCTGCTTTGATTTTTGTTTTGCTTTCTTTTTCATATTACTCTCATAGCGAGTGTCTTTGCTACAAAAATGTTTGTTTTCAAAACTTATACAAACGAACAAAATACGAATTGCTGGTGAGCATGCTTGATATTTTTGCAATTCCATAATTCAGTTATGGCTTCTGTGTATATAAAATGGCAAATGCTTATTTCTTATAGATGGAAATATTTTACATCATTTGTTTTTAGGGCAACTTGGTTATGCTTTTTAATGTTTTAGGTATTTTTGTATATTTTTCGTTGGCTTTGTTTGATCAAATTTTGCATTCATTTTATCGATTTTCGTTTGGTTTCAATCTCCAATTAATTATTGTCTGAAACAATTATGTTTGTTAACAACTCTCTAACTCTCGGTAAGCCCGCATTGACGGGCTAAAACATTATTTGTTAAATCATACCAATTATGTTAATTTCAATGCTCACATCTAAATTAGGTTTGGGGCTATTCTGCCGTATTTACAGTGGTGTCTATTTTGTAAAATAAAATAAATGCGATGTTGGATCGAAAACATTTTCCAAGCACTATGCACTTAGACTAATTGTGGGGATTTGGCTTTGCAGAGACTTGACGTAACAATAAAACAAAATTTAAATACTCTAAAATATTGCTACACTTTAAAATTAATTATTTATTATAATGTATAGCGTGTGAGGTTTCATTAAAGTGATGATAAAATGTGATTCGAGTTTGCTCGCACCTCTCACAACAGATTGAAATTGAGTTTACATACGTGCTTATAAAATATTATGCGAAAGTATTTACAATTCATCCAATGATTTTCTGGGGTGCGACTTATCATTGAGGAGTACAAGTAGGATAGATTTCAGAGTTGTGCTTAGGATGTACATACATAGTTTCGATATAATTAGCGCTCAGAGATTTGCCTTAGCTTTTGTTTATTACTCATTAACGAAACAAGCCAAGTCCGCTATTTGTTTTTTATCTGCTTACATTAACTTTATGCTTAGACACTAGTTTAAAGTCCTTCGGTTGATTTTTATGCTGTTGTTTTTGCGGTTTTAGAAATAACCTCGGTGACCGCCCCTAAAATGCCCTGCCCAGCTAAATAATTATGAGTTGGTGTGTTCTAAATCTAGTCTCTAAATGTTAATATTTGGTTTCGAGTTCAATGATCCGTGCTGAGCCCATCATCCACATTGCTGTCCCAGTTGAATTCCGTGACGCCCTGCTTGTAGAAGATGTTGCCCAGATTGGCGTACCGCTGCTCAAAGTTCGCATCCTTCGCCTTCAGATGTTCAAAACTGAAAGAAAAATAATAAAAATGTTTATAAGTAAATATGAAAGTGAGGTTGTATTTTGCATTTAGTTTCCTGATGAGATTTAAGGGAAACATTTGGCAGTGCTTCTTGTAACTCATTCAGGTAGACACAACAGTAATCACCAGTTGCTTGAATGCGTAATCTACTTTACGATACGATTGTTAGAATTTCCCAACTTGTGTTTGCATTTCCCTTCCGTTGTTTAATTTTTCGTTTCCCGTTTTCCGACCCCCGTCCTGATCCTTACCACCTTTGACGCCCTGCCTACAAAAGCTGTTCAATTTACTTGTGCGCAATAGATTGTTTTCTTATGAGCACCCCACCATAAAAAGAACCCTCAATTGTCGATGCAGCTGCCCCAGGTACAAGATACAAGATACGAGTTACGAGGAACGGAACCAACCAGTACAGCTGTATGCACAATGCATAAATCCAAGTCTTGAGCAAGTCGTCCCACTTACCTTGCCCCGGAGCATTGTAAGCATTGCAGAAAATGTCAAAGGTCATAAGCGGCCTTTGTGCGGGACAAGACAAAAGGCCACCGAGCAGGATTGAAGTCTCGCATCCTTGCAGGCAGGCCCAAAAGATTTTAAGGGAAAGAAGCCGAAAAACAAAATAAAGTACGAAAGGTGAAGGGAAAACCCCTGAACCGGCTTAAGTCACAATTAATGGTACGACAAGCTTGTGCAGCTACCAGTGGTTGTTATGGTGGTGCATGGGCATTTCCAGAAGATGTTTAAACCACCCTTGAGGAGGAAGCGCAGGCGCATGCGCAGCTGTTCCGTCGTTACGCTCGAGGAACTAAGGAATTGAGGTAGTTCCTCAGTAGGAACCGTTCCCATCCATTGCCCAAAAGGAGGAGAAGTAGCCAGGGAACGTCCGGGGCCACGTGTGCGCAATCAGCGTCGCCAGAGTACACTTCACCCTTCATTCGGAGGTTATGCCTGAGAAAATTCCTTCACACCCGAGCAGCGAAATCAAAACGAGTTCTTAAGGGGTAGAACTTTCAGAAATAAACAATTCTTATTCTTTTCCAAGTACAGTTCTACAACACAGATACGAAGTAAAGTTTTTTACAATTTTATTAAGTACTGAAAATATCAATCATAGATTGGACAAGTACAATCAAAAATGTAAAGGTATAATAAAATATTAATATTTTGCTAATCTATATAATGGTTTGTGATCCTTTTTAAAGGAGGAGCTTCTTTTGTAGAAAAAGAACACAACTTCAAGAGGCAAGATAGGAGATTTTATTTTAGTTATTGGATTACTTTATTGGAATAAGTTCGTTCAAAAAATCTTTTTAATTAGGTTAAAAGAAAATTGAAGATATATTTTTTTAAGACACCTCTTTTGTTGTGCAAAATACTTATAATTTTCTTATCTAAATAATGGTCAGAGTTCCTTTTTAAAAGAAGATAATAATAGAATTTCAAGAGGCGAGATAGAAAGGCTTAAACCTTTAAAAAATGTAAATTTTGAGTTGAAAATTGCAGCCTTTAATAAATTAATTTTGAGAAACCTCTGGTTGTGTTGTATGCAACATGCATGTGTTGAATATATTTTTCAAATCAGATCTTAGCTAGGATATAATTTAAGGTAGTACATTATAGGAAATGGTGGCCCAAAGGAGTAGCCTAGACATTGCGCGCCTTGAGCACCTGCTTCTGGGGCGGGCTGGGCATGTTCTCCTTGCCGGCGAACAGGATCGTCTTCTTGGGCGTGCTGGCCGCCGATTTGGGGGTGCGCGGTGTCCTGGGGCTGCGGGGCGTGGCCGGAGTGGCCTTGGGAGTGCGTGGGGCGGGACGAGGCGAAGATTTGCAGGAAAGCAGCTCGCTGATCTCGCTGTTGCTATCCTGGCGCACGCACTTCTCCGAGGAGTTGAGCAGCCACGAGGTGATCTTGTCGCACTCGGCACGCAGTTCCGAGTCGCAGAGCAGATCCTCGATCTTTTCCAGGTCGGTGGTGTTGGAGCGGTTGGCCTTGCCGGGAGTGCCCAGGAGAGCACCGGAGCCAGGCTGCTTCGATTTCAAAGCAATGTTCTCCAGCTTCAGCTGCTCACACTCCTCGCGCACCTTGACCAGCATCTGCTCCTTGTTGTCCAGCTCCAGCTGGGCGAACTGCAGCACGGTGGCGAACTCGTCCAGGGCCTTCTTCATGTCGGCCATGTAGGCCTCGCGGGTCTCGTCCTTGCGGCGCAGCTCGTGGTAGTGGGCCAGCTGGGCATCCCCGTCGATTCGCTCCTGGAACGAGTTAGCAATCTGATTGAATTTGGCCAAAGTCTCTGCCTCGCCGGCGAGCAGTTCATGGAGCATTGACTCCTTCAACGATACCTCGCCCTGCAGCGTCTGGGATGAGGATCTCAAGGCAGACAGTGCCTCTTGGCTCTCGGTCAGCTGTTGACGCAGTTGCTCCGCATCGGCCTGCAGACTCAAGTAGCTCTGCTCCAGAGCCCCCTTGGCCAGCTGCACAGACTCTAGCTCCGCCCGGAACTGCTCCACATCGGCGTCCGACTTCTTCAGTCGCTCCATCAGAATGTTTACGGTGGCCCGGGTGTTGGTCAGGGTCAGCTGATAGTTGTACTTCTCCGTGATGGTCTTGGCCATGTCCTGCTTCAGTTGCACGACCTGCTGCTGCAGGGCATCGCTCAACTGGATGTAGTAGTCGATGCCGTTGCGCAGTTGCTCCTCGCACTTCTGCAGCTTCTCGTCCCGCTGGCGCAGCATGTCGTTGGTGGTCTCCAGCAGCACCATCACATCCTGCTTCTCGAGCTCGATCTTGATCAGCTCGTTCTCGGCCAGCTTCTGGCGCTTGTCCAGCTCGGCACGCCAGTAGCTCTTCTCACGCTCCACGGCGCCCTCCAGATCGCTCTCCACCTGCTGCTGCACCTTGGCCACCGCCTGCTGTTGCTCCGCCTGGCGAGCCTGCTCCCGGCACAGCTGCCTGATGGTGTCGCAGTGGGCATCGATCTCGCAGTTCTTGTCCAGAAGTTCGTCCTGCAGGGAACGAATGAGAGTGCACTTGTTGGCCAGGTCGTTCTTCAGGGTATTGCGCTCCACCTTCAGGCACTCCAACTCGGCCTGGGTGCTCTTCGCCTCCTGGCCATAGTTCAGGGCATCCTGTTCGATCTGAATTTTCAGTTGGCCCACCTCAGCCAGAAGCGAAGCATTGCTCTGTTGGAGATCTTCCACCAAAACGATGTTCTCTGCGGTCTTGGCCTGCTCCTGGGTGCAACGCTCCTTGGCCTGAGCCACCTCCATTTGGAGCTCGGCCAGCTGGATCTGAAGCTGCTGCTGGTGGGAGGCACGCTCGTCGCTGTCCGCCTGCATCTGCTCGTTGGCCAGGCGCAGAGCCTCACTCTCGGCAATCAGTGTGTCCACCTGGCGCTCGTGCTCCGCACGCTGCTGGTGCAACTGCTGCTCCAGGTTGGCAAATCGCTCCATGAGTTCGGAGTGCTCACGGGTCATCTGCTCGTTCAGGGACTTGTGCGAGAGGTTCTCGCCGGTCAAAGCCTCAATCATTTGCTCCATTTTGGCGGTAGAGAGCTCGTGCTCCTCGCGCAGCTTGGCCTCGGCCTCCTTCAGCTGCTCCACATGGCGGCGCAGGACGTCCAACTGACTCAGCTGGCTCTCGATAAGTTCGTTCTTGTGGCGGATCTCCTGCTGCAGGGCCTCCTTGCCTTTCAACCGGCTGGCGGACTTGGCCTCCTTCACCGGCGTGGTGGCTGCTGAGTGCAAGGGGGTGGAGGCCGCTGTGGAGGCGCCGCTTCCGCTGCCGCTGGCCACATCCTGGTGGCTTGGTGTGGGACGGAAGCGCAGACGCTGGGGCAGCGATGGGGTACGGAACAGCCTCAGACCCTTGGACTTCTTGTCCTCCTTGGGAATGGCGAATTCCTTAGCCTCTTTCGAGCTAGATGCAAAGCGCACTGCGTCCTTGAAGAACTTCTCGATCTGCTCCTTGCGCTCTGGTTGAACGGTGGGTGCAGCCGCAGCAGCTGCCGTGGGCGTGGCACTGCCCGCCGATCCTGCCGAGCTGTTCGAGGCAGCTGGCGAGCCGCAAACGGCCACATCCACGTCATTGAAGCGCTTCAATTTGGCCTTAGAGAAGGACATTTTCGTACTTTCTTTTTCAATCTTTAACTTGTGGTAAATTGATTCGTTCGATGCTTTTTTTCGTCTCAGTAACAACGCTCGTATAACTTGTTGGTAATAACAAAAACTCAATGATCAAAACATAAACACAACTTTAACGTTTTTTGGTTTTGGTTTGGTGACTTTGATTTTTTTTCTTGGTATAAAGATTTAACAAATTGTCTGTAGTCCGTTTAAAAATTTTGCTGTACTTGGCTTGGTCTGTTTCTATTCTACACTAATAACCCGCTTCCCGTTGCTTCCCGTTTCACTGAACCTACGCGTTCCGCTGTCAAAACCTAACTAAACTCACCTTCGTCCCAGGATCACTGAGGCAGACATCGCTGTCAGCTGCTGCCATGAGTGAAAGTGAGAGGGCTGCAAGGTGCGAGAGAGACGGCACAGAAAACAACCCTCGATCAGGGATCCTTTGTTATTGTCTGTGGCTTGTACCCTATGATATAGAGGGTATTTCTGTTACCTTCATAAGGAAACCAAGTCATATTTTAAGAATTTCATGAAGTATATAGGACCCTTATATATATGCCCTTTCCTAGGGCATTTCATATTCGATACACAGACCTCTTCTACCTTGGCTTGCTTTGGTGGTGGTTCGTGCCACAATTCCTTATCCCCAGACGTCTTATCGGTGTATTTGTCAAGACGTCGGCTTCATATAGAAAATACATTTTTTTAGCGCGCGCAAATGTTGCAATTGTAGTTTAAGGCAGCACGAGGAGGGTTCAATGGCTGGCAGGAGCAGGGGCAGGATAAGGACAGATATAGGGCGACAGGACAACGATCCGCATTCCCTTGCTCGAATATAGGAAATGTGCCGTGTCGAAATAGGAGAAAGACACTCGCATCTGTCTGCGCTACTCCTTCCCCTTCGATTACTTCCGAGGATTGCCGGTACGACAACGACTGCGAAAGGACTTGAGGGCTGAATGGGCTGGAATATCCGTTAGCTCCAACCCAGCTGGCAGCCAGCATAAGTTGTTAATTTGATACGAAATCCGATGCCCGCATAACTAGTAGGAAAATGCGTTGAAAATGCGAGGGAAATGGGTGAGCTGCGCCTGCGCAATAAATTGAATTGAATTGCATGGAAAATGGGAAATGGAAATGTGACAGGCAGATAGATTTTCCTTGATCACGCGAGGGAGGAGTTGGGCAATCTGCCATCGGGTCCTTTGACATCCTGCTGATCCTGCGGTAGCCGCCTGTGTCTCTTGCTTTTTTCCCCCTCTCCAGATCTTTCCAGTGAGAATGTCACAACTGCCGACTGTTCAGCTGGTTGGTATTTATGTAGCAAACAATGGCCATTTACTATTTTGTAAATGAAAGGTAGATAGTACTAGGTTGAAGCGGGTCGGTATGAAATTCTGGGTGGGTCAACCACACACAGCTGTGCCAGGAACTCGGTCTAAGATTTATTTCCGTAAAGTCAAGAAAACAGCAGGGATTTTCAAAGTAAAAGAAAATTAGAGCCTTTTCAGGACTACGAAACTTTTCCATTCAATCTATCTTTTATAAAAGTATTAAATATTTTCTTTTTAAAAGAAAAGCAAGATCGCATAATCATTGCATTATATTTCTGAAGCCCTTTCCTTTAAAGGATTTAACAAACATCCCATTCCTTTAATTAATGATGATGATGACGATTATTACCGAGTCTTCAGACTCCTTCAAAAGATCAAAATAATTTTCCCATGCCTGCTCATGCATAACCGATGCCCAATGAATGCGCTATAAAGTAACGCGATCTAATAATGATGGCACCTAGGGATCCATTTTCTGTTAATTCACACAATAGTCTATTTCCCCCGGCCAATGTCAACACAACACAAAGTAATGGCAACAAAGGACTTTCTGGGGTCCCGACGATCAAAGGGTTTTCGCACCCTCATGGGATACAACAGGGCGCTACAAAGAACCCGGGACCTGTGTCATCGACCTTAGTCGAGTCACAGTTCTATGTTCCCTATGTTGCTGAGGAACGAGCAAAAGGAGCAGTTTAACCGGACCCACGATCCACCATCTGGTTTGGCTGACCCGTCAAACTTGCAACCTCAAAGACGCAGAGCAACTGAGGCACATAAGCCAATTATGTTGGGTGTTAAAAATGAGTCAGCTTATACATAAAAGCATACAGAGTGTGTGTTAGGATGCTGGTTTTCTACTCACCGCTGAAAAAGCAAAGTCTTGGCGAAGGCATACAGCTCGATGTCCAGACTATTGAGCTTTTCGATGCGGCGCCGTTGATCGGGTCGCAAGTTCTGGACGGCAGCCGCCGATATTGTGGCGTTGTGCTGCTCGAAGGGAATGGCGAATCGCAGGTTAAAGGTCTCCTCAAATATGTACTGCGACATCTGTGGATAGGAATATGCTTGTTATTAAAGTAATTTATAAGACCTTTAACTCCATTTCACCTTTTGATACTCAGTCAGTCCAAAGTAGGCCATGGCGGCCAGGTTGCGCTTGGCGCTGGCCAGCATTACGCGGTCCCGCTCGTGGGCGGGCATCGAGGACTTGTTGTAGCACCCGACGAGGGCCAGGTCCGCCAGCATGCGGGTCTGCCGATTGGCTGCCAGGTTCGATTCACAGCCGGCAAACTGATCCAGATCCACGTCCAGCCAGTCCTTGCCTTTGTAGCAGGGCGGCAGCTCGGCGGCGGTGGCCTGTCGTCCCAAGCACCAGTGGCGGGAGCCTTTCCAGGTGGCGCCACGCCGCACGTGCCGGTACTCGGACATGTAGCGGGAGATGGGTTCCCGGAGCAGCGAAATGTAGAAGTATCGCCGCTTTGCCGTCTCGCCCTCGTTCTTGTCCAGCTCCACGTCGACGCAGCTGGTCAGCTCGGTCCAGTCGGCGTGTAGGCCGCACTTCCAGCCTGTCGAGTAGCGGGAGAAGAGCCAGTTCTCGTTCCGGTGCGGCCGGAAGCAGTAGCAGCGTTTCCTTTGCCTTTGGCACTCGCAGGGCCGCTGAAAATCGCAGAAAAACAATTTAAATATTACCAGGAAATCAAGAATACCAGTAATTTTTAAAGTTCCAGTTTTTTTTTTAAGAATTGAAGAATTTTTTTCGTAATTTGTTGCGGCCACTCACCTTCAGGTCGAGATCCCTGACCAGATGGCGACCAAATGAGGTGCCTCCTGTCTTCTGAATGTGCAGGAATACCATTACGTCGTGGCCGTCCATATCGAACTGGAAGTCATCGTTCAGGACATCCTCGTAGCTCAGTCCGGCGTTGGCAATAATATTCTGGGGGGCAGAGGCCTTCGAGGCCATGGCCGTGATGCCACCCACACTGTTGCCGTTGCTGTTGCCATTAATGCCGTTGGCCTGGTGGAGTGGCAGCTCATTATATGCGAGCATATCCGAGGACTGGAGTATCACGGCGCGTTTGGATAAAGCGCATACCTGCGGTCACAGAGGAGAGAAAAGTCGGTTAATATTATATTGAGTTAAAAGCAACAGAGGATCAATCACTTAGTGCGGGCAGCTCCACCCACAGTACAACCTCATTTCATGAAAATTACGCAGTGCAAAAATTGTTAATGTCACTTCATTTTTCATTTTCACTGTCGCCAAAGGCCTTAAATTAAATTTATTGGCTGAAAAATTGCATAAAGCCTGGGTGCGTGCGTGTATGTGTATGCGGGAGTGTTTATTTTCACTATTAATTAAATGCACATCGAGATTAAATGCATATTCCTGGTCCGACACAGGTGGGTCCTCCAACTACAGGCAACTTCATTTAACGGAGAGTGAAGGAGTGTTTTTTTCCAGCAGTTTCCCTTTGGCATTTTTTTCCCCCATTTTTCTACCTTTTCACCGGCAGTCTCACTTTATTTGCTCATCGGAATGTGCACTTTTATTTATGGCTCGCACTCAAGGCTTATTAATATCGAACAAGGTTTTATCCGCATCTCAATGCACTCACTACAATTGAGTCGGGTATGAGCTGTTGAGTGAAATTTAATATTTACTTGCTATGAGAGTAATGGCGGTGAAGGGAAAAGTAAACAAAAGGATTCCTTCAATTCTTGTAGCATATTTTTCAGCTGCGTTTTTAAACATTCTTATTGGGTTAAAACTATTTAGTCCCCTTAAGAGTAAAGAATATTGTAAATATCATCTCTTATCACCTTTCCTTAAATTTTCCTACAAAAATATTCAAAAATTCAAAACCATCCATTTATATTCATCTGGAAACTTTCTAATTAGAATAAGTTTTGTTGAAGCAGTTTTCCCCTCTGTTGGGCTATCATTATTTTCGAGTTTTCCCCAGTTCGGCCGGCAACAATAAAAGATAGAACAAGACCTCAGCTGTCCACAAGTCAAAACGCAGAGACAGACCTGGCACTCTTGTGTCTAGAGAATGGCCGAAGGATAGGCATGGATACATAGTTCTTAGCAATCAAACTAGAGAAAAGTTTCTCGATTAAAATGAGCAACTTTTGTGAAATTCCCTTATCTGACAATTTCCGCTGCTTAGCAAAACTAAAATGAGCAAAATACGCAACAAGAAAATGGCCAAAACAATGCAACAACAACAATAACGACAGCAACCAAAACAAAACCGAGACCAAGACCGAGAAAAATTCAGCTCATTAAACAATTGGCAGGCGGGCGGTATCGTTGTTGGCCATAAGGAATTAAGAGAGCCATGGGTTGCTACGGGTTGCCAGAACCATTCCATATTTTCAGTGGCGTAGATAATGGGATTTAAAGGGGTTCTTAAAATAAAACTATATATGTACGAATGTTAAACTATCCTTATGGAGTTGTCATCAATTCAAGAACCCTTTTTACAAAATTTACAACCAACGCCACTGCCCATTGCCTCTATCTTCAAGTCGTTTTTGTTTGTGTGTCGAAGCATGAATGCGTGTAAGCTTGTTTCCATAAAATTTAGCCATTTAAATGGCCAGAAAAACGAAAGCTGGGGGAAAAAATGCGCAGAAAAGAGGTGTGCTGCCTCGGGGGAGGAAAAGTTTTGAATTTATTGTGGCCAGCACAGAACACCGATTCGATTATCAAAGGAGAAGCTGCAAGGAAATCGTTCTCCCCTCGATTCTCTCAACCGGATCCATAGCCTGATCCAGGGGCATTGCCGGAATCTTGTCCGGGGGCTCCTTACAGTAATCCCCTTAGTGGCCTTAGCCAAAAAAGCAACTTCGATTTATTCGTTTCTGATATATTGTTGTCAAGTAGTTTAGTGGCTTACGTTCTGTTGCTGGTACTTGTAATGTGCTTTAAAAAGTAAAAATTCGGTCAATGATATAAAATACAAGTATACAAGCCATCAAACAAACGAAAAAAATAAACAAAGACGCTTTAATGCTATGTCATAAATTAAAACATAATAAATTTATATGAAACAGCTAAATTGCGGATTAAATACGATTTTGTGCGGAAAAAATTAGACGAAAATCTACCACTAATGGGTAATTTAATTTTATTTTCGGTGCTTTGGCGCTGAAACTAAAATTAAGCCCGTCCAACCGTCCAGTATCCGGGACAATAAAAAAAATAATAACAGTTTCGTAAATGCCGGCGTGTATGTGTGAGTATTTTGTTGGGACTTTAATTGCTTTTATGGAGCATAGTCCCCCGAAAATGGGCAGCAAAGCGTGGTTAGTCCTGTGCAATAATAATACTCATTTTGTGCTAAATTTGTTTGAAATTTATGCGCTTATAAACAAACTCACACACACAGACACCCCTCTAGCGGAAGTATTAAAATTTGATGCAGCTTAGCGGAAGTGCAAAAATGTGTAGCATGCTTTTCGGCGCACTTGGGAATCAATTTTTAAGCTAATAGCCATTTATAAAATATTCAAACTAATTGATAAATACGCAGAAATATTGAACATCATTGCGCATCGGCTTACTCATAGATGTGCATACATAAGTTAGTCAGAGCATAGTTTATAAAATAAATGTTTTTACAAATCATAAATTGATTTTGATAAATATGGTCTACATCGAAAGCCATATCTTTGCCATTTTACATACGATTCTTGAGCGGAATACCTTAAATGAATTGTAGGTCGATTCTCCACCAACCTGCATCAAAATCCAGAAACAAAATATTTTTTAGATTTTTTTCCAAATTTTCTGGGTAGACCCCTTCGAAAATGGGGAAAATGCTTGGGAGCTGAATATGGTTCACACCAAAAGCCATATCTTTGCCAATAGTCATCCGATTCTTGAGCGGAATACCTTAAATGAATTGTAGATCGATTCTCCACCAACCTGCATCAAAATCCAGAAACATAATATTTTTTAGATTTTTTTCCAAATTTTCTGGGTAGACCCCTTCGAAAATGGCGGAAATGCATGTGAGCTGAAAATGGTCCACACCGAAAGTCATATCTTTGCCAAGAGTCATCCGATTCTTAAGCGGAATACCTTAAATGAATTATAAGTCGATTCTCCACCAATCTGCATCAAAATCCAGCAACAAAATATTTTTTAGATTTTTTTCCAAATTTTCTGGGTAGACCCCTTTGAAAATGGGGAAAATGCTTGGGAGCTGAATATGGTCCACACCGAAAGCCATATCTTTGCCAATAGTAATCCGATTCTTGAGCGGAATACCTTAAATGAATTGTAGATCGATTCTCCACCAACCTGCATCAAAATCCAGAAACAAAATATTTTTTAGATTTTTTTCCAAATTTTCTGGGTAGACCCCTTCGAAAATGGCGGAAATGCATGTGAGCTGAAAATGGTCCACACCGAAAGTCTTATCTTTGCCAAGAGTCATCCGATTCTTGAGCGGAATACCTTAAATGAATTGTAGATCGATTCTCCACCAACCTGCATCAAAATCCAGAAACAAAATATTTTTTAGATTTTTTTCTAAATTTTCTGGGTAGACCCATTTGAAAATGGGGAAAATGCTTGGGAGCTGAATATGGTTCACACCAAAAGCCATATCTTTGCCAATAGTCATCCGATTCTTGAGCGGAATGCCTTAAATGAATTGTAGATCGATTCTCCACCAACCTGCATCAAAATCCAGAAACAAAATATTTTTTAGATTTTTTTCCAAATTTTCTGGGTAGACCCCTTCGAAAATGGCGGAAATGCATGTGAGCTGAAAATGGTCCACACCGAAAGTCATATCTTTGCCAAGAGTCATCCGATTCTTAAGCGGAATACCTTAAATGAATTGTAGATCGATTCTCCACCAACCTGCATCAAAATCCAGAAACAAAATATTTTTTAGATTTTTTTCCAAATTTTCTGGGTAGACCCCTTCGAAAATGGCGGAAATGCATGTGAGCTGAAAATGGTCCACACCGAAAGTCATATCTTTGCCAAGAGTCATCCGATTTTTAAGCGGAATACCTTAAATGAATTGTAGATCGATTCTCCACCAACCTGCATCAAAATCCAGAAACAAAATATTTTTTAGATTTTTTTCCAAATTTTCTGGGTAGACCCCTTCGAAAATGGCGGAAATGCATGTGAGCTGAAAATGGTCTACACCGAAAGCTATATCTTTGCCAATAGTAATCCGATTCTTGAGCGGAATACCTTAAATGAATTGTAGATCGATTCTCCACCAACCTGCATCAAAATCCAGAAACAAAATATTTTTTAGATTTTTTTCTAAATTTTCTGGGTAGACCCATTTGAAAATGGGGAAAATGCTTGGGAGCTGAATATGGTTCACACCAAAAGCCATATCTTTGCCAATAGTCATCCGATTCTTGAGCGGAATACCTTAAATGAATTGTAGATCGATTCTCCACCAACCTGCATCAAAATCCAGAAACAAAATATTTTTTAGAGTTTTTTCTAAATTTTCTGGGTAGACCCATTTGAAAATGGGGAAAATGCTTGGGAGCTGAATATGGTTCACACCAAAAGCCATATCTTTGCCAATAGTCATCCGATTCTTAAGCGGAATACCTTAAATGAATTGTAGATCGATTCTCCACCAACCTGCATCAAAATCCAGCAACAAAATATTTTTTAGATTTTTTTTCCAAATTTTCTGGGTAGACCCCTTTGAAAATGGGGAAAATGCTTGGGAGCTGAATATGGTCTACACCGAAAGCTATATCTTTGCCAATAGTAATCCGATTCTTGAGCGGAATACCTTAAATGAATTGTAGATCGATTCTCCACCAACCTGCATCAAAATCCAGAAACAAAATATTTTTTAGAGTTTTTTCCAAATTTTCTGGGTAGACCCATTTGAAAATGGGGAAAATGCTTGGGAGCTGAATATGGTCCACACCGAAAGCCATATCTTTGCCAATAGTAATCCGATTCTTGAGCGGAATACCTTAAATGAATTTAAGTCGATTCTCCACCAATCTGCATCAAAATCCAGAAACAAAATATTTTTTAGATTTTTTTCCAAATTTTCTGGGTAGACCCCTTCAAAAATGGGGGAA